ATGACTATTTAAAAACGTACGTGAGAATGTACATGCGTTGTTTAACTTGTGGTTTATTAGTTATGCGGTTTAACGATGTGCTTCTAATATTAAAGCTTGTCAAACACGTTTTGAAGTTTGGCGCTTTCAACCTGAAAGTCGCGAAATAAGTAAAGAATGTGATAAATCAAGGCCGCTCGAAGCAAATATTCTGAAATACAATTTGGATTATAAGTAGAATGTATATTGCAAAAAAATTTACTTCCGAATTTGAATACCTCACTATATGCACGTAGTTCTGGTTTAGCATAGGTTTCCGTCTTATTGAACAATGCAAGCTTGGCTTAAAATTTGTCTTTGTAGTCAAATATTCAAGGCAACCTTTATGTTGCATAGACACATATTTGCCTGCTATTTCCCGTAGCGACGCCATTGTTTCATCGTACGTGCGGCGCGCGTGTAAGATCTGGCGGTTTAGCTTTTAATTATAAACTTAACCGAATCACAGCTTAAATATTAATTGACCATTTGCTCTTTATTGTAGATTTCACATACATCTTACATGGCCATTTTAGTCGTAATTGTACCCCAATATAATTCAGTATCAATCAGCTTTGAAGGAACGTTTAAAATAATCAATAAAAGGAAATTGGAAAATTCGCGATAGCATTTATACCTTTACTCGTTTTATAGTTTCTATGATAAGTGCAAATGACCAGCAATACTGAATCACTAAAACTCAATGTGTAATATTCAAACCCGAAAGCTATAAAGATATATTTTTTTTTATTTTAAACTTGTTGTTCACATTTGATTCTAAAGCATAATAAAAGTCTTCTGTTTTGTACCGGTCATAGCTATAGCCATTTTCGCAATTAAAAATTCTTAACTTGTTAATAATTGTATGAATTTTGTTGTTATAAATTTGATGCAAATTATCTCTTGCGTGGGTCACGTTCTCATGTTTTCCACATCTTAAATCCGATCGATTAAGCCTTTTGATTCTTGCGTACGTGAACAACAGCCATATTTTTTTTATCTCAAATAATGTATTAATTTAGCATGTGTCTGGGAAATCTTTTAAATGCTCAATTTGATAATATTTGTTTTCGTGAGAATCAAGTCGGTATTCGGCACGTATCACCAACCGCAAGGTGTCACTATCGAGTCGACACCTGGTGTGTGTGTGACACGGAGCGTGGGTGAAGCCGCTGTTAGAACGCACGTTTCAACCACCATTCAAATTTTGCTGTTTCAGGCTGTAATAACGTGCGTATTTGGTATTGGGATCTGAAATGGACATCTGTATGTATTTGGCTAGGGCATAAGAACGTTTTTGATTGAGCAATAAATAATGTCCATTTGATGTTAATCTAAATTCTAAACCCTGGCCCTATATTCAAAGCCGTTACTATTGTATTCTTTTTCAAATCTTTGGTTAGAATAGTCCGTGTTTTGTATTCATCACGATTACAGATTGCTAATTTAAGTTTAGTACATCGAGATCTAATTATATTCATTTAAATAAGAAAATATATTCAGTCGACCAAACCAAAACTGGTTATGTCGGTATTACCAGTTGTATAAATCAAACATGCATGCCAATAACATCGCGTAGTTCACGTAATTGTGTATGATGATGTAAACCGATTACGTCTAGTTTATCTTTCTTATCATGGCTACAAAACAGCTTGGCACATGCACAAAATCGAGTAAGATTTTCGTTGTTGTTTTATGAGTGCAGCTTCGTGTCATTCTCATTGATTCAGGTCCCCTGTTTATTTAAACAACAGATCGGTACGTGACTGATTCCACGAATAGCTCGAAAGCCTTTTTCCCTACTTTCTCTTCTATATTCAAATTTAGACTCGAGTTGGGAACAGCCCCATCCGCCATTTTGTTTGATACTGAGGAAAATGTCGTTCCTGCTGTTTGTAACGTTTATTGATTTTAAATACATATCCAAATCCCAATATAGATATATCTAATTCTCTGCAGTTTACAGATTAGTGTATCAAGGTAGTTCTTCGACAGAACAGAGTGCTATAAAGTCCTGTTCGTCACGTACATGTGTATGCGCGTCAACTTAGTGTTGAAGAGAAATTTATAAAAAGAGACATCTTTACATCTATAGTGACTGGAATAAAGGCTATTTGAATGTTTGATACATTTGTTAAACTTGCATTATTTGTGTGTTTTGAACCATACAAGAACTTATTTCTTTGGCGATGAAATTGGGCAAGGTGCCGTAGGTGAGAACCCAAAATGTTTCGAATATCTTGTTTTAGACGTATAATATGTATATTGTTGATGTCTAGTCCCCATCTTTCATAATAGAAATTGTTCGCTAAACATTTTTTAATCAATACACTTAATTAAAATTGTGACTGAAACGATTTTAAAATTTCCATATCTATCAGACGTAGTATTCCAATTTCTTATGTTAAATGTTGCCTCAATTATGTACATCTTAATCCAACAAATTTCTTTCTGGACATAAAATAAATATATAAAATGCTATGTAAAAAGTGTTCTGTTTTAAAAATCAATGGCCTCACCTGAAACTTTCTAATCTCAAGAAATATAAATAAATTCAGATGCAAAAGTGCTGTGTCATGTAGGCTATGTGGTTTAAATTTTATTTATAAAATGAAACAAACTCTCTGACGTCATTAAAAATCAGTGGCGTGTGAGATTGAATAAAAGTGATGTCAAAATGCTCCTGATTGTGAAAAATGCTTGTTCAGAAAATTGGAAACTACTACCACATCTTAAATTATTGGGCATCACACAAATGACGAGCTGTAATCGCGATATTTGTATCAGATCATTATTTCTGTCCCTCTCTCTTTTTTTATGTTTGAACAGCAGTGTTGATCAAATCTTGAGAGTTATCTAGATTCTAGATGGGTTTGACGTGTATCGAATATTTATTATAAACAATTGGTCGTACATTCTTAAATACGAGGCTCTTTTTCGTTAAACTGTCTCTTGTTATATATGACACACCGAACCTTACATAATGAGTTAAAATTTAGGTTTGAGGTCAATGTCTACGTATAAAGTAAGATACGTATGGAGTGAAGTGATACCAAAAAGATGATATAAATATATAGAGGTATCCAGTTTAACTCGTTCATGATTTGACCATAAAGCAACCTAATAATCAATAAATTTGACAATCTATTTTTTTTAATTTAATATAGAAAGACTTCTTGTGTGAGATGTAATGATTTCCGACTCGTATTTCTCTAATGATATACGTCATCTCAACATTGCTCCATCTCTCTCTTATTACTATCGTGAAGGGTTATAAGCAATGGCGGTTCGGAACAAGGGCGACATCGTAATAGCTATAATATAACTCTAATTAAATAGGGATTGAATTGAAACGAAGATGTCGACAAATTACAAACCACGAATAAGTAGTGCACTTGTGCCTCTCTAAGAGTCTTGTATGTTATTACACGCTATTTTCATTTGGTGACTTTTCTGTGAGCGCTGGTCCCGCTTTGAATTCAATTTAAATCCTAATGTCAAACCTGCCTGTACTAGTAAACGCATCATAATAACCCTTAACAACATTCTCAGTACACACAGAAGTTTAATTAATGTTAAAAGCCTCTAGGACATGGAGGCCATTGGACTATCTTATTTTTTAACTTGTTTGATAAAAAATTGCTTTGTAACTTAGGGATTTTTTAGACTCAAATTATTGTTACTAATAAAATGAAGAGGCATCATCACAGCGTACTTAATATTTATAATAAATAGCTTCATGTAATATTTATTTTTTTCAGTTATTTTTCCCATGTGTTGCAAGTCATAAACCCATTTCGTTGACATCTTCAAGATTGAATTAATATGAACTGTACGTTTGGACGAAACAGAAAAACAGAAAATTGTCTTTGACAAAAGCACATTCAACTCTCGATGATAACGCGGGAATGCGTGTTGCTTTATATAAATAAGACGTCCTATTTCACCGTAAAAAGGCTCATTGTGACGTTTACAATGAAACTGTGGTTTCGAACTCGATAATAGATGACACGTGCTTAATACGTACATTTTCGCTTAAAACGCTACTGATACAATGAGCTTATGTATTTATTTCCAGCTTGAAATCGCCATCATTTTTGCATAATTGATAACGAGTCCATTTCAATCCCACGTTAAATAAATTTCTTTTATGAAATGAAAAATGGAAAGTTCATACGATGACTTAAAATCACTAAAAAAATACCTGAATATTTTTCATACAATTCAACTTCATGAATCCGTGTTGAGTTGGCCAACGAGGATGTACGGATATAACAACTATGGCCCCTACCAATCTGAAGCAAACAAAATCGACTGTTACCAACTTGTTTTTTAAAATTGCCAATGCCTTATTTAAACATAATTGAAACATAAAAACATAACGTTACTCAACTCCAAATAATAATCTGAATATTATATATCTACACTGAATCTTAATTATTGGCGATGGTTTAGTTAGATCATGGACACATTGGATATTTTTTCAAATTTTAATAAATCGAAATATTGAGTTATTTCTTTCTATTAAATCAAATATTTGACAAATTTTAAAAAGAATAATGATAAATTATATATAATATACGGTCCCACTTATAGTGACAAATATACTATATAATATTCATCAAAAATGTAATTTTATATTATTAACTATCTCATCCTATGTTATTAGTTGAACCCTTAATTTTCCAGCAAAGTATAGTCAATTCGAGTTCGTGACGCAATTAAAATAATTCGAAAACCAGAGAGTAGCCAAAATTCTTACAAAGCTAATCAGAAGTTATTTTAGTCATTTTATACAGTCAAATATGCGCCATATTAAAAGATCGCAACCAGACGAAGACTATCCGTGGACCGGGTTTAAAAAATGTCTTTTGCTAGGAAATTGTTACATAAATTTCTAGATTTTGTTGGCAATTAAATAGAGTCCATAATTACAGAATACATTTAAACGAAATGAGATTATAATTTATACGTCAATATCGCAGCAATTAGAAATTCCTGACAAAATGTCGCTGATGAATGCTGATGTCTTGATATAAAAGGCTGTGGTACACTACAAGAATATTTTTTTAAACGATTTCCAAATTCGAATTTTGCTGTCGATACCCAACTGACAGGATGAATAAACTTATATTATTAGGATTTGTTCTTTGTGCAATAATAGTATGCATATATGCAGATGATGACAAGGACGTAAGTAAACCATTAGATTAGATTTTCTAAAAATAATTTGGTTTAGACTCAAGTTGATTTAGATATAAAATAGATAAACTCTAAGGTATTGGTAGCTAACGTGTAATCGGGAAAGTTGGGCCTGGAATATTGAAGAGTAACGATAAACCTATCTCGCGATGTTTACAGTATTTTCTGTTGGTCACTGTTAATATAAGTATATATACAGTTCACTATTCTACTCGTCTGCTTAGTTGGTGATATTAGAATCAAAAATTGAGTATATTATTGTAGAAGTTGAGCATCTTCGAATTCAATACCGATTAAAATTGTTGCATAAATTTTAGCTTTCCCTTCAAGAAGTTTTTTCTCGGGCGAACAAGAAAAATGGTGGTATGCCTAAACCAAGACTTCCAGGTTCAGATTGTAAAATCAGGTAAATATAATTAATATAAATAAACAAAACTGAAGGTATCAATTACCTTTCCCTCCTTACAGAGCTAATGAAAACGCCACGAGTCCTCTTCACAAAAAAAGAGATTGTGACACGCAAAAAGAATCTGAGTTGAAATTTTCACACACAAATTATTTGAGTTTTAATGACTGTTTTAATTTAGTGAGCTGGACACTGATCAAGCTAATAGTAATGTAGTTCATAGATTAGTCTCAATATTGCAAACACCTTCTGGAATGATCAGTTTTTCATTGAACTCCTAAAGCGTCCATTGAACCCACGCTTTATTCTAATAATTGAACTATGTAAAATACTTTAGATAAATCTTTTCACTTTTAAGCTAGAAACCTAGATCATATCTTGGAGCAAATCCTTGATGACGATTTCTTTAATATTCAAACGATATCATTCTGATACGTTTCAATGTAGATTAACTCGTGTCGATGTTTCAAATCCAATACTCAGATTTTTAAAATTTCGGTGATCTCCTGTCACGTCTTGTTTTCTGTTTTTCTTGAACTCCCAACTTGACTTTGGTCTTACCATTTGACACCACCAATTTTTATTATTTACTATTTCCAATAATCGTAGGCATTTTTCCAAGAATCAGTAATTAGCCAATTTAAAATAAACTGCTTTAAAGTAAAATTCCTTTTTTTAGGAAGAAACCCGAGAATCAATGCATTAGTTTGAAGCCATTGGACCCTCCTTTATGCATTGCCGATGAGTGTAAATTCACCCCAAAATATGGCGAAGAAATTGTCTATTTATGGCAATTGTTTGATATGCCTCATAAATATGGAACTGAAAAGAAATACAGAAAAATTTTAGACTTGGGTGAAGACTTAACGAAATCATTTGACGCCGAAGTTTGCCAGTAAGTACTTCGTTTTTGTTAAGCTACTGAAAAAACTATTTTATACAAATACCGATTGGAATTGAATTAGGTTAATACATTAGCAATCGAATAGGGAACTAAGTGGTAAAACACCGCATTAAAATTTATAACGTTCCATCGATACTGAAAAATGATTTTTTAGTCTAGATTGGGATATTATGGAATCTAGTAAATTACACAAAACTGGTAACATGCAATTATAGAATCTTGAAGAGCGTTGTTCGTTTCCTACCAGTTGCGTTTATTCCACTCCGTCTGAACCTGGTAGCAACTAGCAACCCTTAGCATGAATGGCCTTGTTTCCACAACAAGTGTTATCTCGTTTCAGGGCGGAAAACAGAATTTGTCATTGCGAAGACACCTGTCATTGCAGACGTGAAAAGGTTGTGCGAGTTTGCAAGCAGAAGTACACATATAAATATGAACGTTACTATGTATACAACACCCATTTCTGTCGCCCTAAGCCTTTCAATCCGATGCAATATTTCTACCAAAACCTTGGACAAGGCCAGGGCTATAACCCAACGCTGTCGTATATGATGAATCAACAAAACAATAATCAAAACAACATTGCTGATAGAAGAAATGGGAGGTACCCAATGGGTACATTTGCTAGATCGTCATCTAACGCGATGCCGCCATTTTTCAATTACAACAACCCGCAACTGATGCAGAAATTTTACGGTATGGGTGGCGCACAAAACCCCGGCATGCCTGCGATGCCACGGATGACAGGCTATAATCCATACTTTCCACAGCAGCAGCAGAGTCCTTCCTCACTTTCTTACATGTTTTACATCATGTCAATGGCAAACCAAAAACAAGCAGAGCAAGATTTGGACTCCTATGTACAATGTCCAAAAGACCGCAAAATTACCGGTAGCGTACCAACAACACCAAATTTTTTCAATCATAATTTCTACAATTTGAACATGCAAATGAGGGTCAAGAACGTTTGGCTGAAAATTAAGGTACGTAAGAATGCTTTACAATAACCTGAAAGTTACCAGACTCCGGCCTGCCTCAATCAAACCGAAGGAATTTTATTCATATATATAACAAATTTTCAGCATTGTTACGAGTCGTAGGCCTACTCTCAATTTTTCATGTATAATTTTTCCATTTTTTTTATAGGTGCCTTCTGGATGTGAATGCAAGGAACTCAAAAATTACGACAAAAATGCAGATAACTAACAAGTTGTCCCAACGAGCTCAAGCAAAGGGGTGAAAATCATATCGTTAAAGTCTACTGCAAATAGCTTCTTTAAAACATCTTCACCAAAATGATGATTACATGAACACTAATAGATAGAAGTTGGCGCGAAACAGTGCGGCTTGAGCCAGCAAGTTGCTTCATTTTGGAGACAACTCGTAAAAGCGAAGTGTTTTAATATGTATACTTGGAAACAAGCCTCACTCGCAAAGGGAGATTTGAGAGAGTCTACATATGAATAAGAGTCATATTGACTACGTTTATCGCTTCTCATTGAATGCTTTTTACATAATTTTTTACAATTTTTTTCAAATTATGATCAACAAAAAATAAAACGGCAAAAATTCGAGTTTTTTACTTGTAATTTGCGAGGTCGTTTAAAGCCATGTCACATTCATAGAGGGGATTCATTTTTCTGTTCACCTGGGCGCTTGAACTTTTCCGTATTTCGTAATACTATTTGATCGCCGAGCATCCTATCACGTCAGCGAGATCATATTATTCAATTACTACATGTTATTAGTTGAGTAATCATGTTTAAAGAGATAAACGATTCAATAATTAGCGTCAATATTTCTATTTGCCATTAAAATCGTCACAAAAATACGTAAGGTATTTAGCCTCTGGCTTCCTTTCAAGGTATGTCACATGGTAAATTGTTGCCAGTAAATGGGCTAATGTTTTTTAAGAACAGTGATATTTTTCCTTCCCGGATGTAAGACCGCTTTTGTTAATCCATTTTTCGTAGAATGATATCTTCATGAAAATTCCTGGCGTTGATGCACTTGCACAATCATGAACGAAACTTCCCAATCCAGCCAAATACCAGTCACAGTTTGAGCACCGTTGGCAAACCAACGGACTACCGTTTCCATCTTGATTCTAAAACGTAAAAAATTTGTCAGTATATATCTAAATGATATACAAAAAAAATAATTAAATTACAGCATTTATATATATATATATTAAACTAAGCATCCAAATCATGTATGTTCACAGTTGAAGGGACGTGGTTCGCATAAACGTTGAAGTACGAAAACAGCATACCTCAGTCATATTTAATTGGGAAATATCGATGATTTCAGAAAAATAGTTTCGAGAGATTATTTCATTGCACTGCAAATAGATTGCCAAATTATTATCAAATCGCAGCGTGGTCGGGGAATATTTCAAAGAGTTAAAAATGCATTCAAAACTTCAGTGAAAAAAGTTATTATTCCGAACCAATAAAGGGTAGGCTAATAGATATTTGTCATATTCAGCGGATACTTACTACTAAATCCCATTTATGCACTATTTAAAGTGAAAGAGTTGATTGACAAGTAGCGCCCTAAAAGTTACTTGTTAAGTTATTTCTGATTTCTGCTACAATTATCTCGTTCATCCTGACGTATACCATACCATAATATGAAATATGTTTTATTGACATAATGATAGGGTCATTTTCATTGAATCCATAAAAATTTCTCGTAATTGCTATTACCTACCGAGCAAGTTGTTTCTACGTTATCGTTCATTCTTCCAGCGCAAATCATTTCTCTATTTCTCATCGTTGCATCAAAATTTAAAGCGTAGATTGTAGCACAATATGAGAATGGGAGAATGAACAATTCAGTTTCTGTTACTTTTTGGGAGACTTCATTTTCTGAATTGCACAACATTGGTGATTAAAGTGAGAACGGTGACATGCTGATAAGTTCAAACGTTTTTGTCAATCTTATCTCAGGTGCGTCACCTTATATAGGGATCGAGCTTAGGAGGCGATGTGGCGGTTTCCGAAGTACGATTTGCTCAGGCATAGAAGAAGACATTGATGTAGGCATGAATGACTCTTTTATTTTCAGTTTAAGCTATATAAAATATGTCACTATGTGCAATCGAGTTTTCATAAAGTAGTATACAAGTGTACAAAAACATGTTGTCAACATGACCATTTTGACAAAAAGCGTGAATGCCGGCATTCCTCACTCATTGTGAGGGTCTTCCGTCGCGTCAACATCAACATACAAACAAATATTTTGATTAAACGTTTTTTACCTGAGTCCCAGCCAATCAAGAAGCATTTCGAGTCTTCTGGAACTCTCTCTCCCAGTGGAAGTTGAATTGGACTAATATGGTCGGTTTCATTTACTGGAAAAGCCAACTGTCGATATAATTACACCAAAAATAAATAGGTCATATTATCAAAAATGATCAGATAAATTATGTGCTGGTTATAGATGAAGCATAAAATAAATTAGAATTTCTATTGTAGATAGATTGATCCAGAGACTGGGAAATAATGTACCTTTTTACCATTTTGTGAAGACAATCAAATCTCATACATTTCCATACCTACATACACTATCAGATACCAATGCTTTCTTACGCTTAATAATGCCAGATCGTTATTTTTAAAGCTTGGATGGTACTCGTAGTGGAGAATCGGATTTTTCAGAATTCCAACTTTTAGTACTTTTCCGCTATCGTCTGTGACGTTTTCGTTTCCGAATTTCAAGTAAATATCTTGCGAAAAGTCTCTATTGCAAAAAATATCAAAATTATAGCTTGAGAAATTGTTCACATATACTTCACATAGTAAAATCGGAATTTTTGAAATTTCTTCGTTTCATATTTTGTTTATGTACAGAAAGTAAGATATTTTCAAGCCGTATTTGATCAAACTTTACCAAACCAAATCTCCAAATATTGACGTCCAAAGCTATCTGTTTTCTGGGCTGTAGTGACTTGTGGCAGATTTCTAACTCGAAAAAAAAGCTCGTAGGACTATTCTTAAAAGTCCTTTGCGCATATTAGGAGTAAATATCAGTTAACTTACTCTACACATTTTGCAGAAGTGAGTGCGTGTCCGGTGCCAATAAGAACAACAGGGCAATGATATTTTCCTTTCTCATAAAGAGCTCCCTGTGAATGCATATTTTAATGTTCGATAAATACAAACATATACGTTTTTATAATTGAAGATAAAATAATATCAAAAATCAACCAGGAATGGCCATTGAGACTTGAAAGTTTTTGAATCCCATCTTTCCTCGCAACAAGACGATTGTTTGTAACGGCGAATTTGTCCTTGCGGGCACCCTGGAGTAAGACGTATAATTTCAGTTTGAATTGATAAAAAGTGCTGTTATAGTCAAGTCTTGAACTTTTTTTCAAAAAACATGATGCAATAAAAAATACATTAGCAGAACAGAACAAGTGTTCAAATATCTTGAAATTGAACAAATTGCATTGCGTACAAACACTGATAGTAAATTTTAAACGTGAAACGACTATGGAAACCGATTGTGAAATATCAAGACGTTTGATACTAGGCCCTCGGTAAATAGTGATCATTGAAGTATCACCATCATTGACTAAAATAAATTTACAAATAGAAAATTACAAATGTCATCCTTTTATGTGATGACTATAGGGAAATAAGTGGTATTAGTACTGACCATACATATTTGTAACTGTGGTTGACTTTGTGCTTGTTGTAGTACGTCTAGTTGTTGTGGCGAGAGATGTTGTAGTTGAAACAGTGGTGGTTGTCTCGGGAGTTGTTGTAGATGTAGTAGTCGTAGGTTTTGTCGTAGGAGTGGTAGTGGTTGTTGTGGTTGTAGTTGGAGTTGTTGTTGTCGTGGTAGTGGTGGGGGTTGTTGTTGTTGTCGTGGTTGTAGTTGGAGTCGTTGTTGTTGGAGTTGTAGTAGTGGTAGTTGGAGTCGTTGTTGTTGGAGTTGTAGTAGTTGGAGTCGTTGTTGTAGTGGTTGTAGTTGGAGTCGTTGTTGTAGTGGTAGTAGTTGGAGTCGTTGTTGTAGTGGTAGTAGTTGGTGTTGTTGTTGTAGTGGTGGTAGTTGGAGTTGTTGTCGTAGTGGTTGGAGTTGTTGTGGTAGTAGTTGGAGTTGTAGTGGTGGTAGTTGTTGTTGTAGTGGTAGTAGTTGTCGTTTCAGGACCTGTATAAGGATAATCATATTCTTAACAATACTTGTAACAAGGCATCTGAAAATGATGAAAATCTGGAAAACTATATTTAAATTAAACATGCTTTTGAGAGTCACTTTATTTGAAGGTCTTGAAGATCACCTTTCTTTGAAATCTTATTTAAATCACAAACCAATATGTACGCAATTAGATATACAGTATACGCACCTTTCACACAGCGAATGCGATCATTTCTCTTACACCATGAGCAACCATAAACTGCTAGGCATTCCCGAGAATTCTCTTTACCGGGTTCTCCTCCCCAACAGTTATGTTCTTCCGTTAGGAATATTGTCGACCACTTACATGCCAGGCCTAAACGAGAATAGGAGTGCTAAACAAAGCTACTTACGTTAATGACAAAATGTACGTACATACTGATAATATTATACGGTGTCTAAGGAAACGTGCTTCTTTATTCATTTTCTTCTGATATGTGTGAACATATATTCACCGCCACTTAACCTTAAGTATACTGACCTTCAATGCACCTAGGTTTTCCGTTTTTGCAGAAGTAACATCCTTGTTCGGCACATCTTGTTTTGTTCAAGTTTGAATAGCAATTTACTCTTTCATTATTTTCCTGATTGCAGTTTATGTCCAACTCCTCGGCTTTAACGAGAACAGTTGGTATGTCATTTTCTTTTTATGTAAGAATCAGAATCATTTTCGACAAAATATGCATAACAAACAATATTACAATATTATAAATAATGTGCATTTTTGAATTTGGTTCAGCAGCAAAAATTTAGAATTCTAATCATAAAGCGCATAACATTTAAATTATCTAGAATTGCAATCCGTAATTCTGATTTACAATTTAAGTAAAATAACGTCAAGAATCTTACCTATTAATAAAATTGACACGAAGACTAGAAGAGCGAATAAATTTGAACTTGATTTCATTTTGTTTCTTTTCTCAGAAATATATGGCTAAATCAGCATATATGCAGCAACTATTGATAAACACTAGGACAACTGTAAACAATCTGATTTGATTAGAACACTTCGGAAGCATCATGAGGCAATCAAGAGTGAATCATTTGGTATACACGACTTCCGAAGTGTATAACATTCTTTGAAATGATATTATTCATAAGTAGAATTATATTGAGCCGTGATAATATCATTGGATCATGAATGGCCATTATTAAACTTCAATGTAATATTAGGAGTTTTTCATCTATTATGTATATATACATATAACGCTAATAAAAGAATGGAAAATATTGTTATTATTAAAAGACTATATTAAAAATAATTTTATTCCTCATCTTTTTGTGTCAGTCAAGTCCACATTAAACCGATTGATTTGCCACACGGAGAACCTAGTACAGGGATGGCGAACCACTTACCCGCGGGTTTTATCACTTATACTAACATATGGGTGAGAAAACCGGCTCTAATTAGATTTAACAATAAGTAAATTATGATAATGTACTGTCAGTTGGGCAGCGATCGATCAACTTCAAATTTTTAATTTCGGGTCGGTATGATAATTTTCAGAACTCCCAATCCTGTACGCACGTCTGCACCCCTGTATACTGTTATGCAGCTATTGGCTGTGACATCGTTTATGACATAACAATACAATTGATCTGTTCATTTTTCGCAACGTCTTGTTACAGCGTTTTCATTCACAAGTGCCAAGAACCAAAGGGCACTGCAGATTGTTTTGGGGGGTATACGAGAACTAGATGCTACTTTGTATTTTATTAGTATCTCGCCTGTAATGCCGTTGAGAAAAGATAATGATTTAGACTTAAAATAAAGATCTATAAATCTGAAATAACAATGGGGCACTGTAAAATAGCATTAATGTGGTTGGAGGCCGATCGAAAAATATCAGAGTGTAATTCCCTCCAAACTCTTTGGAAGCGTAAAATAATTTGCCTCATCATCCTAAACGTTTTTCGGTAATTCATATGCGTGTTTTCGTACACAAATATCCATAAATTCATGAGTGCCATAAAGAGTCTGGTAGTCCCTGATAGAAGTGCTGCCTAAATAAAGCCCAAAACCACACAACACCACCCGAAGCTCATAAGGTTTGCAACATGAGATGCAGCAGCAAGTTTCTTATAAATACCAACATTGATTCAATATATGTGACCCACACTCTTCTGTTTCGTGATAAAAATATAATTTTTTGACACATTGAAAAAAGTTTGCCAACCCTGACCTAGTAATAAAGGAATGAAATGTTTCACGGTTAGGAAATAAGTAAGTTCCAAATTCAATTAACTTTATTTGCAACAGTTACATATATATATACTATCTGAAACTATGTTATCTTTTTTTAGTTGATTCAAGCGATAGACTTTCAGTTTCTTTTGTCATGAAAGAAGTTAAAATGCTCCATTTTCGTAAATGTAAACTTCAATACAAATTCAGTAGTCAAATCACTCCTAATGAAAAACTAATAATTTGTGCTGGGACTGAAACAGAAGGAAAGGACGCTTGTCAGGTAAAGTATTATAAAAACATATTTACGGTTCGAAGTATTAGAATTACAATTGCACTACTACAGTCAAATTCTCATTGCAAACTCGTTCTTGGGGCGATAGTGGCGGTCTTCTTGTCTGCCAGCGATGTCGATCTTGTGATTGATATGTCAGCTCCGGTATTGGATGTGCCCGACCAGAGTTTCCTGGAATCTACACAAAGGTGGTAAACTATGAATATTTTATTTGTGGATCAGGGACGACGAATAATTGAGCTGTCCATGACTCTGATTTATTCAGCTCAATTTTTTTGTAAAAATTTTTGTAATTTGCAATTTCGTATTTCTTGTTTTATTTTACAGTTATCTCTATTTTCATCTGAAATGCTGATATAATTACGATGATTATATATCACTATGGCATTTTCTTGCATATGCAACAACATTCATATTTGGCATGAGTCTCATAATATTTAATTCTTCACAAAATGTATTCTTATTGGACACGGAGTGGACCTATGGATCGTTTTGTTATTTTGTTGCTGTTGTACTTGGTTCTTGTTGTTAATTATGTTAGAATTTTCTGTACCTATTGTTCTGAAATTTACAATGGTTAAAGATTGTATTTTTTGCTATAAGGCTATTACTTTTATTTATTTCAAATATTTCTGTGAGCTACCGATAAGTTACCGCATGTAATTTTCGGGGAATTGATGATAAAATATTTAGTTTTGCCCTCCGTTTTCACATATTTGGGCATAGCTCTCTTGTTATTACGTATTATTTACTCAACAAGAACAATTCAAATACTAATATCTAAATAATACTACAATAATTAAACTAATAATTCGAGATTAGTTTTTAGAAAACTCTTATGGGGGGAATTCAATCGGGTAAATAAAATACGCCCCACTTCTCTTTATCGCTAGGTAGCAGTATGGGGTTTGTAGACGCCGCTAACGTTTTGTCTTGTTTATCCTTGTAGTTCCGTAGTGTCTTGGCTCAGGTAGTTTTGGAGTTCTGCTGCTTTATATAGTTCGTCTCGCATTGCAAATACCCTGAATTTTTTCATCGGTAGTTCGTTCTAAACCTGGGGTATAAGGTTAGGCGTTAGCACCGCGGAGATGGCCAGCGGGGTGGCTAGTGGCACTCACCAGTCGAATAAAGGGCGAAGGAATGGGAGAAAGGAAGAACCAAACTCAACTAAAGTCCTTTGCAGGTAAATACAAACACAATAAAGTACAGCAATATGGTTCATCCAGTGACCTGTTACAGTGTTATGGCTTTGATGTTGGGTAAATTGCTTTAAATGATGTGGGATTACAAATTATCCGAAATTTGCGCTAGTCTTGTTTGTGAAGTCATATCTGCATATGGCAAACTACTGGTACTGCCTATCTGCCTATTGCCCGGTTACCAGTCCATGTTGAGTATGGAATCAGTTAGTCAGGTATTTATTTTCAATGCATGGAGATGGACTTAATAGTGGAGGAAGTCGTAACCGCCCAGCGGTTACACGAACCACCCGACGGCGGCGAGTGGTCCAGCAATCCTCTTGCCCAAAAAAATGCCAACAGTTTTTAATATCACCCTCCAGCAGTCCAGAATACATTCCTGGATGCTTCTAATATGTGATTTCTTTTTAGAAGAATATATATTATGTTTTATCAGCATTCTTCACTAATTTGTTATATGCAAAGTCTTAAATATATATGATATTCATTACAATATTTTAATTATATTATTTTATCCTATCTGGATCATACTAGTTGGCTTTTTCTTTGTTTCCCAATTTTTTCATAGTATGAATCTCTCTAATCTGTGTTAAAAACTGTATAAATTGGAAACAAATTTAATAGTATTTTAAATAGGATACCTTATTTGAGTTTATAAAATTTTTAATTCTTGTCTATTATACTTTTAATCTATTAAACCAGCAATTATTTTTTCTAGATACCATGTCCATGGTGTGTGTCGCTTTGGGGACAGGTGCAAGTTCTCACATGACCTTGATGACCAACCGAATCTAGTTTGTACATTTCATAAAAAAGGTGTTTGCGCTTATGGTAAAGAATGCAGGTATGTAGAGCATTTTTTTAGATGTTTTCCTATGAATGCTCTGTACAAAAAGCCACGTCTCTCACTCTACTATTACTGATATTAAATAGTCATTATTTCTCATTTTTGTGTCTTGTAGATATGATCATGTGAGAGATAAAAGTACTCGGAAACATCCTAGTCCTGTGTATGAAAAACCAAGGTATTTTTTGGATTTTTTATCTTTTTTTTAGTGCTAAGTGAGTCTTAAACTTCGATGACGGAAATTGTAAAAAATATAGAGAGTCTGAATACACTTTGAAAAAAAAATTTTCAAAATGGAATATCAAATTTATTTTAAATTGGGTCATTTTTTACAAAGATCATATAAAAGTCTATACATAAATTAAATGAGTTTGAATTTGGAAAAAAAGTTAATTATTAAACAGGAATATCAATGTTGATCTGAAATGTACAAAAACTGAACATATATGGCTGAGATGAAGATTCTAAAACAGGCACATCTGTGCCAATGATAATTATTAAACAACCCCAACTCGGAACTTTTCTAACTGGAATTTTCTAATATTGTAAACGGCAGCAGATAATATTATTACAAAAAATGGAAATTTCAAATTCAAGATTTAATACGATATTCACAGATTTATTTCTTCTTCAGCACAACTGCCGATCTTTCGTCATTCACATCTCATGATGACAGTTGGGTAAATGCCGCAGAATTTGTACCTGGGAAAGTTTATTCTCCAAGAGGTGATTGACCCTTTTTTCTTCTTAAAGTAAATTTCTTTCACCCTACACCAGAAAAGGAAAGCTTGAAATCTCTTTTATGCCATATAACTCGAATAGCTTTGAAATATTGTATGATGATATGCATATTGAGATCAATGTAACCGGCTATTATGTTCATGGATGGCTGAAACCCAATAACGTACCAGTTTGAATTGATTCTGAAAATATATTTAAGATTGCAGAATAATTAATATAAACATTGCTTTATTTCACACATTTATTAGAATACAAATGAAGTTGGGGTTTTGTCCAATTAATTGTCTGATGTTAATTGCCTTAAAAAGTAATTTCTCTGATAATGATACTTTTAATAAGTCCTGAAATCAAGAAAATGCTATATTGAATATAACCTAATTTTATTATATTCAAATATACAATTTGCTTTGTCATCACCGACCACATCAATGAAAGATTAGTTCGGATTAGTTCATTCATTAGATTAGGATACAAACCTTTTGTCACTCGCGGGCCAAATTTAAGGTTTGCAAATCTTGGCAGGTCGCACATATTTTTTTGAAAAAGTTAAAAACAAAAACATCAACAACAAAACGAACCACAGGTCCACCATGTGTCCAATAATCTGCTCAAGCATGGATTATAAAATTAAATTATGCATTAGATTGTAATAAATGCTTCAACAAATTTTTGATTAATTTTTATTTATCTTATCACAAAGTATTGGGACCATGACTCAGCAATATTTGTTTTTGGAAACAGTGACATCGTCATACAGTAATATATTGAAAAGCAATGATGAACTAGCAAGCTCCGTTAGGTCAAATGGTTTTAAACAAAATGAACAGGAAACTAAGCCAGTCGAAGAACTATGTCCATACTATTTACTTGGTGAATGCAGGTATGAGAAAGAATAAAATTAAAAGATTGTGCAATATACTTTGGTCATGTTTGAGAAATCTTTTCATTTACTTGATTGGATAGGCTTCAATTTATATATTTTCAAATGTATTCTCATATTTGATTTGTTTCGGACTTCTATAACGGGTATATAATAAATTACTACTCTCTTATTAGTAATCTTTCGGTACTCCCATAGTGTGTATTTTTATTCCGGTTTTCTTCATTTTAGTTCTATTACGAGTTCGGGGACTGTCTGTGTTAGCCAAGTGAATATACCCCCTGCCCATTGGTTTCAGTTTTATTACACAACTTGATGTAAAATAGGCGAACAAAATTAGTTAGCTCCATATTGGTACGCATACTTCTGGAGCGTCAATCTTTCTACTTATGCTTGTACTTTCTCCTAATATTGCATTCTTTCGGTAATTTCTTCTAATTGCTTGATCTTACTTCTAGTGCTCCTTTAGAGAAAATTGCTCTTTTACTAAAATGAAGTTTCTTGTTACTGTAGTAAGTTGTTTAAGTTGTAGAGAATTTATTATTGTTGATTTTACAACTTAATGGAAAAAATACTAGATTATCTAATTGGTGATTTATACCCATTACCGGGTACTCAAATTAATTGATAAGGTTGATTTGGTTAATCAGGTTTTATGGTTTAATTAAAATTTTTTATTCCGAATCTAAAATATCTTTCTAATCTAATATATAATATAATATATATAAAATATCTTTCTAATCTAATATCTAAAATATTTTTCTATTTAATCAACTTATCATTTCTGCAACATGATGATGATGTTTATATACTCCTTTTTCTTATCATATTATTCAGTAATGAATATTTCTATCTGAAAGAAAAAGTAATACCTGTGTTATGAAAAAAAATTGTTTTATTATTTGTATGAAAGCGACTGTTATTTTTAACATATTTTTAAAACAGTTTTGTAGTTCTTTTCCACCAGTAAAAATGTTATACATACAATTCCCTAATATCAGAATTTTTGTTAAAAATTTATGAGTATGCATATAAAGAAATATACAAGAATTCAATTTATTAATATTACACCAATAAATACAATTCATTACTTATATTCAAATTCACCATCCCTTCAGAAAAATTTTGTGTAAGTCAATTTTGTGAATTTATTTTGATCATATATTTTCATTGATTATGTGTTTAGATATGGTGACGAATGTGTCTATTTGCATGGAAAATTATGTGATATGTGTGGACTTCACATACTTCATCCTACCGATCCACATGAACAAGAGAAACATAAAGAGGTAAATAATCTTATTTCATTCATAAACTTGTCACTTTACCAGCAAAGAATAGAATTAATGTTAAAGTTATCACTGTTCAAAATAGCTGCTGGTGATACATGATTACCAGAACGTGTTGTCATTGACCATCTTATGTCAACCTTTTAGAAAGTTTGTTGTCACCTTTAATGAACATTAGATTAATATATTTATGATCACACAACAGTTTGATATAATTGTATTGATTAGCTTTGATTATGAAGTTTAATTAAATATTAATTCAATCATGATATTTTTTTTGTAGCATCAATTACAATTATATTTTGTCTCTCTCTTTTGTGAGAAATGGGGATTAAAAACAAATGTTAAACAAATTTCTGTTGTTCCAAGCTTTGTTGTACGTAGCCTTAGCCTTATTATTTAAAACGTCAAAATCAGAGAATATCACTTCATATTTTATAGTAGTCATAGCCATAGGAAGTAAGTCATGCTTAGTAAACCGGACTAGTGTGATGTATGAACCTGCGCTATACAGCATACTTCAGGGGTGGTCAAAATTTTTTGGTGTTAGAGCCGCATGCAGCAAATCAGAAATATGATTGTGAGAGCCGCATAATTTTTGAAATATTAATATTAGAGCTCATTAAATCATTCGCATTGTAACTGTTACATTGGTATTAATTTGGGAGATGCGGCGTTGTGTAGTGCGATGCGAAATCGGAGTTTGGGTTATTACTCACTTCGTGTCGTTGGGATTCGAGACTGTGACAACATCAACAATATTTTTTTTCACAGTCAGAGTATGGGTGTTCAGCACCAGCAATATTTCATGACTTAAGTAACAAAACTAGCTTCAGTTGTGGCATCTGATTGCTTGGCAATTGATATCATAAATTTTGCCATGAGTGGTTATTTATGTGCGAGATGATTGCTGGACTCTTTGCCGACGTAGAGTTGGTCATGTAACCGCTGATTGATTTCGGCTTCCTCCACCATCTAGTATAGACATGTATCTGAAAACAAATAACTGGCTAACTAATCCCTTACTCGTCATTGACTTGTAACGGGACGGCAGGCCATGGTTCACCACATGATTAAGCCGTCGTATAAGCTTTCCTATCCAACATAATAAATATGTGAATCCTACTAACAGTAACACTGCATACCGCCAACACATTTGACCATAGTGACGTAAGATTTCTCACTTGAATGATTTAAATTTGGAATTCCACGCAACAGCGATTTTCATACTAAAACATAATTTGGCCTAATCATTGATGAAAACTTCTTAAACAGCTTAATAAATTTAACAAAAAATAACTGTTACACTACAGTTTCTCTTAGTTTAATTTGGATAATATTTAATGCTAGCGAGAAGTGCCACAAAAATCTCTTACGAGCTGCGGTTTGCCCACCGTTGGCATGGATCGCAGCTCTGATGTCTATTTCCATACATTTTTGAAAATTCAAGTTGATTTTGAAAGATGATTTTAGGAATCTAAATTTGTCTTTGCATAAAAAAGATTTGCTCTAATAACAATTTATAAATATTGCATTTTTTTGCTCATGTGTCTAAATTTTTGTCATATTTATGATATACATGATGCAATAGCTCATTTGGAAGTCTCCTGCATATTTTTATGTACAAGTGAGTTCTGGATTCCCAATAACTGTATGCAATATAGACATTTTTTTTGTCCAATATGATCTGTCTCACCTTACCCTCCTAATATTTTTTGTCTTGAAAATGTTCCGATTTTGTACATTTCAACTCTATTAGTGTAATCAAATTAGTCTTGAAAGACTGTTCTGTAGTTAATAAAATAGTTAACTATAACGTCACAGTGTTCTGGAAACTATGATTTGACTCAAAATGTTTATACTATCATTATAACTATTTGATTTGTTATATACTTATCTGAGCTGTTTGAAATTTTAACGAAGCCCTGTATGTTACTTCATTGTACATTTATTTATTTCATGTACTTTCTTTTATGAGTTAATTGTTGCGACTTCCATAAGTTCTAATCTTGTATACATTTTATACAGTGATTATTCAAAAAATTACCAATCTGTTATGTTACTCCAATCTTCATCTGTGTAACTAAAATGTCCAACTCGTGCAACTAATTTTATATCCAAATGAACTGATTACCAGATCCAAAAGCAAGTTTTATTAAGATAAATTGACATAAAATTCGTACAATTTTTTTATTGCTAAAATTTGAATTTTATTAAATATTCAGTGATAATTAGATAAAATATGAACAATTATTTTTAGGAGTGCTTGGCAAGTCATGAAGAAGATATGAAAGAATCATTCAAAGTTGCACAGAGTTGTGAAGTGACTTGTGGCATCTGTATGGAAGTGGTGCGTATGGTTTACTCCACTGATCTTCCAATTTTTTTCTTTGCATCATCCATAAATCTGGCATAAAATATATTTATGAAAAATTTCACTTTCCTGATTTCATCAATATTTTTTTCATCTTTTCGTTCTCAGGTTTGGGAAAAGAAAGAAAAAAGGGAAAGGAAGTTTGGAATTTTAGAAAATTGTTCTCATGCATTCTGTCTTGATTGTATCAGAAAATGGAGAAGCGCTAAGTCATTTAATAATACAGTTGTCAAGTAAGGAACTCACTACTATCTCACTCATGTCCTTAATTATATTTGAAAATTCAAACCTTATATTTTGTTCGTTTTTCAGAGCTTGTCCAGAGTGTCGAGTTTCTTCATCTTTCGTAACACCAAGTGATGACTGGGTTTCAGATAAAGAAGAGAAAAAGAAATTAATCGAAGGGTATAAAGATCACTTATCGTAAGTTATTTTCAGTGGATTCCCATTACTGTTCAATCATAGTCTTTCAAGTTAATTTCTGGTAAACTATCTGGAATGTGCCCATTGCCCAGATGTGTGTTTTTGTAGAAGAGATATTAAGAGATATTAATTATGCTTTGTTCCAACTTTTGGTGGGCTGTTTGTGTAACAGCTATTGCATTAGTATTGTAGCAAAAAATCTTTGTTCTAAGATCTGGTTCGTTGCTAGAATATCTGAAACCAGAACAGTAACATCTTAGTGGCTGCTTATTGAACTTTACTTGGAGCAAAATTTCAAGATTTTTGTGTCTTTTTATATCAATTGGAATTTAGACATTATATAGGTAAAGTAATTAATATTCAAAACTATCAACTCTGTTATGGTAAAATATTCACCACAAACTTGAAATTACAGAAAGAAGTCATGCAAACATTTCGATCAAGGCCGAGGAAAATGTCCGTTCGGAGCTAATTGCTTCTACCTCCATGCGTATCCAGATGGTACAAAACAAGATCGATCAAAAATTCCAAAGAGAGCTAGAAATGCAGAAGGAAGATTGCAGGTTTAACGATTATTTTCATAGTTTTGCATCTCATACTATGTCCCGGTTAAGCTTCTCAATCATAGAATCCATTAATTGATGGCCAAACATACCTTTTTATAGAAGATTTATACAAGGTTCAATTCTTGGGCCTATAGTGTTCTTATTCTCTAATTACTTACCAGATAATTTAATCTGCAATTTAGTCATACATGCTGATAACACAAATTTATATTTATTACTTGAGTAATATATTCATTTTGGTAAATATCTGCAAATTGATTTGTCGTTTCTCGTCAGTGTTAGCTTGAATTTTTAGGTCAACCTGTATTTGCTATCATTTCTGTCACAAAGTTAGATTATGGTTGCTGGATGTTATTTGGCTATTATTCCTTTTTTCTTTTTATTTGCTTTGAGTATACTTGTATAAAAAAAATAATATCGAATAATTGTTGAAAATATAATTAATGAATTGAAATATTAGAGTACTTTGACGAATGAACTGTTTTTATAGACCTTCGATTCATCAACAATATGGGAATTCATTGAAGAGCGGCACGATCATCCATTCTTTGATCTTGAAGATGATAGTATGGAGTTATTTGACCTGGTGTACCTTCTCGGTGCAAATACGAGCTTAGGCGATGATTCAGACTCGTATGATCACTGGGACTGGTTTTTGGGAATTGGTGATAGTGATGAAGATAGCGACTTTTACTAATTCTTGATCACATCATTCAAGCTTGAGCTATGTATAGAATATACATTGGAAGTATGGCCTCTCGTAATTCACGCTTGAATACAATGACCAAATTTTACTATATGAATAACATGCAAGTGTAACCATTTCGCTCGTGTATTCTCATATGTGTATACTGGTATTAAAATTATGACATTTAATCAAACTAGGGCTCCAAACTTTAAAATTCTAAGCATTTCTAAATTGTTTCTTATTTTTTAATTGACATCTCATTAATTTTGATGTGGAATCGTGTGTGTGTGTGTGTGTGTTTTTATTTATAACTTGGCGGATCCATTTAAGATAATTGTAATCTCACTTTTATGTGTTTGCTTTGTTTGACTACACTTATGATATTATTTGTTTTTGCCTGGTGATAACTTGCTTTATAGAATTTTAAAGTTTGTGGCCCCACTTATTTGTATCAACAACTTTTTTGCCTTGCCAACGACTTTACTTTATCAATGACTCAGTAAGAATCCTGCATCTTCAATTTTCAACTGGCACTGCACTGTTTGTTTCTTATTAGGAAATTGCACCAATCAGCTCTTGTTTATCAATCTCTGTTCATTGACTACTTATATTTTCCCGAGAACGCCGCCATTTATAGGCTTAATTCATGTGTACTTTTCTTTTCAATGTCGCCTTTCCATTTTATCGCCTTGAAAATATTAAATAAACGCTGGTGATTTTAAATTTAGTTCACTGCTGTAGGCTGTGCAATCTAGATGAATAATATATTCAAGGTTTTAGGCACAAAGATACAGTTAACAGTATCCTACACTGTTGATACAGTATTAGGAAGCAGTTTTTTTTCTCAAGAACTATTCAACAAAGCGCTATAACGGCCGACATGGTGTGCAACAAGACTGGTGAAGAAGTTAGGAACCTTCGTACAAAAGTTGTCACATTTACGTGATATTCGTCCTTGCACAACGAGCGCTAAATAAAATAAATACAGTAGTTTGGGTGGGGTACCGTAGCATATTTGGCTGTTAGGTATTCGGAGGCTGAAGATGTAGAGTGTATTTTACGCATATTTTCATCGCCTTGCTTTCTACATTAAAATGTGACGTGAGAAAATCACCATTGTAACGTAGCAGTCCTCGACTACTGTTACGTTTGGCAAGGGTACGTTACATCGTGCACGACTACCGGTATTTATTGAGATAATTTATTGCTTTTGTCAACCCAAAAAACAAGGACATACATGTGAACAAAACAGGGGTTCAAAATTTTGGGTATATGACTGGGTGGTAACGACACGACCGCCAAGGTCATCAGTCTGCTACCACCCAATACAAAATACATGAATAAATAGTTACAACAACAGATTCAATATTTGGCAAAAAGTGTACATTGTTTAAACATCGCCATATTGGTTTGAAAAGTGAACTGAAGCATATATATTTGATGCTTTTTTGGAATGAGTATAAGGATGGGCAAGCAGAAAAAAAAAATTACAGTGAAATTTTAGAAAAAGTTTTTTCGAAATGAAAAATGCACCGGATTCGGCTATCTCGATGACCAATTCGTTCGAAGAAGCTTTGTACTTAATACACCCTTGCATGAAGAATCAATAAGCAATTATTGGTTTAAAACTGCCATAGAGGTAAAAATATTCAATGTATCGTTTAATCCTACTCGTGGTAGAAAAACAAAACATGAATACATAGAGAGAGAGAGATTTATTTTTTCGTCAACCAAAAATAACAGTCATCGTAGACAGGAGGGAGTGATACGACCAGACGGTCCCCCCCCCCCCCCCTTCAAGCTATTATGTTTAAGATCCACAGTTTCAGATGACTAAAATATTGGGGAGGAACATTCTAGAATTTAAAATTATATTCTCAAAATGGAAGAATAAAATTGGGGGGGGGGAATGCTAGAGTAAATCTTTTTTATTTATTTATGTGGAGCGGAAAGGTTACTGAATGAAATTAATATATACGCATATGTGATGAATTAGCAGAAATGCTTCATTTCATGGCATAGGTACGCATTGAAGATGTAACGAACATGATCTGCTTTGATTTGTCTAGTTAGGAGGGGGAAAATAGTTAATAGGACCTAACAAGCATTATTTCAGCATAATAATCAACATTTTTTTGCTTGCAGAGGGATGTCAAAGTAGTATATAAAACGATAAGTGAATGATAAATAAAAATGTAAATAATTATAATAGTATGAGTTGATGTAACAGCAAAATATAATACAGTATCGTAATTTCATTATCACAAAATATGAATATAAAAAGCCTCATTGGCGAGTTGTACATGAATAGGAGGAGAATGATTTCTAGGGAATGGTACTAGATTAGTATATCAAGTCAAAGGGTCTCGAATGTAGAGCAATTCAACCAAAACACAACTTACATTTAACATTGCCAAATGTGTTTGAGGATTTATTTCAATGTTAAATAATCGAAATATAATTTTTTTTATGATTGAGTAAATAGTTGATTTATATTTTACACTATGATTTAACAAGTCTAGAGATGCAAAAAATTTTCACATTTTAACAGGATGTACTATTGAGTTGGTAGTACTCCACTGCTATAATGATGGATTATAAGGTAAATTTTGAGTCAAATAAACCAACAGACTGGGGAACGGGTGAGAATCCGTAGTTCCTCTGCCAAGACAACTGTAAATACAATATTCTTATCCCATGATGACTAAAATAACCGTTGATTAGTATTTCTTCCGCTATCCATTTCTATGAGATTCAGGATATGATATGAGGATCTGCTTTTCTATAAAAAAAACATTAGCTTCACCACACTTTCATATGATGTTTTGCAAAAGAAACAATCTCTCTCTTTCGCTCCATAACCAGACTATTTTTCGGTCGTACTTCAGTTCTGCAGTTTAGTCTCTATGGCTTGTGGGGAGATTTGCTTTGTGGAAAACATTCTCATTTGATACCGAGCTTTGTGTGATTCGTTACATCTTTTGACTGCTTGACGAGACGTTTCGTTGTATTATTCTCTTTATTATGGCAGAAGAAGACATATGGGATAGCTGGGAAGATTTTGCGGATAGTAATGTGAGTAAATTCACCAATTAAATTGTTCTCAGCGGTTTATTGTACCTGTAACATTGTTACCTGTATAATTACCGTATTTCGAACAAAACAAAAAAAGACGATTGAAAACTCTTTTTATTCAATGTATATTTCAATTCATATAAATTTCTGTGTCAAATGATACTGGTACGGTACCGGACTCTGTCACTATTTTTTCAATATACAGACATAACTAAGTTTCTGGAGTTTTCTATTTCAATGGCAGACCAATGCTATGAAATACCGGTACCTATCCAGAATTTCGTCTTGAAATTTTATCTGATATACAGATATATCCTGTTGTGGATTTTTATTTAAGTTAGTCTGGAAGAAGCCCTAAACTTCGGAACTTATTTTATTCATCCAGTTCAGCATTTGTAACTTATTTTCATCCATCTTTTTTTTCCAGGATCTAGACAAGCACGTTGATCAACATTTGCAACTTACGAATGGAAATTCTCACAAAGAAGAAAATGGAAGCAAATTTTCTGACGATGACCAAGACTTTAGCGATGATTTTATTTGTACTGGTAAATTAATATCTCTGTAGGTTTAAAAGTCACTTAAAATCTACATATAAATCAATACTATAGCACTTTCCCCCACTTTTAAATAGAACAAGCTTTCGCTGCATATGGCTGTATGGCTAACGCATTGTGTTAGGCGTCACATTGTTAGGAACACGCTTGCCATCGCACCTCTGACTACCCTGGGTGGGTTTGTTGTTTTGTTGATGTAGGGTGCTTTTCACAAAAAGGATAGCAAATCACCCTCTATCCCTTTTTTTACCCACTATGTGCATGCGTAGCTAACCCTGTTTACAGATGATTCTCCCCAAGCATTTTGTCATTCGAACTTTTCCGATGACTAGGTTTTATGGCGATTTGAGATAGATTTTGATATATATCACTATATAAACACACATTTTAGATGTATTTACGGATATTTAGTCACCAGGGCCGCGACATATACCAGTAACCTGTGGCAGCGATACAACTCTAAGGCTAAGCATAATACTCCCATGCCCTAGCTATGCCAAATGGTATTTATACAATAGTATTTTTACATAACTCCCAATGTGAAACAAACTCATAGTTCAAAATCGTCTTGTGGTCGGAAAAATTGGTGAAATATGGAAGTCTTATCTTCTGTATAATTTTGTTGCCTCATTATTCTGGATAATGTTAATTAAAATGGAACGTAAACAAATTCTATCATTATTTCAATTTATTGAACTATGTTCCTCAAAATTGTTTACCTGGTATGGAATTAAGTATGTGTAGTGTGAACTTTAATTGGGGCTTATTAGCGAGGAGGCATCCAAATAGACATAACAAGTATCATTGTATACTGAATGTAGAGTTCATTCTAGAAGAAAAGGGAAATTTTTCAGGTCGCAGATCTCATTTACCATCAACAGCATTCTAAATTGACAAATACAAAAATAAATACGGTATATTAAATGTAATACTTCCCCTTTTTGGATTATGAAAATTATTGACTAATAATTGATAAAAAGATGCAATTATATTCTTTGATGTTAGATGGCCCTGAATCTCACACCATCAGAAATATTTTGTTTAATTCTTTGTGCAAACGAGCTGACTATATATGTCTATGTTTTAACTTTTTTGATAATCTGTCACGCATTACATAGAAATATTAGATTTTTTTTTTGATGATTTTCTCGCACACATACCGGTATGTCTGAATTACCTCTTCTGTAATTACAAAATACATTTTGTTTTCAAATAGGTATTTAATGTATTATGTACCAATACTTTGCATATGCTGATAATATAAAGCAATGTCTGTTGCGCAAGGTTTAATAATAAGTCTGCTTGAATTTTGTTCTCATCCAATAAACATTCTTTTATACTAATTTCAGGTGAAAATAACGTTAATAATGGAACTCAGTTCAGAATATTACCGAGACCAGTAGTTCATGAAGAAGATCAGCATCGGTATTTTTTTGGCCATTCATATTTTTATTGATTCTTTTTGCAAGTCGGGTTGATTGAATACAAAATTTGGGTGTCAGTTTAGTATGCGATCTTAACGCCATAAAACTACTTTGGTACATAATCTCATTTGTTTAACATGATCTCGACCCCATACAAAATTGGGTTAGGCTTACGTTTGCATATTTGAGTACTCGAAATATCGTGTTTGAACTAGTCAAAAATATATAGTTATACAAATCAATACATTTATTTATGCTAGGACATCATATAAACCGCAAGTAAAAATACTAAAAAGGCCTGGAAAAGATTTGCAAGATGATGATAAAAAAGCAAAAGATAAATTGAAATCTCAGCCAGCAAGATCGCTAGCAGAACGCCAAGCTGCTTACGCTGAAGCAAGAAATAGAATAATGGGGCATGGAGTTACCCAAGGTGATAGTAATGCCACTGTTAGTAATTCAGCTTCGTCGTCTAAATCCAGGTACCTATTCATTATTTCATATGTTTCTTTTACACACCAAGTGCCACTAGTTTTCTATAAGTTTTATATATTGTTTAATTGTGAAGACTGGAATATTCGTCATTTTATTTATTGAAAATAGTAAAGTGTTATGTACGTCATTTTGTTTCTACATAAGTGAGTGCCAAAAAAGATTTACCCCTGATCGACATTAGGGATGTGTGATGTCTTTTAATATGGACAGGCCCCAGGTTGTATATGACACCTACAGGAATTACCAGCCATAAAACACTTGGTTTTCTGAGTGCTATTTTAAGTTAATCTTTAACATGTTTACAACCCACTATCAATTTGTTCGTTATTGTTAGAATGTACTTCACAATTCTGGAGAAAAATTATAAAATAAGTAAATATATGGTTTTATGGTTCAGTGTGCAAGGTAGTATCATGCAACATTCTAAGATAATCATTTTTCAAATGTGGATCAGGAATCCAGAAGAGGCAATTAAAATTTTATTGCCTTTTAAAACGACCTATTTGTGTGAAGCAGCATTTTCAACTCTTACCTATAGGATGACACAGTATAGGTCAGGATGTGCCATAGAGTCGAACCTACAGTTTGCTTGTCACAAATTGTTCAGAGAAGTGATAAATTGTGCAGAGAAAAGCAACCTTATCCATCGTTTGTTAGGCACAGAAATTGATACAAAAATAAAAACAGGCATCCGCAGCCCGAAAAATTAGGGAAACCCCGACCTAGACGAATTGTATATTGTTTATATGATATATTTATCATTTTCTGTTTCACACAAATCTTGAATATATATACTGTAATTTATATAGTACTGATTAATATTTTTTAAATTTGAAGACATAGTTTTATTTAGTTTTCAAATCCTTCTGTGTTTATTTTCATTTTAAGTTTTTGTGATTACAATTGTATTCAGATCCGAGCATCGCAAATCAAAAAGCAAAAAATCAGATAGCCCGAAAACCAAGTCTGCGCAAGTCGAGAGGCTGCCCAAAGGTCCTGATAAAACAGGCCGTGGTTTTACTACTCCGAGGTGATACAAAAAAAAACTGCATGGTGTGGAAAAAAGAATCACAAAATGTGCCACTGCGGCTTCAAGATTGTGCCACGTATTCGTGCCACTAAATATATTCACCGGATTAGGGAGAGATCACTATAATGCCATGTCTTTTTGAGCTATAAGTCATTCTTTGTATTGCGCTTAGCTCTAAAAGAACATTGTGGCAGTAAGGTTGAAAACGGCTTATGAATGTCGGTAAGGTGATGGTCAAGTGAGGAACGAATTAGAACACTGGATAATGACATGTTGAACGCAACAGTGAAGGAATCGGCCATGAGTAATTTCTGGTTAAATTCATTTGCAGAGCTGAAGCACAGATATGAGATGGACGTGGGTGAAGTCGGCCTGGAATAGAGATGTACTGATATTTGTCAGTATTGAATATTACTCTCTAATTGTTAACTTCGAAAGCCGAATTATCAAAATTTAACATTTCGTATTACGTTATTAAGTTAAGGAGTATCAGGCCTGAACTTAAGGAGGAATTTAGTAAATGACGTCATGAATATCTTTTCGTCATACTTTATTTACATTTGTGACTGTCATCTGCAAGGTATCCGAATACACCAGTAAAGGAATATTGGTGCAATACGAACAATATCTGTATGTCTCTAGTCTGGGATACTTTATGCCTAAATAATGTAAATAAAACTTCAAGAATTTGGTATGGGCTGAAAATTTTGGTGTTACAATCTTTTTTTATACTATTTTTGCTTTTCCACATTTTTTTTTTTTGAAAAAAATTTTTTACACATACATTTTTTGGAATCTGGTAAAACATAATCAAGAAATTAACAATATTTTCCGATTAAAAACCATTTTCCAAATTTTACACGATATATTTGTACATCCACTGGGTGGATGGTGCCATCCAATTAGGTAAATTTTCCACATAGATAACGAACTGGATAATCAAGAATTTTAGAAGTAAATTGCTGAAGGACGTAAGAGGACTTTTGACTGTTTTGATTCCAAACAAATTTTACTATTAGAAATTTGATTCACTGTTTCATAGATGTACTATATATACATTTTTACTTTTTTTTATTGATAAAATTTGTGAAGGAGGAAGAATTTCAACACTCCCAAGGGTTCAAGTAACGAAATCCGTCATTGGTTAAATCCAATTTGGTCTTGTGCTATACACACCCTTAATAATACAGAACTCCAGATCGTTGTACTTTTTTTATGTGGACAATCTCAATTTCATTTTACTTAACACTGGTTGATAGTTTTTACAATATGTCAAAAATGAGAAAGTTGAAATTTTGTAAATTTTTTTGGAGAAAATAAATAGTAATCTCAGCTAGTCTGGGATTATTGTTAAGTTCAATCCTGATTGGCGAGATACTTTTTTGTTGTGCATACGTCCAGTTTAGGAAATTGGTGACCACTTGTCGAGCCAAAGGTTGGTTTCATTTTAGATATCAATAATGCTGTATAGATATGAGAATTATTCAAGCAAGATGTCCAAATATCTAATCATAACCCAATTTTGTCGAAATCACAAGAACGAGCTTTCCAAAATTTTAATGGAGATTCAAAATTTGAACTTGTACTGGAGAGTTTGACAATGTGACCTTCTGGGAACTCCCCCAACACGTCTTTTCTCATTACTTGTTTCTCATTTTTGCAATTTATATTTATGCTATTCAAATCCAGTGATTTAGGTTATATAGTATGATACTTGAAAAAACTAATTCATTTACTTTGTCAGTGCCATCCTAGCAATCTGAATTCTGGTATCATTTTTGCTTCAGAATTCTCAAAATTTCAGATAGAGCTAAACATTTTTAAAAAAATTTCTTTGTGCAATCTTTTTTATTGTGCTTTTTTGTGTGGAAGTTCGGGACTTTCTTACTCAAATGTGCTCAGTTTATTATCAGATGATACACTGTGCAGACTGCTTTATCCATGGTTTTCAGCCTGTTTTCACACAGTTCACCAAAGCAGGATTTCAAGATCCAAACATCGAAGCCGTTTTATGAATATTTTGGATTTCATTAGGGCTTTGCATATATAATATTAAATAATAATGTTGTTTTTTATCTTATTGTTCGAAGAAGTATTACTTCATTTTCATGTAAAATTTTGACCTGGAAATTACAAAGGCTACAAATTAGTATAAATAGATCCTGATTGATTACTTATGGTTGTTGCTTGGATATTTTACTTGTGGGTATATTTCGTTTATTACATTTGAGCATTGATTAAAAAAATTTGCTTCAGATCAAACTGGGTTGTATTATATTTGTCTTAATTATTTCAAATATCGATTTCGAAATATAAAATTTCCTCTGTTCAACTTTAGGCTCATTTAGGCTCTTCTCATTTGGGCTCGGTGGGGGAAAGTATGGTACTTAAGGCTATGCTACGGAATATGCTATGGTATGAAATCTTTGAATATAAGTTATACATTGCTTATGGAGTGTGACTGGTTAGTTAAAGTTTGAATATGATATTGGCACTTGGAAGAATTCAGGTCTATTGAGACTGATTATTTTCCTCGTATTCACTGTAATTTGCTGAACAAGGAAACTAATCCTTTTAATAGTGGTATCGGCTCTGTTTTTCGAATATCAGTCCATTAATTAAATCATTTCTTCCCCTAATCGTCAATGTGGCTCGTTGTCATGTGCTGATCTTGTGGGTTCATTTCTATGTTCTAAATTCATATCACCACTTTCGTTAATACATATTTCTTATGCCATATTTCGTTTTTTTTTTCTTGTGAAAAAGCGGGAGCAACTTGCTCGTATTGAATATGTTTTGTTGTTTTTCAAGTGGTATTTTGGGGCTTTCATCGAATGTATGATAATCCTCTTTCCTAAAATATTCAAAGAGATTGGGTGTTGTAAGTACTGACTGCCGACAACTTGGCCCAAACTGGCCGTTAAATTTTACAGGCAAAAATTTAACATGAGCGGTCGTTTCTTCAGCTGGCGACGGGAGTTAGAAATCGCAATCCTGTATTGGAAAAAACGTATAAAATAGCCGTGTTTGGCATTATGTTAGATCAGTGTTTCCCAACCCGAGTCCGCGATCTCGAATGAGTCCGCAACGAGCCAGAAGTTCACTGCGGGCCTCAAACGTTTTTGCGAAACTTAACTATCAGCCAATATACGATTTACGTTAGAATTTAGGAAAACATGAAAAGCAAGTTTATTCACATAACATTAATGGAGTCTATAATTACTTGTTACTGAATAGGGCTGGGCATATATTCGAATATTCAACTCTTACAATAGCAATTTACTATTCGAAAATTTGGTAACAGGTCAATTGCGCGTCGCTTAATCAAACGATGGGATTTCCGATGAAAACACGAGTCTGCACACGCGTCGATAGATACCTTGTTTCTCGCAAGTTCGAACAACGATGAATATTTTTTTTTTCTGGTAGGTGGCAATCCAAATTTTCTAGATTGAAAAGAGGCAATACTAAAAATTAAACAGAGAACACCATGAGTTTTGATTTATGATGGTCCGCGACCGATTAAAAACGCTTTTTTGCAAATTGCAATATTTCGGGTTCTACCGTAGTATACGTACCAGGACATTTTCTCGTAAGATTCTTTCTTTTACTGCATCCACATTGGTACGTACTGAAGCGCCCAAAGTGTCACGAACAGCTCCGATTTGTCGAATTCACAAAAATGCGAATCAAAACAAAATATGACCGGGCACTATACCACCCATTTTTGTGTCCACGGATTGTCATGATATTTTCTCTGAGTAGTATTGCTTTCATTTCGTCAACACAACCGTAGATTACAATTAAATTAATAATAAAGCAAGGGGATGTATTTTGATTTTGTAATGTATATACTTTTAAAAATATTTTTTATAAGTACTAAATCAAGTTATACTTTCTGGAAATTTATGGCACTTGGTAGGATTTTTCTAACGGCAGTAACAATTTCGCAAGATTGCAAAAATATGTATCAAAACTATATATAATCGGGCAATATAATCTCAAATTATTATGTTCGCAGATTGTCGTCAATGTCGTGGCATTTTAAAGTAGCAATGCTTTCACCTTGTCATAAGTCTTCGCAACCGCGAGTTACCTTGAACACAATTAAATTAAAATAGATAGACATTTTTTCCGTTGTCATGGATTGAATACTGTGTGACAGAAAAGGCCATTATACACTAATAAAGTCGGCTCTTCTAACGAACGCGTAATTGCGACAAATTTCCGATTTTGAAATTCGTTAAAATTCGGTTGTGTTGGGTTTTATTGCTTCTCACACAGGATACGGTTGCAATGAACTCACCTTGAGTCCGCAGAGGTTTTCGCCAATGAGAAAATAGTCCGCGACCAAAAAAGTTTGGGAAACGCTGTGTTAGATCAATGACATTAAAGAATGTTTAATGTCATTGGTTAGATGTATTCACTCATCGAATTATCACTAGATGTCGTATGTGTATTATCAGGCCTGTGAACTAAATGAAAGTTTGTCAGAAAAGAATATTGACATTTAAAAAAATCTCTCCCATTGGCAAATTCACAATATATTTATTGGTGCCTAATTTTTTTTTAAATTAGCGTCAATTGAAGGAATAAATATAAAATTAAAAGCGGATATGTAATTATCAAACGTAAATTTTGTGGCCGTTTATACTAACCAGCTGTGGAAATTGATATGCACAACTAAGTAATTATTATTATTTGTTGACATCTGATTCCAAGTTCTGTTCCCTTGAGGCGTCGTCGAATTCATCTACCTTGCAGCAAAAGGATGACAAAATGAACATTCACACAGTGCAAGTCTATTCAAGAATGACATAGCGAGGCTATATAGTAATCTTGTCGAGTATAGTGGGTATTTATAAAAACAGTTCACTAATACATTTTTGTTACGCTTTCTGAGTGCAATACTGTAATGAAGCCCTTCTGCATCAGTTAGCCTACCGTGGAATCGAGGTACCAGTATGCACGTCCATGGGTGTTGTTGATATATTACTGTATTGGTTTGCCTCTGCATTTTCGTATGCCGTGGCACAAAGTCCAGTACGCTAACACCTAGCACAGTGTATGCATTGAAGTTAAAAACGATAAGTAAAGTAATTGGTATTCATTGCGTTGGCAATAAAATTGCTTCCAAAATCCATAGATAGGTTTAAAGGTATAAACTGACATTGTATGTTGTCATGTAGGCCCATTGTTGTTCGAAGAAGCGTAAATATATTACAACTGGCCACTAACGTGGTGTTTTCTTTGGGCGATAAGATTACCCGTGATTGTTTGGGTGCGCTGAAAGAGATCGCTGTGTTGTATTGCCTAGTTAAGTTTTCTCTCTGCAATTAAAATTTGCGGATGTTTTACGTTGTAATTCTTTTTGTTATCAGGGTTTTAGACTGCTTAACCGAAGTGGTAAGTGCGTTATTATGTGAGAATAATATTGTCTGCTCGGGCATGTTTCAATGGTTATATTCTAGTGGCGTATTCGGAATAGTGCTACAGTATTCAATATCCGTGTCTATAGGTACATCCGATAGTCATCAATACAACTGTCAAGTCAATGCCCTCGCGAATCAACATAATGTGCAATCTCGGCTTAGTCGCTACTTTCAACTTGTCTTTTAAATTGTCAAGGACGGAAATATTTGTCATACTTTTTTAAACACACTTTGTTTATATTAAAAAACTTCAGAAATTTAATCAGCGGTGCTAAGGTTAGTTTGCGTTTTGTGCTTATACAACTTCAAATACACGTTCATTCGCATGTATTCGACCCTACAGGATTGCTGTTGGGATTATTTAACATGGGTAGAGGGATGGTTATTACGGAATACATAATAGAAGTGAACAAAGAGTTCGTGATAAAACATTGTCTACAGTTATTTACAAAAAGTATAATAGTAATTCGTAGATTTCTTTGATTTTAGATACAGTTGTTACAGTTTTCACGTTGTCTGAGACAGTCTGAATGTTGTGGAACTAAAACTTCATCGTAGTATAATTGGGAAATAACAATGGAAAAGGAAGTATCTAAGTCAAGGGTTTCATTGTATTTTGTTATTCGTTCAAATTTTGTTCTTCTACAGTTAGTTATTTCAATACGTTTGTACGTTCATGAGAGACTTTTCATTTGATATACGTATAATTTGGAGAAATGGAATCAATAAGAGCAGATCTCGGATTAGCAGATTATCTGTCATTTGTGTGTGAGTACGATAAGAATTTTGGGCACGAAATGTATATACCTATAAATTGTTTTACTAAATCTCGCTTTTTGGCAGCTAATTATCCAATCGTTTTAAAATTTCCATCAGTTGCTGGAAGACTATCCCTTTTTTCAGTCATTTTTTTTTTTCAATACAGCCCTTTTTTATAAAATTTTGCTGGCATCGCGGTACCCTAATTAGTCACCATCGCTTTGGAAAATATGTAGTGACATAAAGATTGATTTTATGTTTAATTTCAGTACTGATGGCAGTTTCGACCGTCATCGGAATATACTTCGCATACAGAGATAGAAATGAGGCGACAACCAAAAATTACTTCTTCGGAGGAAAACAAATGCATCCGGTATGATTGTGACCAGATCTAGTCACGTCCAAATCTATATATGTATATATATCACACTGCTAATGATTAACATCTGTCTCTAAATATATTAGTTGGTGAATTTTCTATATACAGTATAAAATTATATAAAACTAAAAACTTTAGCCTATTTGCAACAAAAACAGTAGTTTCAAAACTAAACTTCTCGGTCTTATCATTAATTAGATATTAGAACCTTGAGCGTCGCTACCAGCTTTGGTTCTTCGCGACTTCCCTTCCTCGGTGAATTTGTGTGATTATCTTTTTTACTGGTTGGAAGGAATAAACTTTACTTGATTACTTAAATTAGTAATATATATCATTCTTCTGTGTTTGAATCGTTGTCGGCATTTCCTTTCTTGTCATTTTCTTTATATTCAAATTTCATCATATTTATGTTTTTTTTAATTACTGTATCTAGGATACCTAAAACCTAATGTATCAGGGACAATTATTGGTCTTGCAAACCGACCCTAACAAAACAAAATGGTCCGAACTGGGTATTTTCTTTTCGATATTGTTGATATTTATAATCACTCTCTCTCTCTCTCTCTATAACACCAACGTAACTGTATTCATTTTAAATTTTTCAGTATTCTAAAATCTTTTTTCAGGTCGCTGTTGGTCTCTCATTGGCTGTGACATTCCAATCCGCAGTAGTTGTTATTGCAGCCCCTGCGGAAACTTACTTATCTGGTACCCTGATGATGTGGGAAGCACTGATGAGAATTCTATCAGTCCCAATTGTATTTGCGTATGTGGTTCCTCTTTATCATCGACTTCAGTTACGAACTGTTTTTGAGGTGAACTCCTGGATTTAATATTCTAAATATCATTTTATTCTGATAATTTTTGATATACAAACAAAATCTTCTTCAATTTTTTCAGTACCTAGAACTTCGATTCAGCTCAACATTACGAAGAATCTTGGCCGGACTCTTGTCCACCGGAATGGTACTAAAACAGTTTTTGTCCTATAATTCTATTGGTAAAAACTATCATTTTAATACAACCAAATTACAATTTCTGCCTCGTTTTACAGATATTCTATGTTGGTACGGTATTATACTTACCTGCAGTTGCAGTAAATGCAGTAACATCGCTTCCATTAGCATGGAGTATTGTTATTACGGGAGTGATTGCGACTTTCTATACCACACTCGTAAGTAGTGTTTCTACAGCTAATCTAATAATTTGAATTCTAAGTTGATCATATGAAAAACGACGGTCAATATTTCACTTCGAAACAAGATCTAATTAAAACTGACTTATTATTCCCACAATAAGAACTTATAGCACACCACTGCGACGCTGTCAGCACGAAAAGCATCTAACACAGATAAACAATATCGGAATCGTTTGGTATAATATAAATCAGAATATGAACCCCCCTGGAAATCACGGTATCACCTGCGATCAATAATGCAAAACATGCGCAAATTTCTATCAAATGAATGAAACTCTATTTTTCTGGCATGACTGATAAGAGGAGGAAATAGAGAATAATAATTTACGTTTTAGGGAGGGATGAAGGCAGTAATTTGGACAGACGTTTTACAATCTGGAATAATGATACTTGGTATGGTAGCAGTGTTAATCAAAGGCTTAATTGTTATTGGAGGCTTTGATGAACTCTACGATTCGTTGGAAAGAGGGGGCCGATTCACAGCTTCTAGGTTTGCAAATAAAGTGTTGTGTGTTGAATAGTATTTGGTATATATACTATTTCCATATTCGCCCTACATTTCATTTGAAGTTTCAATCGTCATGTATTATGCGAGTTCGTGCTGGGACGAACCGCCGATATTTCGCTCCAAGTTTCGTTATAGCCTTACCGCTAGATCCGTGTTTGATCCAACCCTTCCATAGCTTCCCCTTGAGTAGGGTCCAACTTCGTTATCCATATTGGCCAGTAAAATAAGCTAAGCTTGATGGCTACACCTTACGAAGCTGTGAAGAATGAAGTTATAGTATTTTTCATATTCGGAGTAAAAATTACCACGGAAAACTTTTCCTGTTGACGTAAAAATTGAAGTTAATTACTCAATATATTCTTGAAAACCAAGTTATCTAGTTGCATTTGTGTTTTCCTATCCACTTCCGCACTTTTGGGGAAAGAGAACTAATCACTGAAGATAGCAAGATCCTTTTACGATATTTATGTCTTTGTCTAGATTTGATTATGGTATCATATCTCGTCTTTCTCCGATCGGTATCATTGTTGGAGGTTTTTTTATGGGACTTGGAGGAATCGGTATTGAACAATCGATAATTCAGCGATTTCAATCATGCGAAACCGTATCAAAAGCACAAAGGTATCTGCTGATGAATTTATTATACTTCTACACATTTCAAGTTTGTTTCAAACCCTTACTTTTCCCTTTCAGTGCCTTGTTGGTGTACATTCTTCCTACTTTGATAATCACCATTACTAGTGTTGGAAATGGTCTGATAATGTATGCTTTTTATGAGGGATGCGACCCTGTTAAATCTGGAAAAATTGAAAGCATTGATCAAGGAATTTCTTACATGACTTTAGAAATATTTCAATCAATTCCAGGAATGACGGGATTATTTATATCATCAATTTTCAGTGCAAGTTTGAGGTTTGATTTACTTGGTTAGCAATTTTTAGTTTGTACAGTTATTTATTTATCGCAACTCTTCTGTCAGAAATTTAACGAATTTAAAAGAGAGCTAAGGAGCATCGTTTTTAAAAAATCCTACAAAGATAAAGTGGTGACAATTGAAATATATCTTGTATTATCCTACGTCTGTTCAAATCACGCTTAACCTTATACATATTATCATATTATATGGGTATAAAAAACATGTTCTGGACAGAACAGTTATTGGGTTATTCTTGTTGGTAATGCTTCTATCAAATCCATATTTATTACCGTTTTAGTAAGGTAATTTTAAGTATCCATTTGCACCACTGAAAACTCTTTGCTGGAGTTTTCTTTTAGTTCGACGCTTTTTTCTTTTACAGTACTATTTCCTCTTGTCTTAATTCATTGTCAGTCTTGATTCTAGAAGATTTAATCGCCATAAAATGGCCTTCAATGAGTGATAGGGTTAAAGTCACCGTCGGGAAAATTTTAGGTAAGGAATATTATTCTATCACAAAATACTCTGCGGTCTTATGTATTGTCAACTCAGGTTTGAAAAGGACAATGAAAGAGTTTCTATAGCAGAGTTCCTGGTAACAACTTGCTCATCAAATTTCAATAAAATCCAGCTAACGATTTTGGAACGAAAGTATTTGTTTGTGCACATACGGGTTGAGCCTCTCGCTCGTATTTTTTATCTGCTCTAGAATACTCTCCGAGTTTATTGTATCGCAACAAATTTAGCCGATTTCGAAAAAAAATTGGGCATTGATTACGACATTACTTAATGGATTTTCTGCTAATAGATTTGGGCTAGCTTATGTTAAACAAATATGGTACGACCGTACCAAAAACATAACTTTTTCGTGTACATATTCGTTACTCTCTTGTTTTGCATCAAATATTTTCTCATTTAAATGACACAAGGAGACGATAGAAGCCATATTTTTTTAAACCGCTTCTGAAACCTGTGAATTTAAATTTAAACTGATTTTACTACCACTTGTCTCTACCGTTTTCTCTTTTAGGTGTAATTTTGGGAGTGGTTCTTATATCAATGGCTTTTGCTATATCAGCTTCAGGGTCAAATGTGTTTGAATTATTATACGGATTTACGAGTTTGACTTACGGTCCAGGAATCGCGATTTACTTTCTGGGATTCTTTTTCCCTTGGACGAATACTATAGTAAGCTATATCTATTTGTACATTTATGATTTAAAAAGTGGACTAATCAATTCTACCTGTCAGGTAATTGACATTACCAGTGTAATTTTATACAAAATTGGGATCTACGGAGCAGCGTTTTTTAAAGCAATTCAGTCCGGCATTCTATTCGTGTTTCCAGGTTGCCAAATTCTTAATAACCGAACATTGAATGCATCATAAGTATTTTTATTGTGTTGTGAGCTCTATAATAACTTACAATACTGATAATTGACAGCATTGAGATGTATCGCCGTTATAATTCTTTAACATATTTATTTTTAGGGAGCTATGACGGGTTTGTTTTCAAGTTATGCAGTTCTGGTGTTTATGTTCGTTGGTAAGGGTATTATTGATTTCTGGTTTATTTATGAATGTAGATGCTGGGAATTTACAAAATTTCAAATACAAATTTATTATTAAATTCATTAATCAATCAAGATGTTGAAGTAAATTTGTTTAACCTAATTTACCACAATTTCCCCGGAGACTAGTCGAGTTATATTATTGAAATTTTGAACCTCCAGCCGAAGTATGCGCACCAAGATGGCGCACAACCTGAATATAGTATGTGTGTGTATCGGTTAGGATTCAGGTTGTGCGACATCTTGGTGCGCATACTTCTGGAGGTCCAAAATTTTGAAGTGGATTAGGTTGGTTTTCAATCTTGGGGCGAGCAATTTTTGTAGTTCGATTACGCCTCCACAGAAACGAAAAAGGGGAAACCGTAAAGTTTACATACGTCACAATTTGATCACAGTTGCCATTAATTATTTCATAGGAAGACGATTTTTTAACGATCCTCCTTATCCTACAAATCTGCCTGGAGTATCCACTGAATTCTGTCAAAATAATTTGACTGAGAATTTCCAAATCACCAATTTGACGACAGAATTACCTTTAACATCTTCAGCGATTCCAGAGATCGAGTAAGAAACATAGTGATAGGCTACTTCTTTTTTTATCAAATAATCAATTATACCGAAGAGTACCTTGATATCTACACTATTTGAAGTCGACTAAACTAAAAAGTAAATCATGTAAAGCAGCACGTAATAGAGACATTATAAATATCATTCTCAGAGTATCTCGTCTCTTACTCTTTCTCATTAGCTCTCTCTTTCTCTCTCATACACATATAACTCGTTATATCTCCCACACACATCTGTAGTGAATATTAATATTAGATATATGTGGAAGCCACAATACGGGTTTGTAGCGTTTCAACTCTTTACATACTAATATAATACATCTTAAAATAATTCCAATGTTATGTTCAATTAATTTCACAGACGAACGTTTCTTCGTGATGTTTACAACATAAACTACAATTTCTTGATGATGATCGGTTTCATCATAACTATTATTGTCGGAATCATCGCCTCGTTTTTATCAGGTATGTTTGGCATCTTTAGAAAGCTGTAATTTCATGAAAATACAAAACATAAGTTTGTCAACGGTGTATCTCATCTAGTATTTTATTGAATATGGTACTCCAGTTCTCGTGAGTTCTATTCAGGGCGTGTATAAATATAATACAAGAAACAATTCCCAAATGACTAACTTGATTTCAGCAAATATGCAAACAAATATAGAATGAACTGCATCTGGATCTGGTATCATATGAAGGTGTGTACCAGATAAGGTGTTTCCGTAAATTATGAAAATAGCAAAATTTTGGGTCAAATACATGGTTCCGTAGGGCTCAGGAAATTTTGGAAAAAAATAGCTCTCCATCTTTAAGTACTGAATGTTTTAAATCGAATGATACGTTAAAACAATTTTCCCTCAATAAAAATTAAGGTAATTGATCGATCCATATAGGTCATGTTATTGCAGCTTTGATTCTTTTCAGGTCACACTCCTGCATCAAAAGCTGATCCAAGACTTTTTGTTCCATTAGTAGATAACAAGAGGCTTTCATTAAAAGTGTTGAAGTTTTTCCGGTTTGGTGTTCCTAACCTTCTCTCGGAATCTACAAAGCAATACCGTACAGCTAATAAGAACGATGTTCTAATTGTTGAAACGAATGACATCTGACTGGGCCGGTTTATTCGCATATTCAAACGTTTATTTTTTTGAAATACCCTGACAGAATGGTCAAAATGGTAATCCTGAGGGAGCCACATATATGACTACGGTGCAGCATTTGCACCGCGAGGAGAGTTTAAAGCTTTTATTCATGTAATCGATTTTTGTTGTCGAGTGTTTTCACACCTTTATTCTAAACAAAAATTGCAGGAAAATATCATTTGTACACACTTTTTATACTAAACCACCGTTCTCAAGCTGAGTCATAGAAACAATTGCAGATGGGCCACAAACTTGTCAAAAAGGTCTAGTGTTATTTGATAAATTTAGTTGAATTGACGGTAGTAGTAATGAATTTTTACTACAGGGTAGAACTCATTATTTTAATCATTGTAGTGAATGCGTCTATTTTTGTGAGAGGAATTTCATGTTTTCTTGTAGTTTTTTTCTGGGCCATAGATTACCTTCAACGAGGACGAAGAAAAAATGAAGGGGCACTGCACTAAATTGTTCTGACATGTCATGGTGTCAATTTCATCCTTCCAATGGCAGAAATGACCGAATTTTAACTAAAATATTACAATAAATAATTTGTAATGACTTAACACAATTAAAAAGCTGCCAGAATTGTTTTTCTGTATATTTTTCACCGTGCAATAATGACATTGTGTCATTAAATTGAACCCCTTTGTACCACAATCAACATGAATAAAATAAAAACCGATTGTTTGCACTTGTCAAATTATTTTTGTAATACTCTGAATGACGCGATACGGTTATGAACTTATGACCGTTTTCGTTAACGCGAAAATTGGGTTTCGTTTTTCGGTTACCTTTGACACATTGGAAACAGGTAGTATGTGAATTGTTTTCTGAATTTATAAATCACGTACGCAATGGTAGAGACTTTTCAATATATTCATGTTATCTTCATTGTTAAATTCAAGAAAAAAAACGACTTTCCGAGGACATGACATTTAGAAGACAATAAGTTCGTTCAATTTTAACCCTAAACAAAATGTCGCCTTGAGAAACTTCATTTCTCAAATGCATATTGTGACGTATAGCATTATGTAACCAGGGGTATAAATAAATGGTGACGGCTCTTGCTTAACAGTTGCAAATATTCTATTCGCTCAAAGCAGAGACTATAGGTACGGTAGACCGACTTTAGACTTCATCAAACTGGCTTTGCTGAAGTTTTATTCAGTTTTAATGAGAAAGTATTGGGTGTAAAGTTTTGCATGGGTCATTTTATATATACATTATTATCAAATTACAGACTCGGCATTTTCTACAACTTTTCCAGTAGCCATTTCTGAAAAGTAGTCCCACAAATGTGACAAAGCAACTACAATTTTCCCCGTGAGCCGTGTTTTGATTTTTTGTAGAAAGCAGGTAGGTAAAATAATCATAGTTATTTAGTGATGTCAAAACAACAATGAGCTTATGTTATAAAAAAAAAGTACCAAACGCTAAAATACGTAGATTTTTGTAACAGTCAAAATGCAAGTTGATTTGCGACACAATACCCAAATATAATATTCTAGTGTAGAGCACAGCATAATATATATTTTTAACATAAAAAAATGTCTTTCATGTAATTTATGTTTAGTTCTAACAACTAGTAACACTCAAAAACAGCTCCAAAATTTCTGCTTTCAATGATATATATATATGATATATATGTCATCATGTTTCAAGTTTGAATGGCGGCCAGATGTATTATCAAAAAATGTTCGCCCTCACTTGCAACGCAAATTTTGTCACTTCATATACCCGCCTGTCTTTTTTAATGGTTTTGCTATTATCACCATTTTACTCTTTTTATAAAATCATTGACGATAATGTACAGTGTGTCGTATCTGCGTACGGATATATTAGTTGTAATTATCACGAAAATATAAGTCATACGTCACAATATGGAGTTTAGTGTAGCTATTCTTTATAAGCGGAAATCAATATGTCCCACATACTACCGGAAATGTGTATATTTGAGCCTGGTCAATGTTTCAGGGACAAAACCGTTTTTCTTGAAGGTGGTACTGTGAGTTTTATTTTTCATTTATTGCCTGATGTATAAGGCAGGGAGCTGCAGTTACTTGTTGGTCACGGGCTCACGGCCAATAAAAAATTATTCTCAAAGTCTCACAGCCCCTATAGTTTAGCAATTTTGTTTGAATTCAACTTTAAAACGTTGAAAATCTCTAAAAAAGCTCGACAGCTTATCTCGTCACTTATTATCATTCTTATAGACAGTACTCGCTACTGTTTTTGCGCGATGTTAGCTCACTTTATAACAACTGCTATACACATAGCGGAGGCTGCTATTGTAGTGGGGTCATGTTCATTTTGTTAGGGACATAACAGACATCGCTGTCTCAGTGGGGTGATAGTAGACATCGAATACTGTAGCAGGGTAGAATATTTTGAATTGCTTCACTGTAATTGGGTTCCCTGCATTCCGCTAATTTCAACAAATTTAGGAGTCTTGCTGCACACGAAAACAATAATCATTTGGGGCAATTGACTCACTCTTTAATCATTGGTCTATTTAGAGTGGGATTTCAAATCCGGTGTTTCTTTATCATATTCGCACAACTCGGTCTCTATTGTTTCTTTTTATTACTGCCATTTTTTCTTCGCTTTAGGCTTTTGAAAAATATTTGCCGCGCGCGTCCCATTTCGACTCAGGGTGTAGTAGTTTGATGTTGTTTCTGCGCTATTTTACGCTCAGTTTTAGACAACAGTAAAGGTCAGAGATAGATAACTAGGCTTTGGCTTTTATATTGTCGACGGTAGAACGTTTGATTAGGTTTAGTACTGCCAATTATTCAGTATAGACACTGTCACTTATTTTTTTGGTCAATATATATATACAACAATACATTTAAAAATTTTCGTCAAAAAGATGAGCGTCATTTTCTTTTTTTCTGAGGGAGCTTGCGCAAACAAGGCCACGTGTACTCAGAAGCAAAGAAGACTAATCTCTGAACAAATTTATGAGCGACCACTAAATGCTAAGAGCTACTTACAATTATAAAGAACTATAGACCTGAATTGCACGTTGATAATTACCGATTCACGCGAAATTGAAATAGTCAGAAATACAGTTACACAAAGTAGAGAATTCGTCTCACCTGATGTTCTTTAAAAAATTTTTGATATTTTTCTGCTTTCCAATAGTATTGCTTGTATTAATTAAAAGTATATATTAGGTATTGCCTGTTGGCACGAAAAAACAACTTTTCAATGTTGCAATTGCACTGTTATGATTTGCTAAACTTTTAATTGCCTTTTTCTTGAAAGTACCTTTTGCGTTTCGTGGCGCCCCATATTTCATACTAAATGATTAATGCATTGCAGTGTTATGATTTGCTGGATTCTGCTGGATTGTATTTTTTTTAATTTTTGAGTCTCGCCTGATATTTCATACTAAACTTTTGTATTCGAAATTCACGTCACGCTTTTTTGCATGCATATGTATATCTCAGCATTGCTTGTTGTGCTTTGGGTGTGTTACATAATTCGTTCGTCAGTTATTCTTTGTAGGCGCACGGGAATTGACGGTGAAGAATATAGTAACTGACCACGACGGCGACTAGTCCAGCAATCACTTAATTATCCTTCTCTGATTTGGACCCGATTTTGCAATCAAGTACGAATTCTGCAGTCCGGTATCTTATTTCTTACAACCACAACTCGGTAAGATAATCTTTTATGATTATTCTTTTTATACGATATTTTTTGAGTCGCTTGCCTCGAAGAGGGAACTCACTGCACACATAGCCACTAATACGTGACTCTCTACATTCTTAAAATTATGCTTGATGAACAAGACGAAAAGATCCCGGTCTTACCAGAAACAGTAGCTACCTATTTATGTGTTGATAGATACCATTGGTCGTTTGTACAGGGCTTCGTTCGGAGCAAGAGCGTTATATAAAAATGATAAAAATTAGCCAATAAACTGAAGAAATCTTATAACTTTTATTACAGGACCAAAAGGGATGAGGAAACCAGAAAAAAAAAATGATCTGCGATATTGCCACTGGTGGTTGATGGTCGCTACTTTTCGATAGAAATGAGCAGGTTGGTCGTTTGTTCCGTATAGTTTTATATATATTTTTTTAATTCCATTGAACACGAAATCAATAACGTTTGGATAGTGCGTGTTGTGGAAATCCCTCGTCTCCGCAACTGAAGGGCGAACAAAACATGAGTCGCCAGAAGGCTAATAATTACTCTAATTACAGGAATAAAAGCGGGGAAGAAACTGAAAACAAATGATCTTCGATATTGTCACAGCTAGTTGGTGGTCGCGACTGCTCGATATTAATTTGCAGGTTGGTCGTTTTTTATTTTATATTTTCTAATAATTTCATTGAACGCATACCTATGGATCTTTTCGCTATTCGTTTTGTAGAATATTTTTAGTATTCACAGATGGGGGACCAATGACTGACAAATTTTCATTATATACTCATAATAAACAATAAAAAAGTTGGAAGTCGACAGAAGGCTAATACTAAATAATTCTCCAGTTTACCGTGGAGCCCCATAAGATCCGATATTGCACGCACAATTTTATTTTGGCGGTACGGGTGCGCGACATTTGTGTCCAAAAATTTTATTTAGCATCGTGCTCTTGTTTCACTTAGTAAAAGATATAAAATGTAAGCTAATATACTCCACAAGTGTTTATAACTTCCAATCTAATTACAGGACGAAAGATTGAACAAGAGCGTATAGAAAAGGGTTTTTTGATGCGTCATATGGCCACGGCTGGTTGGTGGTTGCGAGTTGCGACTGGACAATGCACATAGACAGGTTGGTTGTTTGTTTCCTATTTTAGTATCAGAACCTAACTTTTGAAGCCAACTAGTGCGTTCTTGTTTAACGTATGGAGATAAGTTCCTAAAGTTAAAGCATCATTCTTGGAGGCCTCAACTAAAGTTATTCTAGAGCCCTAGTTGCGACATTGAAATACAACTGTAGTGATCTCTGTATAGATATATACTAACTCTGAAACACGTAATTTTGCAAGAAGATTTCAGTACTTCAATATTCATCTCTGGGAAAGGAAATCCGATATAATAGCCTAATAATATAGCGCATCGCGCCTTTTTATTCGATTACATGTAAAATTCTAGTATTGTAACTCTCAATCTAATAATTGTGTAATATTGGTCGCAAAATATAAACAAAGCTTCATTTTTAAAGGTCATATCGAGAATCCATGCAAGTTCAACGGAATAATGGTGGATAAATAATCTGTCGTGAAGCGAATGTGCTATTGGTGAGTTACATTTTACTATTTTCTAAAGTAAGATTTCTCATTACTATTATGTCGCATTTAGGATTTTCACACTTTGCTTAAATTTCCATTCGGCGTCTATATCCAACGTGTTAGTAAATGGAAGTACTTATTTACGCCAAAATTTTTATCGAAATATGACTTTTCGGGGTTCGGACTTAGAGCCAGACTCGATCGATTTTTTCACCCGTAGTCGAAGCTACCTACGACCAGTAATCCATAAGTGATATTAGTTTGAATAATATTCACCCGTAGTCGAAGCTACCTACGACCAGTAATCCATAAGTGATATTAGTTTGAATAATATTATCTACAAGTTGCAGCAATTATAATTCCATTATTAGACACGAATGAGACCTTTGTTAAATTATGGTCGTTGTTTTTGCTGTGAATCAGATCGCCATTTTCCGCATCTACCGTGCAAATCGAATCAACATTTTCAGTACCCGAAAAGTCGATAGAAAGCATTCATTTATTTTGGCTTGATTTCCACCGCGATTAATAAAACAATATATTTCACTTTTTTCACTCCTCGCGCTTGTGAGCCAAACTCAACAGTAAACTCATCTATTTTTCTGTGAGCCCGATTTTCAACCGAGAATTTCCTGTTATTCAAATAATGACAACATTTTTATATGACTGCTGGGGGCAGTTTATTACATTGCTCCTGTCCGCCAATATGTTACCAGGCCTTACCGCCAGATCTTGTTCATAAATTAGCATTGTTTTTAAATTTTATTTCCACGAACGTTCCCGTAACTAAAATACCTTGTAATTTTGCAGGACTATGAATGCGCAGAAAAATGACGAGAATACACAGGATGAAGTGGGGGCGATTTTCACTGGACGACAACATTTAGAATAGAGTTATTGAAAGTAAGCTTTAACAAATTTTGTATCTGAAACGTGAAATTTTTCGACGCACAATTTACTTTTTCACAACTTACTAGTATACCCCGTTTTTCTGGTCGCATTGATTATAACTGATTGATCTTTCGTCCATCGGTACTAACTAAAAATTTACCTGTTTACTAAAGCAGCTCAGAATAAGCCGTGGTAATGCCGACGTAAATGATGTAAATTCCTATCAAATCTTATTCTGTCTTTTAAAACGTCGGTTAAATGCATGCAAATGCGATTATATTTTCAACTTTCTACTATAACTCGGCTCGGGAACAAAGGCAATTCACTTGTTATTTCAGAATTCAGGGACTCGAATCGAGGCTTTTGAACTCTCTGATTTGCTATAAATAGTAAATACGTACGACTTGCGGTTTAAGAACTTTCCCCAACACCGCAGTTGATCCTAACGATATCAGACTGATCCTTTACTATTTGGTTTATTTCAGATACCTGTAAAGAAGAATGAACGGTTCTCGGCTACGAAAGATTGTTGATGTTTTACATTATATTTATTCGTATATACATATTTTTTCTATATATAGCTTATTTTGGGGTGAATCTTGTATATTCCTATATTTATTTACTGAAAATACAGAAAATTCCGTCTATTTGGACAACATCTGGGCAGGTAATTGTTTGCTTCAAAGTCCCTTTAAATTTTAAAATTTACCCATTGTTATGCAACCATTAACACCCGATGATATGTCATTCACCAATTGTCATGACAGCATATAAGCTCATGATATAATATGCATCTATTATTGTTAAATAAGCAATCTGATATGCATAAAGTCCCTCAAAAGTTCAAATTTACCCATTGTTATGCAACCAATACCACCCGATGATAGATCATTTATGAATTGTCCTGCTGACTGGCATATTAGCTCATAATATCATTTATTAAATTGCGTGTGATTTTACCAGCAGTTGCAATCTGATATGCATTTTATTTGTATTTCATTATGATATTATTGCTATTGGTTAAAATATTCTGGAGTCTCTGGCGACGGTCGAAGTCGAGGTAATTTAAGCCGGCATAAACTTTTGAACTCTTTCAGTCTGGAGTCAATTTCGATAGCGTATCGTGTAGACAAGATTTCACAGCTGGCAATTGGAAAAGCTTGCATACCCCACCCAACAAATTTAATCTTTATCTAAATATTAATTTTCATTTCGACGTAATTAAATATAACTAATTTAGTTCGAATAATATACCCTTTGTGTCTGTAATAAAATATATTCCCTCGACTAATATATGAATGAACTAAATGAAATACTAGAATTCCCACATTCGGCTATGCCTTATGCCAAATTTAAAGCTAAACCACTTGAGAATGGTATCGAGCACATTAAACATCATTGCTTTGATTATATTATGTTATATTTTTCAAACAGTTTTCTATTCGGCATGTGAGCACCCCTTTTTTCAAAGAAAATTCTTTAAAATAAGATCCCAATTAAATTAAACGTTTTATTATTGGATTTTTTTAATGCTTGCATTGTTTCGCTTCTTTTTGCTGTTTGTTTGTTCGCTTTATTTTACATAGGTTTTTGAAATATTTTCTGTGTGAACTTGAACTTGATATTTTTTGTATTTTTCAGTACTTGTTGAAGCAATAAAATTCTCGAACTCGTATACTTTTTCAAAGCTTTTTGCTGGTAGGAAAATGTAGACAGGAAGAAACCAGAACTAGTAGAAACAATGGGAGAACCTAGGTGCAGCAAGGGGGTGCGAGCGGCCCGCGGGCCAGGGCAGGCAGCGGGACCGCGCGGGCTGCTGAAAAAAAAATCCAGGAAAATTATCTATGGCCGAAGATAAATTATTATGTTCGGCCATAGATAAAACAAGGATAAATGCCGAATGTTAGGCTTGATTTATCTTTGGCCACGCATGGCCGTTGATAAATAATTTTTTGGTTACGTTTTTATCTTTGGCCACGCTTGATCGATGATAATTTTTTTGATTTGGCTAATTCTAAGGATTTTTCCGTTTTCTGGCGTATTTCGCTATTTTCAAGAGCCTGACGCATAGGATTTTTGCCGATTCCTGGTCTCAATAATTTCCATATATTAGCATCAAATTTGTGCGACATATATCTTAAAAGCTTCTTCTGGGCTTGAACCAGGGACCTAAACTCAACTCGACAAGCATCTAACCCCTACACCACCAACGAGTTGTCTAAAGGTGGTTTTAATTCCAAAATGGATCCATCAATAGGCGTGGTCAGCCTGACTAAATAGGAGAGAGAAGTGGTGGTACGGGAGTTTTGTGAACAGCAATCAGACGGAAAAGATGTATCCAGTAATGACCTGATTATGGAGAGGGTAGAAAGATTACAATTTTTACGTTGCCACTTTATTGTTCGAAAATGCTCATCTAGGATGACAGTGATTAACCTGCACTAAATTTAGCCAATTAACACGTGCTTGCCCACCGAGCTGTCCTCTCAAACTCTTACCAAAAATCATTGCCAGTGAATACATCTCCATCAACGCGTCACACGCGCTACCTTGTCGCGCCTTGTCACTCTTGTTGACTTTGCACCGCCAAGAATGCACCCTTTCCTTGATCATGCAAATCAAGTGAATACACAAAATTCTGAATCTACGCAATGTATTACACGAATAAATAAAGAAAACGATAAATAACAGAATGGACGACGTCTCCAGAAACCTTGTTATTACACAAGCACAAAAAATGAAAGCAAGAGAGATCACGAAATATTTGTACAATATATGGAATGAAAAGGGATGGACAGTGTTCGTGCAAGAACAGCATCGTCCTCAAGGTGACGCTGCAAGGCCTTATGTTTAGAATTACATAATTTCCCCTCATCTTATTTTGATGCAATGCTGTTCCGTTAGTTTTAGCTTGAAGTTAAGATAAACAATCATGTCTAGGAGACACTGAAATAAAACTATCATAAGGGGGAAATGCAATACACATTTATGAAGAATATAAGGAGAGTAAATGGTTGCGTAACTGAGTTTTACAATTTGGATATGTTGAGTCTTTGATACTAGAATGTGAGTCATTCCAAATATTTAGAGTGCTTCGTGTCCGCTTCGATTTACAGCTGGGAATAAGAAGACCCTTGGGGTGGTATAGGGGGTGTGCGATGGCTGTGTACACGAGAATGTGCCGTGAAATAATTATCAAAAGCTCTTGGTAATAAATTTGATGAGTACTGGTCTATCGCTTCCATTTGAAAAGCTGGTACTAATCCCATACCCCGCGTGATTTGCCCCATGATTATCGGCTTTACTGAAAATTTTCAACTCGGATGACAAGCTGCAAAAAATAAAACCTCCGATTCCAGCCCGAATAAATCGCATTTTGATAAAAAGTTTTGGTGCTCCCAAAGTATGTGAACCAAGAGTACCCATATTTTGACGTATACCACGTATACCTTTTAATTGTTAAGTACTTAACTTGAAGCTTTTATGGAACCTCATAAAAGGGTAGTTTAGCCCGAATTCCAGAGCCTTCACCTCGATAAAATAAATTATTTTCTGAGTTATACTAGTTAGGAATTTTAGTGTGGTCCTGAGGAAAAGGACATGCAAATTTTAGGGAGTTTAGTCAATGGCTAATCTGTCTCCTCTCTCTATATTGGAAAGTATCACCACGACTTGCCATGTACAAGACTACGTATCGCCAAAATACTAAATCTCTCGAGGCATACCTACTGTAGAGTACACATGACGTCAATTAACTACAATCTATATTAAATATACCAAATAACTGGTTAACTAATCCCATATCCGACATGAACTGGTAGTCGGGCGTGGGGTCTTGGTTTAACATTATTATGATAAAAAAAAGGCCACAGCTATGGACACAAAGTTCGTAAACCAGTAGCATTAAGTTCGGTTGAGCACAGAATCAAAATTATTTCTCAATTACTTCAAATTCTTGAAAATTTATTACGCAGTACACACATTAACATAACTGTGTTATCTAGTAAACGGCACATTATAGTTTCCTTTACATACAGTTCTGGTCTCACAACGAAACGAGAGATGCTGCTATCCTTCGATTATAAAATTGGGCGCTCCGGAAAAGTATTTGTACCAAGACGACGCACAACCTGAACATCTATAACCTGGTACACATACTATGTTCAGGTTGTGCGCCATCTTGGTACGAATACTTCGGGAGCACCCAAAACAAATCTACTTACCTATCACGCTAGTCTACGAGATGTTTCTCAACAGATATCTAAAAATAAATATCTAAACAAGTTATTTTCAGCGAGCAATACACAACCAATTTGTGTATTTCTTTACACGCAATTATTTGGTTTAAAATTAAACTCAGTCGAAAGAGGTGAAAGTAAAAGTTACCTCGCAACGTCTTCTTTTTATCGTGTCTTCATTAGCCTCCTTGAATTGAAATTTTCGTTTCTAAAGCACTAATCTTAATTACATGTTACGGTCTAACTATAGAGCTAAATTAAATAATTAACTGCTACTAATTCGGTTTGTTGTTTCACTACAATAATTTTGAGGTCAATACTTTCGATGGCATGTTCGTCCATTTTCTTCGACCGTAACACACAACATAATTAATTTCACGAGTAATCTTCAATGCGATGGATTTTATTTAAAAAAATGTAAACGACTCACTTCATAAGGTACCAAACGCCCATAATTTCTTTTTTGGTCTTTGCAAGGCATGTCCATTATGGTTCCATTACATTTGAACCCACGTACATTTGAACCCATGACAATTGCACCTGTATGCTATTGCACCTATGGATTTTTTTTTTGTTTCACGGATAGTTAAACCCATACTAACATAACCCATGGGTTTTAGCACCCGCATATAGATTGAACCCGTGGATATACACATGGGTTCAAATGTACGTGGGTTTAAATGTACGGTCACCGTCCATTATATTTGTTATATACCTTATATATTAACTAACTGAGAAATCTATTTATTAAATAGGATTGTATTTAGATAATTTTTTCTACACCGAGGTCTTTTCTTTCGATGCAACGAATGAATCTTTCATCCCCTGAATATACAAGTCATCGGGTGAATATACAAGTCATCGGGCACGGCTAGACTAGAAGAAAATTTGCTGCAAATATTAGAGAAATACAACAGGAAGATGAGTCTGTATTCCACAATACCTTAAACTATAAAATTATGCATATCTATCCATACAAATACACAAAATGCGTTCCGAAATCTCCATAAATACATTGTAATTATTAATTGACATAACGAAATTGTATATCCACATAGTAAGTTACCTATAAAATATCTTTTTTTCGTCATCTCTTCATAAGTTTGCGTAAATTAAATCTCCTCTCTTGTGGTCTAACTGTAGATTAGCATTCGCAACAACCGCATTCGCGTCCATCTCCATTTCGTCCGTTATGCGCAACATAATTTAATTCTACAATTAATAAATTAAATGAATACCTCATTAGACAAAAACCATAAATCAAGGCTGGCATAAAGCTTTCGATCTATCAATTTCGATCTACCTCATTGAACCAAATTATCACGGTTAAAATCATTATTACGATAATCAGAGACAAAGAAACGGGTAAAAATGGCACCTTCTAATCATCAATTTATTGCCAACGAATTATGCTACAAATACTATCATAAGAAAAGAAAATCTAAATAATTCTAAATCAACTGCGCTCAAACAGAGCCGAGACATGCCACTGAAACACCTCCGTACTTAAAATTAATAATCATTAATTGTTTGTGACGTGTCAAGAAAATAAGGGGAAAATAACCAGAAAAATGTAATCGACTTACTTCATTAGTTTCAGCACTCTAATTTCCTCCCTTGTCTTTAAAAGATGATATCACATTTGGGATTCACTCATATCTGCGAAAAAAAGAGGAGTTATCGCACAATGATTAATCTATAAAGATATATGAAATTATGCAGATTCATTTACATAATTACATTCTAAAATGTATTCACAATATCTACTGAGTTAGATTGAAATTACTTTCGAAAAATTAATAATGTGAAGTAAGTTACCTTAACATATTTGTATTTTTACGTCATTTCCCAAGCCTCCTTGAATTCGGTTTCACACCAAAGTACTAGTCTTAATTATATGTTATGGTCTAACTGTGGCTAAATTAGGTATTTAACTGCTAATAATCCCGTTCGTTGTTTCACTACGATTACAATAATCCCGATGCCAACACAATAGTTTCAGTCGTATTTGCGTCCATTGTATTTTTGACAGATGCACAACACAATTAAGTAATCGTCTAACTGAAATTGTAAAAGTATCACTTGTACAAGTACAATCTGTAGTATTTAAACAAAGCTGAAATTGTACATGAATATATTAGAACAAAATGTATATATCTAAGAAACAAACCTACATCGGAAATTATCGAAACGCGCACCCAGCAGCATTTGTTCCCTAATTGGGTCTGATTTATATAGCAGATACCTGAGGTGAGCTATTAGAATAAAAACGAATTCGAACATGACCTATAAAAAATAAACAAGCCAAGCGCTTTGCATCAAACCCTAGATATATAGGTTGGAAATACAACATGATGCTACCAACCGATCAAACGTAATAAAAACAATAACAAAGAACAAGCGTACTCACTGTGCGGGCCGAGGTCCCAAAATACCGCATCAGGTAACATTTTGACCCAGTGAAAAAGTCCAATTAAAATAATAAAGAAACAAGCGTTAAAGGAAAGCGCTGTAACCATGCAGATCTGATTGGATGTCGAGAAATAGTGAGAATACATTGAATCACCAGTAAAGCAGCACAAACATCCAAAGCACGCGTGATTAAACATTCCTCGTAGTTAACGTCCACTTTTCTCCCTTTAATTTCTTTAACATAATTAAACCTGTCTTATTGCCACGTTGAAAATTAACTTTTGTGGCGTGATCCTTCAAGTAGCTATGAGCACTATTTTTCACATACATACATACTTTGTCGAAATTGATGCCGTCAGGTAAGTACGTTTTTATTTTGCTTCATGCGTTCTGCAATTTCAGTGAGATTTAGACAGGTAGATATTAATAATAATTATTGCATATAATAAGTGGCGAACTCATGGGCTACGTCATTAGATGCCAACTAGGCCATTAGGTTATGCCGAAGAGAAGGCGATAATAGACGCCATGGATTTAAGACGTGATGTCGCACTGACTAAATGCAGACCTCATACACTCCGTTGTCACTGTTTAAGCACGTTTGTCGCTTCCCCCAATTCTTCATATTTATGTCCTTGAAATCGCTTTATAATCCTTCCCCTTAACCTAAGAACACAGGCAGTTTGTGCAGTTGTCAACATTGTTTATTCTTGATTTTGAATTCAAACTTCCAAATCATGTAACGAGCCTGTGCGTTTAATACAATGTCTACTTTATTTACCTTGGGACAATTGTTGGAAAACAAAATGCGTTAACAAACCTAAACTAAATCTAGTATTTGCCACAAGTAGTAAAAATTTGCGATTGCAACCAACGCATCTTGTTTTAATCCTAAATTTCATCATTATTTGTCTAAATGCGATTTCGGTTATTTACATACAAAGGTAACCACATCGCATTATATGAAATATACTGAAAGTATTTTCTCCATGTGAGATTGCATGACCTGGAAATCTCAATATTGCCGTTTAGGAATGTATAGTGACTGATGAGTGGTTATATTTTCTTTAATTAATATATCTATAAATAAATTAATATTTAACGTGAATACAGATCCACCTTGGCTAATTTGCGTTTTATAGCCCTGGTGCCTACTTTGGCACAGGCTATTTTATTTCTTGCGCCATAGGGATACGACGAGCTTAGGTGTACGATAGGCTTGGCTTACAAAGACCAGCCTGAAATATCTCATTCTCGATACTAGCCGGGTTAAATTTGCAATTACTTCATGTCATTTTGATATTTCCACATGTAGCCTACTTCATCAAGTATGAGCTATATATAATAAGCGTGGTATCAATGTACTGTTTAAGTATGGGTTATGTATGACAGGGTGTCTAGAAATAAATGTTAATTAAGGATAAACAAAGCAAATCCTTATTAACGAATAATTTTAAAATAGCCAAGTAACTACGGACTGGTGATTCGTCCTGTTTACTCCAAAATGTTTTCAACCGCAAAACATCCAATTTCTCTGTATTTTCACTGAATTTCCCAACCTTTTATATTTGGTTATGTTATTTCGTAACATATTTCTGGTTTAGGAAATATATTAACGTCATTATTTCCTGAGTACGAATTCCCAGAAATTCATGACAAAATCAAACACTCGTTCATGTTTTCTTCATCATTTTTCAATGACTTTTGAAGTATTTCCTATGATAAGGAATCAGAAATGTCAGAACCTTTTCACATTCGTACAAGCACGGCTACAATAATATTTCGCTTTAGTTACGACCAACATTTATAGCTGACCTCATTTCAATTTCAAATCATTTTGTTTCACTGATTTCGTCTTTTTAGCTCCCGCAAAGCGTTGAGATTCCATTTGAAAATTTTCTTTTGAATTTCACAGGTTATATAGTTTAAGTAGATAATCAAAGGAATCGATATGAAGGTGTATTGTGTTCTCCTATTTATAGTCTTAGCTGGTGAGTAGATATATTTTGTAATGTTACTGTAATATAGGAATAGAATACATTTGAATACTGTAATTGACTACTATAATTAAATGCCGCGGGGAAAAGTGAGGTTGCCAACAGAGTACCCGTGAATGTTGTTATAATGTACCGACACGCTAAATCAGAATTTTGCGCCGGCCTAGACGCTATGTGAATTCTGACACTGAAGTGTACATTCGTTTTGATTCGTTGTTTTTGTTAGTATTGACGACCGGTGGCGTTGTGTAAATCCATCGCGACTACTGAACAATCAGTGTCGAATTTTCAGTACTGATTTATTTTAATTTCCTCTGGTGCGTCAATTTCTTCTGACAGAGTACAATAATTTATCCAAAACTTGTCTGGCTTGGCTACATGTTCACGTTGCCTTCTTGGTATTAAAGTAATTGTTCGTTAAATCAATTTGAAAACCATCAGTTTGGAAATGTAAATATTTTTGATATGGACCTATTTGTGGGTTGCGTACTCCCATCACTTTTAAACTTTAGAGGTTCTACTTTGGAAATAGCACGTACTTGGAAAAAATTTACCGCCACATTTACAACAGCGTAGCCAGCACAAAATTGGAGGGGGTTGTATTATGACGTAATACGCCGATTACTCGTTATTCGCTTACTTACTTCGTTGTCGAAATTATCCATGCACAAGGTATATAAGCGCGCATTTTCATCCATCTCGGTTTGTTAATTTGGTGAAAGGATATTGATAGCAGGTCAAAAAGTCGGTAAATTATTTTGGTTTATGACTATGTTATTCGTAAATCGTGGAGCTTGTCCTAACTGTTTATAATTTTTGTTATTAGTTGCGGCCGTATATGTTGACGCCACATTGATACATCGTATAAGAAGAGAGTCATCAGGTATGTCAGAAAACAAATTTTACCTTTTTAAAAAAAAACGGAAATGCAAACTCAGCATGACTGACTAGAAAACTGCTTGTCATGTATTCACCCATATCGTTTTCCCGATTGGTGTAAAATGTACAACTTTGTTTATAACTTATAACAAATACAGGCCATCATATATTTTAAACTCATTCTTTTTAAATGTATATATATTTTTATTATTGTACAGGCGATGGAAAAGAAGGCTCGACAACCGACAATGGAAGCGGTGGGTACTTGATATTGTATGTGATGCATGCCGCGACAAAAATCCATTTCTATATTTCAAAATTATAGGAATGACAACGAAAGATAAATAATATATAGTGTGGTTTTTCGTATTAACTGTGTCCGTAGGCATATGTAATTAACCAGGGTTTAAAAAAAGGTTTCGCGTTATTGCGTTCGCTTTTGTTGTATTGCTGACTTTTCTTCATAACGTGGCATAGACTTATACAAATTTGCCTCTAATCCGTGGCTTCTCATTGCTTTCATTGTTAATTCCAGGGTGCTTGGGTGATGACGAGGACTGTGTAGTAACTGTATCACCGACCAGTAAGTTGAAATTTGAAAAATCTGCCTTTTCCTACTAACAACAGACATAACAATTTGAATTATATAGTTGGGTGATTATGACATCATTTATTGGATGCCTCTTTATATACTCTTCCGCCGCGAAAGGCTGGATATATATATATTTATACAGTATATGCACGCAGAGAGGCCACACACATATTTTTCTCTGTATATGCCAGTTCCTATATAGTCCGACATACATGAAAATAGACTGTCGTATTCAATAATTTTTTTTATTTCCTTTTTGAATATTATATTCTTTATTGTTATCACACAGGTGGCGGGAACGAAGGCTCGGCGTCCGGCCACGGTGAGTAAGCAATGCAGTATATCATAACGTATGCAACGATAAAAATGCATGGCCAATCTCATTGCGTCTAACTCGAGACACCTTCTCCAAATTGACTCTATTGATATACGCACGTATTGACGATAACGCTCTAAGTTTATTGATATTGTGGCCATTAGACTGCTGGTTATAAAATTCACTACGACTTGGGCAGGGCTGGGCAAGCTGGACTTGAATCAACAGCACGTCTACATGTGATTCGTGAATGCAGTAAGCCGACACTATTTGCTACCGTAGGTAGGCCTACCGCATTCACCCGCATTTATTTTAAAAACATATTTCAATTAAAACTGCTTGGGATTTCATTTATTACATGACTGTTTGTCTCAAAGATTACGCAACAATTAAATGCGTAGTCTTGCGAAATACAATCTCAGTTCATAGGTTTCTCATTACTTACATCCAGGTTGTACAGCGGACGACGAAGACTGCGGAGTAACTGAAGCACCACCAACCGGTAAGTTGCAAATCGCATTTTTAATATCAGAGGTCAGAGATCAAACTAAGTAAAATTATGAATCAAGTTAAACTACACTATGGCTCGTATAGTATACTACCATTAACAGGCGTGTAAACTTGTTGGACACAAACGGACCTAGGAATCGTTTTTCTAAATTATTCTTGTTTTTGAGAGAATTGTCTTTCTCCGTATGTATTGGACCAATCAATATGAAATTGTTGTTACTTGAAGAAATAGGTAATTGCTAGAAGGCTATCACTTTTTTTTAATTTACTGTCGAGTGCTATGGGCTCCGAAAATTAAAAAATAAAACTCAAGTACTGAAATTTAATATCGACTGGTACTTGTTGTAGCGAAGAAAAGCGACTTTTTTACATCACGAAATAAGCTAAATAACAGCAAGTTAGAACGATCCATATACAGTTGTACACGTTGCAATACGGCTAAATTGCAAATATATATTTAATCGGGCGCTAATTTTTCCAGATGGTCCAGTAACGGATGATGGTAAGTTTTCAAAATAAACTTTGATTGGAATTCCCGTTTTATGACATTATCAGGACAAATTGAGTTCCCAGAAAAATATTATTAAAAATTACCGTAATAAAAAATGTACGTTTAAATAAGTTTACATTGTTGGACATGAATTACCATAAATGAAATGACTCTACCTCGTCACCAAGTAATCTACTGTCTTCTACTTTCCTTATGTTGATCGTTTTTTTTAGGCGAAGGCTCTGGTGATACAACGGACAGCCCTGGCGATGGTAGGAAAGTCGTTTATATTATTATCATAGTTTACATATACGTACTTTTAATTGAATAACATTGTCAACTTTTATTCATATATATAGGAAGTAACGAGACTGGATCAGGCGACGGAGGTACCGGTACCAGTAAGTTTAAATTATTCTGTTCACCAGGTTAGATTTTGAGCGACTTCCTCGTAGACGGCGGCTCTTTATGATACGCCGTTACGTAATAAATCCCTATTTATGATGTCACGAATTTTTGTATTGTGACGTCATATTAAACACTATGTATATTTTGCAGATTGTTTGGAAGACGATGAAGATTGTTCAGGTAACTATCATTATATAAAAAAGTGTAACCTACAACTCAAGCGAAAAGTATTGAATAAAAGTTCAACTTCAATGAAATATCAGAAACATAGAGCGGTTCAGATATCTTGCATCAGATTTAACAAACTTAATTCTGTAATGTCATTCAATGCCAGACTTCCTCGGACAAACAGTTAACAATGATAAGAAACGAACAATCATGATAATTCCATTTTATACATTTTTCAACCGTGTTACGCTATATTTAGCGTATTGTTTTGTAGTAAATCCGATGAAAATGTGATTAGAACCGTTCTTTTTGGCCTTCAGTTAAATATTAATCTCGGAATTTATATTCAGGCAGCGGAGGGGGAACAGATCATTCCGGCGAAGGTGAGAATCTTACACGTTAGGCCTCACCCCCTATAGGTTAAGGTGACCATACGTCCTCCTTTTGGAGGATTTGTCCTCCTTTTTGGTTAAAAAATTCGTGTCCTCCTTTTTTCACGGGATTAAATATTTAAAATTCTCCCACATTATCGAAAGTTTTTGATATGTTAAGAAAATTCCGAAGTCAGTAGAGACTTGTAGTTATCATTATACACATGACAAGCAATGCATTGCGATGTGATAGCAGAGAATGACACTGGTTATAGCATGCAGACGGGTTACTCTAATTAAATGCACACTTCTTATGCTTACTCGTTTACTACGTAAAATCGTTTTGTTTCACATTTATATTTTACGCCATTTCACCTCGTATATCGCAATTTATGAATACTTGGATTTGGACAGAAATTACGCCAATATACTCAGTTTTACGATATTAAAAAAAATAACCCAACAATGTTGACGACGATTAAAGGAACTGCCGAATACTCATGGTCTAAGAGAAAATCAATCGATTGTCCTGCATATTTTTTAATACAACAAAAATGCGTTATTTCATTGTCGTCATTTCGTCTATTGTCACTTTTATATTTGATTCTAGGGAATTTAGTAGATATATTAATGTATATCTCATACACAGATGAAATGCGGTTCTATATTTACGGTTCTACCAAACAATGTGTCCTCCTTTTAGGGTTTGGAAATATGGTCACCCTACTATAGGTGGATGTAGGGAGATGAATGGGGATCGGGTTCTAAATTCAGAGAGTTGTGATTATTTCCATTAGCGATAAAACTGCTTGTAGTTGGCATGTGTTTGACTGACCATCTGCACTGATATATACGATCAAAATTTCAGGGGGCCTGGGTGTTCATCCATAACTCTGCCGCTATGAAATAGATTCGGAGGATTGTGAAAACGTCCTGACGAATGTTGTAATATCAATTCGGTAATCAGTTACATACAGATGACATTACCGAAATAAAATATTTTATATTTTTGTTATTCAGGGAGCGGAGAGGAGCCATCACACCCTGGCGACGGTAAGATTTCAATTACAATTTGGTAAATAGTCCAGGTAGTCTAAGTAAAACCGAAGGGAATTAGAAGAGTATATTTTACAACGATAATAGAGTCACAGGCCATAGCTTCCACGAAAATGACTCCCACACGACAACTTTTTGTTTTCCAAAGTTTGATTTTCTCGGAAATGGAGTTTGATTCAAATTCTATTACAACCGGGAGTCGAGCTTGCATTTGATTCTAAACGCCCATTCTAAACTGACCAGGAATGCAGCGCCATATTACTGTTTAATATCAATCATTTCTTGTATTTAGGGGAATGATCCGAAGTAAAAACATTATAGGCAGTTAAACATCAGTAGTCCACAATCATCGTCAAACGTGCAACAGATGGTCTCCAGCTACAATTCATAATCGATGCTATTTCAATGGTTCCAACGTAATAGACCAAATTAGATCAATCTTATTGTTGTACATTTTCATCGAAACCTGGTCAATTGTTGACCGTCTTCACAAAGGTTTTGTTAACACCTATTCATCGTAATGTTTGTTTTGTACATTTTAAATAATACATATATCATATACAACCATGTTGTAATTTTCTTATTCATATCAGGAAAGTAGATAAGACCACTTAATCATATGCGAATGGTAGTCCGGTTAACTTGTGATACAATAAGTGGTCCGCCGGAAGGTCTAAATAGCGTTTCAACATACGAAGAAAAATTGCTATGTGTGATACTGAAATTTTTTTCTCCTTTCGAAGGAAAGGGGTCCGACCCGCAAAAAACCCCCTCTGGGTACGCCGGTGTATTGTTTAAATCCACCCACCCACCAACAGTAACAAAAAATGGATATGTATGATTCGGCAAAATGCTTTTTTTTACATTTAAAAAAAGAGGGGTTCCGACCCATTGTTTAAAGCTGAATAATACACCCACCCACGGTACGACCCACCCCCTGCCAACAGCTAGCCAATTACATTTCCTTCATAAATCCATCAAATCACGCATTATATCACAGTGTATATTATTATACTAAGTTTCATTTACAAATATTTATGGCACTTGTATTGAGGAGGTAAAAAAATAGGTTTGTAATTTATTTTCAAAAAATTTAACATCAAATTTTTAGGCTATTAAGTCATGGCTCATGTAAGTGCAAAAAGCTAATATATTGGAAATAAATTTTGTGTTAGGCATATATTAGAAAAATCTCTTTAGCAAAATAGAAAATAGGTATAATGGCACTGGCTTTATCTCTCTAAGTTGCAATAATTTCTTACTATTTAGTCCACTAGGACATGCATTGTATGTATATAAAATAAGTGCATATGTTTAATGATGTGTCCCGAATCGAGCTATTCGTACAAGAAATTACAGTGTAAAAAATGGTCCTACGTCATGTCGCTTATCTTTCCGAAATCCACATACTGTATATGCAGGCTGAGTTGGCTTTGTAATCAAGATTGATTTGAGAGGGTTGTACATGTTGGGTGCAGGTACGTCCACTATAAAGAAGATATTAAAATTTACCAAGCTCAAGTGTTCAGACTATATAAATTGGTTTACAGGAAAAGCAATTACAGAAAAACATACATGACAATAAAACAGCGGTGGGTTTGCATTCCATCGAATATATGACGTGCGGTAATTGACTAAAGAGTATACAAAATTATCGCAAAATAAAAGGGTGGATACCAGTGGTGGAAGACTCCAAGTATCTAGCGTCATCTAAATTCTAAATGGAATCACTCGGACAAGTCATCAACTTACCGTCATTGCAATACATAATGCTACCCCAATTAGACTTACTTATAGGAGTCCAGTTTCGATTCTGTAGCTTAGATCCCATGGTGTGTGCTGGTGCTCGTCGCATTCTGCTTAATGCCACTACTTCTGGGTAGTATATAGTAGGTACTGGTTGCACAGTCATTCTTGCCTTATGCTTTGGAGGTTGGAGACTGGTAGGCGTTCCTATGCATTGGATTATGGTATGTATTTATATCATGAAGTAACATATATAGACAGTGGCCGAAGCTGGCCCTGGATATTTGTCACATATAAGATATATTTAATTAATACACTGCACCATTGCCCATAGTTAGCAGTGATAAATTTACATAATAAAAAGTTCAGACATACCTATACTGTGACTTGGAAATGCAGGCTTGTTTACTTGTTTTGGTCCTAAAGTTGATTTATGTTGATAGTGAAAAGGAGAAGGCCAGTGAAGTTCATAGTTTGTTTTAAAAGTAAATGGACTGTGTGAACGAAACCATAGCTTTCCCCAGGCTTTTTGTCCACTGCCAGCTGAAACGACAACAAAGTTTAAGATATTTATAGGATACATTAATAACAAGATAAGTGATTAATTCTGTGGGAGATCAATATATGAGAAAGGATAATTAGTTATATTATCTTTTCTTTCAATGATGTATGCAGCAAATTAAACTCGTAACCTAACAAAATACAATGATTCATTATATGAATAAGCCATGCTAACCCAATCTTAAATAAAATATTAAAAACTCATCCTTTGACATATCATACTAAACTTTAGCAGGACATTTTCTAGCGTACGACTAAGCACCCCGCATGGGTTCATAGGTTTGAATCCTACAGAACAGGGATTGCGAACCACTGACACACGACACGAGTCCCAAACATCATTTGTGACTCGACAAACCCTAAATTATGTATAATTTCGCTTTGTGAAAAAATGAAACAGCAAGCTTTCATTGTTGCGGACATTGATTAAATGTTCCACAGTCTTCTATTCATGACGAAAATATAATGTGTGACCCATGCAGAAAAAAGGTTCACCATCTCTTCCATAGATATGTGCAAAAATTGTTATCTCTCACCTTTCTCAATTTCTTTTCTTCCAAATGAGTATGCAGGAGCGTTAGTTTCATACAATGGCTTATTACAAGGTGAATACGTGGTTGGGGATGGACCTGACATATCAATTCGTAGAGGTGGTCGACTTTCAGTGGCTTCATACCAGGCTGAAATTGGAAGAAAGTTGACCAAAATGAAAGGTATATATATATGTGTGCAAACTTTTATGTAAATTTGAAGAATCATATGCAAATTGGATATTACAAGTGAACAAAAATTTTGTTTTAAATCAATCAATCAATTTTATTCGGTCCCTCTGATACAAACAAAACACAAAACAACAACAAAGGGACAAACAAAATACAGAGGACCTGGAGGACGGGCATAACTTAATAAAAAAGTTTAATACGTACAAGTACGTGCCCGTCCCCCAAAAACAGGCAAAACACAATAAAACAAAAACACGATGTGACATCGGGCAATATCTTATAAATTCAAATTAAAATAACAGGCATAAGGCAGCAGGACTCTTGTGAGTCTTTTCTTTTTATATGATGTTTATACGCGCCCTTCACTCCAAACAAGATTGAGCGGCCACTGATATGTATGGGACTACTAAATTCGGGTTTGGCCTAACTAATTTATTTCATGCCAGCATAAATAAGTCCAACGCTTGAACTACCGTGCCACTGATTTAAAGCATTGGTTCCCAACCGCCGGTCCGCGGACCGGTGCCGGTCCGCGAAGCTTTTTTGCCGGTCCGCGAGAAAATTTTGGTGTTTTGTTGTTTTTATGCCATCTAAATCGCTTTACCGAGGACGAGGTTGCGTTGGTTTATTACGCAATCTCTCTTCCGCCGTCATATTGCGACATCTTGGCGCCGAGTAATCATACTTTTCGCTTTTTCGGCTCCGATTCATCTCGAATGCGCTCCGATCTCTTTGACGAGGTCGATTTATTACGCAATTTCTCTTCCGCCGTCATATTGCGACGTCTTTCGCGGCATCTTGGCGCCAAGTAATCACACTTTTTGCTCATCGTGAATGCGCTCCATCGAATCTCGCAAGATTCAGAAACCTAAAAATTGGCACACGTGCTTTTTCTGTTTTGCATGCTTTTCCTGATTAATATGACCACCCAAATAAAACGTTACGCATATTTCTTTGTTCAAACCAAAAAACAGTCAAGAAAAGTATAATACTACAGTAAAATATGGCAGGTGGTCACGAGGAGCGCAAAAAAGCATGGGCCGCTGAGATCTTTCCCAGTATCTTGAGCAGACAAAGTAGGATTTTGAGCCTAGTGCCAAATTACCGACGACTTTGTCATTGTAATGTAAATTCATTCCGTTTGAAGCATCGATCAACTGCAGAGGGATTAATACGATGAACCCAATGAAAAAGCTTGATTCAAATTGTGATTCTGCTTTACAGTCCAGATTTAAAAAAGAATCACTGTCACAATTTTGGATATCTTTTGATAACGAATACCCATCGCTAAGTAATCGAGCAATCAAACTGTTGTCCGTATTTTCAACGAGTTACTTATATTTTTATTACTTATATATAAAAATATTTTCATCACTAGCTTCAATTAAAGCGAAGCAAGGAAATTGGCTGCACGCCGCTGCAGGGCTACGTGTTGCAGAAACTTCCTTGAGGCATCGTTTGCAATCCTATATTGGAAACTAAACAGCAGCAAAATTTTCACTAGAGTTAATTGCGTTTGTACATGATTTGACATGTACATGTTTTTTATGTGAGATGTTTTATGTGTGCCTTTCTTACGCATAATGGGCGCCCAGCACCAAAGCATTACGCAAATATTTTTGGCCGTCACATTATTTGATAGTTTTTCTTCGTGTGAGCTGTTTTTAAGTGTGCCTTTTTTTGTCTAGACTCTAGATGCATATTGAGTGCCCGACATTGCATTGTATTACGCAAATACATGTTATTCTTTTATGTTCCGGTCATTTCAATTTTTTGCCGGTCCGCCAGTACATTTAATTTTATTTTACCGGTCCGCCAGGGTAGAAAGGTTAGGAACCACTGATTTAAAGCATGCAGATAGCAATGATTTTATGGTAGGTGCAGGGCTAGGAAAGGTATGAAACTTTAAGTAAATAGAAAGAGGATTCATGGATAAATATGACCCGGAAAAACAAAAAATGATCTCACATATATTTCTCCTTGGATAATCTATCTCACTTTGAATAGGTTGATAAAATGTTCTTGGATGTCTCAAACTATTTCTGAAACCAGAATATAATATACAATAAGTTTACACTAGACCATCTAGTTTTTATTAATGAATCAGACAATTTTGTATGGTGAAATTTGAGATTGTGAAGGAATATAGCACACATGTATAAAAACATATCTATTCATATGCAACAAGATGGAGTCATCCTAATTGTTACGAAAACTAGAATATTTTTTTAAAACTACTGGTACATACTTTACTGTTTGATAATCTCTCAACTTCAATGAAGACCTACCTGGCTGACACTGTAGATAATCTGACAAACTTTTGCTGTGAAGGTAACTCAGTTGAATACCTAAACAAACAAAAATGAAGAAAACGGTTTAATCTACTATTTTGTAGTCGTTTTTCTGATCTTTTTGAATTCTTAATTCTGATTGAGCGTGTGTAACGTGGTTACGTGGCTTTCAGCAAATTTTTGTAACAAAATTTCATTTCTACCTTCCCATAATAGATGAAGTTACCACTCTGTCAGGTGGCAATCCTACATTTGATCCTCTTGTTGATGTGTTATGTCTGGTTGGTGGAAGCTTTGTTCCTTCATTTGTCTGAAGAAAAGAAACAAGGATGAACGTCTTTATAGTTGCAACACCTCAATGAGGTATACCAAATCTATAGAAACGAAAGTCAAACAAAGTAGTATCAAATCTTTCAAAATTCCAGTACCGTAGTCTTCCCAACTTCGACTTATCACCAAATCGCAACGATCATGAACGCAAAAGTAGAACCGCCACAAGGTATGCAATGTGAAATACGAATCCCATAAAGCCCGCAGACATATTTTAAATGACAGCCCCCTCCCTAGCAGCAACAACAATCTTTAACCACTAAAAATTTCAGAAGTAGAAAAACGATTTTTTCACAGTAACAAAAAGAAGATACCAAGAATACCACCAACAACAACATACAGACATAAAAACAAAACGATCCATAGGTCCACTTCAAGTTCAATAAATATGAAGGTTACAAAGATTGAGTCTAATTATCAAATGGAGTACACATTTATTATCACATAAAATTACAGAACTTGAGCTATGTTATGAAAAGAGCATACAGACCTCTTGTTGTGCTCTTTGTTGTATCTTCATGTCAATACCTGAGATGAAATAAAGACAACTCAGAGCAATAATGATAAATTGGTTGTAATTGACTACTGATAGGCAAAAACAAACTTGCATATAATTCATGATATTAAAAAAAATATTACAAAGACGCAATAGAGCAAAACAGAAAAAAATCAACAATCTGATAATATCAAAAAAATTTCTCATAATAGGTTTAAGGCAGCAATGCAATAGCAAAATATTGAAATTTATATATCATTTTGAAAAGGCATTATATTGCAGTAATATCCTCCTGTCTTTAATCGGTTCATGATGCAAAGTACCATACAACTACAGAACTACGATTTCACAATATCTCATCATTACAATATAAATAACTGTCAGACTGTTGAACCATCTCTTTCAGTCTTTATTTCCCTTCAGTATTTAGGCTAAAAAAATCGAAAATTACCACTGTCTGCCCCATCACGTGATGCTCCATCAGCTTCCCTCAAAGCAACTGCAGGAAAGGGAATCATGTTTGATGAAGTTGGAGCAATGAGAAACTCGGATGGACTTTGATTTGACATCTTCTTCGATATTTTGAGTTTCTTACTTTAAAATCGGTTTCCCAAACTTAGTTCCATGTCAGGTTATTCAAAATGTTATCAATTTACGATATCCATATGTTTCAGAAATAGACTCAAGGCAAACACTAAACGATAATAAACCTGTTAACCCCACCCAACAAGGCTTTAGTTTCTGTAATTGCAAAAATTTGAACTTAACATTCTATAAATAGTATATATATATCCCATTCTTAAAGCTAGTCCTATTGTTTCCTGCATTTTTTCACACGACTGTTTATTAGCAAAACGATTGCTCGTTGCAAGACTCTACTTGAAGCTTGTGGTGTTTTGTGTGGCTTTCGTGAACTTTAACCCTGTAACCTGGGCGATTCCAAGCGCGTCACGTATCGCTGCGCAAAAATCAGATGAATTAACATGGTGTTTCGAATTACATTTCAATGCAATGTCAATTACAATCCAACTAATATTTTGTACTCCCTATGCATGAACCCGGATCGCTGTGGAAGACTGACAATTCACGAATCGGTAGATACAGGGTAGAAATCCATGGCTTGATTTTACGATGAACATTAGAATTATGACAGTCGCCAGATGTTAAAGGGCAAGCGGGTGCTAAACTATAGCAAACAATCAGAAATATTAGCGGTTAATTTTTCGCATAAAATAAAGCGATCGTTCGGCGTCGTGCATCATGAAAACGATGTTTATTTCCCGAAAAAAAAAGGAATCCTCAGCACCACTATAGCCATATTGGCGTATTTCGAGATGCTTCTAAAAACAAGAGAGCTACGCACAAATATATGGACACGTCAGACCAGAGCGAATCAGTCCTTACCGGTACCTTTGACGCTACCGGTACCCTCAAAAAAGTTCTGAATTTCCAGTAGCAAGAATTTTGCAGAATCAAAACGTACAGCCAGTCTTGCAACAGGGGTGATAACTTTTTTGTGGCTTTGGAGCCAGGCCACACAAAAGGGGCCAGGCCACGGAGAAAATGGGGCCAGGCCACAGAGAAAATGGGGCCAGGCCACGGACAATTTGGGGCCAGGCCAGCGCAATGGTAATGTTAAGACATCCGTATTTGTTTAGTTATATTTTTGTTTATAAGTAATGTGGAAACTGGTAATGTTAAGACATGTACGGTACTTGTACAATTGAACCGTATCGTATGTTACAACCAGGGAAAATGCTGTATTCGAACACTTACTCAAAATAATAGATAAAAACAAATGATAAAGTAACTGAATATAGAATCGGGAAAGCAAACAAAACCTCAAGTAAAGTTTGAAGCCTACATATTTCAGATGGAAAGGTATTGATAAAAGAAGTAGTACGTGTTCGCTCACCCAATGTATTACTTATGTGAGGGGGTATATTGCGAGCGATACATTATTGTAGTGTTTCTACTGGTCACCGTATCTATACATTTATATTCCTCACCGCATTCATTGTCTTTTTACTGTAGCGTGAACTGGTGCCTATATGTTAAAAAAAACTCAGTGAAATAAGTTATATTTATTGCTTGTTGCATACCTTTTTGTGATTGTTAATTTTTTTTAGCGAATATGTGTTGTTATTTAATTATTTTCATACAATACATGGTTAATAGATCATTGAATAATTCCACCAGTGACTCAAATGCTATTATTAAATGAAGTCCGTACTGATAAATTGTGTAGTTCTACCTGTATTGCATAGGCAATTGACAGGGGTTTACACGCTAAGATGTTTTAGATTTGTAATACAAATTGCAGGCACAACATATCGGTAGCTGGTATACGCTATCACAACCACTAGTATCCCAATAATCAACATGCAAAAAAGACTACTCTTCTCCGTTATACATTATCCCTAACAGAAAACAAGATCCATGCATACCAGTTGATTAACTGTTTCATTTATTGAAAAATATGCAAAAAAAAATTGCAAACACCAGATTGGCAGGATTCCAACATACTCTTTTTTAAAATAAGATTCATCTCCGAGGGAGTCCTTTTTGTTAGCATCTTAAGACTTTCCTATTACCGATAATTACTTCAATTATATTCAGCGTAATGAATATCAGGGATAAATGTTCAATCATAAGACTGTTTTTCAATATAAGTCATCATAGATATATCGGAAAAGTAACAGTAGTACAAACGCATATTAGATAATCATAAGCAAGGAAATTGTAAGACTCTTTTGACTGGAACTGGTTTAGAGATTCAAGGGAAAATTCGCAAAATTCAATTTGGTATTTTTTCAAATTTGTTTTTAGCAACCACACTGGTAAGGTTGAGTATCTCCTACACAATATAAACCAAAATTATATAGAGTCCGTATTGTTGTCATCATAGCAGACACCATGATATAATTTCTTCTCTCCAAGCTATAAAACAAAAAAATTATGTTAAAATTCTTGATGACTTGAGTGGTTTATTATTTTACAGTACTGGGAATCAAAATACCTATTTCACCAATAAATACTTTTTAATCCTGCACACCATTTTGAGAATACAGGTAAAACGTAAAATTAAATGGTAGTGATATTAGGGAGTGGGGTTTTATGGCACGGTTGTTAGCAACAATATGGGATGAAATTTATCTAACAGAAGGAAGTATGTAGGTTTCATATAGAATTATTACATCATTTTTATCATTGTCAACTATTCAATCCAAATCTAACGAAGATTCAATAAAACATGGTGTTTATTCGACTAGACCAGGGGTTCTCAACCTTTTTTCTGCAAAATACCCCCAAGGCACGAAACAATCAACGTGAACCCCCAGTAATGTGACACCGAACAAAGTTGTGATATATCGATTAACAATTTGTTGAAACAACAATTTATTGACCAGATAAAACTAAATTTAATTTCCCTGTTACTAATATTGCCCTAACTAATAAATTCTTAAAATCCCTTTCAAGTTTCAATGAGGATATCACTTTCTCCAGTGCTCGCAGCACGCTGTATTTTCTGTGAATTTCACATTGTTTACGTCACAATCACAACAACGCAAGATCAGGGAAAATCTATGTCTCAATTGGCATCCAGTTTCAATCGGCACGCATTTTCCTCTGGTAGTAATAAAGGATATTTGAAACAGCAACACGCAAAAACTCGACTGCCATCCAAGTACAACCTGAAATCTTTTCGCGAACCCCAGGTTGAGAACCCCTGGACTAAAGACTGCTTGGTCCATCCCTGATTTGTATACATCGCAGATCACTTCATTATCAAAAACTCATTAAGTTAGGAAACAAATGGAATGGGCCAATTTTAATATTCTATTCTGTTTTTACTTATTGTTGCCTATGTCCTGCTATAAAGCTCAGTACAAACAATACGTCAAACTCACATTGAGGTACGTAGAATCTGAATAAATCTTCGAGCAATCATAATACCACACTTGCCAATTCCACGTCATTCTATTGTTTTATGCACGCGATGTTTTGGAGAAGCAAAATCAATAACATGGAAACTGCGACAACTGTTTGCATGTCGTTACGACGTGAGCACCTGAGATTATGTTATTTGTTAAAGCCATACTGAACAATTTTTTATCATGTAATACAATTAATACATATTAGGCATTACATGTATTTCTTTACAATGCTTAGTGATTGAGGCAATATTTAAAAATAAAAACCAATAGTGGCAAAAAATTCACATCTTACACTTTTTAAAAAAAAAGAGTGCTTAATAGGGAACACCATTTGCAAAAAACATCTTGCGAGAACATCTCTTGACAATGAAATTTTTCCAAATACAGCATAAAAATAGCAAATAGTCAAGAAAAATTATGAAAGAACTTGCAAATGTTATTTTAGGAAAACAAATGTACAAAATTCAGACTTGACTATTAGACACAATCTTGACTGGAACAAAAAAATTTAACCATGGAGATTGTATTCAGGTCTCATCTGTACAGTTATTGTTACAATGATGTGATCAAGGCAAATAATACCAAATCTTACCATCATACTATTCCATCTATTTTAGTATTTAATCTTTGTAGTGGAATCTCGTTCGGAATATAGTTCTTCTCGGAAAAACTTTTTCGCTTGATTCCTGTTTTCATTATCAATTTAAACAATCCCTGAAAGCAGATCCAATTATGTATGTAGTAGTAATCATCACAAGAATATAATACAAATATGTTATGCATGCTTCAGGTGGATATAAAAATATAAGGAATATTATTAAGTATTTCTAGCTGTGTCACAACCGTATATATACTATATACTTAATATATACTTAAATCTCCACTCAAACCATTTGAATGACTAACGAATATAAAAGTGTGAATCAAAGCTTCCCCCAAAACCAGTCTCAAATGAAAAATCCAGTGCGCCAGCTAATGTTATCTAATAAATAATATACATTGTAATATTAGGCTAAAATGTATAGTCTGATATGAGTATTACTTATAAATAGTTTGAGTAAGATAAGCTTGAAATATTTTTCCCAACCTGGTAAATGTAAACTACAAATTAGCTTTCATATTCATAATCTATGATCAAATTGATATGATACCAGCTTCTTACAGCCTAATTCTTGTATACATTCCTCAGTTATCGTATAGTATCTGTTTCACTGCGATCATTACTCATATCAGCATATATACTGAACAAAAACATTAATTCCCCAAAAAGTGAAACAAATCTTATGGTACTATTGTTGTAAAGTAACTTAACCATCATTACAAACCTGTTATATGAAATAAAAACTATGACTATTCCACTTCCGACAACATTCAGACATTGCGTCCCCGAATCACCTTGCTGTATGAATCCACTTTTTAAACTGCACTTCCCGGCAACAAATTTCAAAGTATTTACTTTTCAGACAGTCAAACATGATTTCATACTATTATGGTTACCTGTAACTTGAAGATCTTTACTAACCTGTTGAAAACCATGAAAAAAAAAAATACAAAATCATCTCCATAACAGAAATCAAGTATGGCTCCATATACAGATATACCATGTTTTCCCAAAAATAAGACTGGGTCTCATTTCAATTTTCTTCCGAAAAATAACACTAGGGCTTATTTTCGGGGGATATCTTATATTTTTATTTATTAAAAACAAACTTAAAAAGTAGAGAATTACGAGATTTTCAAATATACAAACTATAGCAACTAACCCCCAAATGTACCCCATTTCATGTTGAAATCAACAAAACAAAGTTAATTTTTCCCAAAATTCGAACAAAGACTTTCGTAGGAATCAAATTACACCAGTTTAAGAAACATAACATGTTCCACCCAGTCATTATTAAATTAAAATTTATATTCTCAAGACCTTTGGCACTGATTGAAATAATTATATCTAAGTTCCCATCCGTACGATGTACCTAATTACCCTTGTTGAGATAATAGGAATTTCTGTTTATAACGTGAATCACGAGCTCACGTTTACAGCATTTAATTGGATTTATGATCAACGTATAAATACGACTCCGATATCTTTCGATAGGAGGAGGGAAGACGATGTAAACCATTCTAAGCTAGTCTGGATTAATGTTATAAGATTTATATTCTGTGTGTTGTGGAAATTTACGAATAAAAACATATAGAGATTTTTAACGCATCTTCATTCACGTGGGCGTTGAAGCTGAAGGGTGAACGGGTGACTTGCAAGTTCTGAGACAATCTACGAAATAGCAATATATGGTAACATCACATTCATCTACCATTTATGCTATAAAACTATGAACCTATATATATTATACCCTATATATGAACCTCGGTTAAGTGTGATTCAAGCGAATTCTTTTCACTAATAAGGTTTGCCTGTACCTTCAAGATCATCACTAACCTGTTAAACACACAAAAAATAAGACTAATCCACACCTCATAACAGAATTTGAGTGTGGCTCCATATTACTGTACTGCTCAAGTCTGTGGCTCCATTTTCTATCCTGTATTTCCAGGCAATAAATTCTCGGTAAAATGCGATTCAAGCATATTCTTTTCACTAATAAGGTTTGTCTGTACCTTCAAGATCATCACTAACCTGTTAAGCACACAAAAAATAAGACTAATCCACTTCTCAAAACGAATTTGAGTGTGGCTCCATATTACTGAACTGCTCTAGTCTGTGGCTCCATTTTCTATCCTGTATTTCCAGGCAATAAATTCTCGGTTAAATGTGATTCAAGCGTATTCTTTTCACTAATTAGGTTTGCCTGTACCTTCAAGATCATCACTAACCTGTTAAACACACAAAGAATAAGACTAATCCACTTCTCAAAACGAATTTGAGTGTGGCTCCATAATACTGAACTGCTCAAGTCTGTGGCTCCATTTTCTATCCAGTATTTCCAGGCAATAAATTCTCGGTTAAATGTGATTCAAGCGTATTATTTTCACTAATAAGGTTTGTCTGTACCTTCAAGATCATTACTAACCTGTTGAACACACAAAAAATAGGACTAATCCACTTTTCATACCAGAATTTGAGTGTGGCTCCGTATTACTGCATAGCACCATGGCCTGGCCTGGCCCCGATTTCTCCGTGGCCCGGCCTCAATTTCTCTGTGGCCCGGCCCCAATTTCTCCGTGGCCTGGCCCCATTTCAGTGGCCTGGCCCCATTTCAGTGGCCTGGCCCCAAAGCCACAAAAAAGTGATCACTCCCTCTCCAGTCTTGACACTGACTAAAATCCGTGTTCCCATGGATAAAAAATAATACAGCAAAATTTTAGACGAAATATCAAATTTCATAGAATTCACGCAAAATTTTGAAATAAATAAAAGTAATAGCCTTCTAGCGGAAAAATTAATCTTCAACCACTGAAAATTTCAAAGCAATTGGTCAAGTATTCGCAGAGAAAAGCGACTTTTTAAAAACGTGTCAAAGAACAAGAACAACATAATATTAAAACGATCGTTATGTCCATTTCGTGTCCAAAATCAGCTTATGTTCTCCTAATTCTTACAAAGTATCCACGACTTTGGTCTATTTGCATCTTGAGAAAGCGGTAATTTTAAAACATCTTTGAAAGCCGATTGTTATTCTGAGAATCTGTTAACCTTTTTTGCTAGTTTTGTGGACTCTTTTGAAAATCATTTCAAGTTGACGTCCAACAAAACACAAGTTGCTTTATATAAATGTAAGCAGTTTATTCAAAAGGCACATTGGCCAATTTTTATTATGTCGAGCTAACATAAAGAGATTGCACTTTCATACATATTACTAAATCTTGAGCAAATAAGCCTGCTTAATTAATAAGTGATGATAAAGTAGGTACATTAATTAGTTTTATTTTTAAATCAAGTATTGAATTTGGTCATTAAGTAAAGGCACAGAAAAAAATTGTAGAAATGTCATTTTTGGTATACCATAATGTTAACAATACTTCTCAAACCATCCTATTTTCGTAACCCCTTGCAACATTCTTTAAATAAAAACTATTCGCATGTAGAATGAAAAGCCACCCTGCAAGGTATTTTATGATAATATCGTACCATGATCACCAAACATTTACCAGCATATGCCAGTACACTTCTCATAAATGCATGAAAATATTATTTCTCATTTAGGGTAAAGATGAGCTAGATGATAACGTAATATAAATCTAGCAAAATTAAATGCTTTGTATAAAATTAACACATTAAAAAGCTGGTGACATGTTTATCACAAAATCCGCAAAATACTGTTTCGGCAGCATTCTTTCTACAAATATATCTAATAAATTTTAATATCATAGAACAAAAAACATGATTTCAAAGGCCATCCCAGGATGATAATGTTCCGTCATTAAAAAATAAACTTTCCCTTGGGTAAGGAACATTTTCATCCGTTGCTGTGAATTTCATGAATCCATCAGAAGTTGAATTCTAAAAACATGCCAGTGAGATTGGAAAACGATGATTGTTATTCAAGGTAGAATAGAATAAGATTAAGAAGAAAAAACATTCAATAACTCATTTAACAATAACACAGGATTCTGCAATTTATGAAATTAAAAAACTCTTACTTGAGAATCAAAAACAAATTTTTGAACATCCTCCAAAAGTTTATTGTTCGTTTCTAGAAGGGATGTTGCTCTAAAAACAAAAAGGAAAAACATTGAAATTTAATATAATATCATAATTTCACAGTGCAAGTTTATATCTCTTGCGGTTAATTATAAACCAAAAGTAAAACATAATTCTATATATCTTGCGAATTCATGATGCCTTCACCCAGTTAAATTCAGTCCATAACAAGGCTAATTTCTTGTTCACCTTTTTATATCATTTAAAAATACCTATAATAGACAATCTAAGACTCACCTATCCTAAAAATCAGTGTGTGGCATATTTTTATTGACATTGGAAACAGAGCCAGTGTCGTGTTTTCAAAGTCCCTGAATTCGAAATTTTAAATTCTCTCGAGTCAAAATTTCTGATTTCTATTTGTGACATTGGAGCAAAAATTTCCAGTAGTTACTCAAAAAGCATCGAATTGGTCAAGCATTGTAATTAAACATCACAAGAAGACTTGCACAGGCCAAAACTTTTGTTGTTTAAAGTTGGTTTTCTCAAAGTTTGTCAAAATATTTTTCAACCTGCCGTTGAAATTGAGTATGAATTTTCCCCTATTTCAAAGCCCAACTAAAAAACGCTGTTAGTGTCGATACAACAAATTACTCTCATGTGGTTAAACTCCATAATTATGCCCACCTGCTCTTCTCACACAATCCACAAGAAACGAATCTGTCACACACTTCCCGATTAAGTGATTTATCAAACAATGGTATTCCAAAATTAACATTCAAAAGTTGCCATTTGACATCTTCACTTTTATCTGTCAATTAAAATAAAAATTTGTCAAATAAAAGGTTGCGAACCACTGCTGTAGGGGTATACCATCTTTTACATAATTCTCCAATAGCTATAAAACTCTATGCTGTAAGGGTATTTATCATAAGGCAAACATCAGCTGATTAACGACAAGCATAAGCTATACAACCATATTTTGACTTATTTTTTTCAATTTAGACCAGCTATTACCATACTCACTTGAAACTAACTCTTTTGTATCTCCTGCTTCAAGTTGTTGTACGGTAGTTTCCATCGTAATAGGAATGTGCGGTCGAGACACTAAAACCACTATATACCCACAAGTATTTTTTAAGTCCAGTATGGAGCCAATCTTACTAACAATATCAGAGTCAGATAATAAATTTCTTTGTTCTTCGGAAAAGTCACTATCAGTACTAGACTGGGATTTTAACGGCTTTGTGGGTGTATTTTGGGAGTCGCCCGAATCCGGTAATTTACTCGTTTCAGATGTGAGAGTATTTTCAGAGCTATTCCCTGAATTTGTAAAAGGAAATGGCAAGTATATTCTTTCAGTCCTCATCTCTTTCAAACTGTGACCCTGAAAAATGATAAAAATTCAAATATTCGAGTTCTCATTAATACTGGGGGGAGCAAAAGCCGGGGTTGTAATTTCCGAGAGCACCGGGGTCACAGGTCAAAGTCGTAATATGGAACTTCCTGGAGCTGCAGTCATAAATTTAGAATAAAGGTGGTAATCTAATCAAAGTCAAAATTTCTGATGGAAAAAAGGGAATTAAGTTTATCAAGCATTCTCAACAGATAAACAAAGATAAATTACATATGCCAATGCTAGTTTTTGAAAGAAGTTGAAAGTTGGATTCGATGGCCGAGACTTTGCAGCCTTGGTTAATACTGACACTAAAGACTTGAAAACAAAAATGGAAAAAAAAAAAAAAAAAAAATTGAAATAAAAAAAATAGAAAAGAAGTTGAAAATTACCTGAATTAATACTGGAGAATGTGTTAACGCTTCACTAAGCATAAGAACGACGTTTGACGTCGCGACAATGCAGGGGTCATGACCTATTGATGTGATCAAAAGTTCATCATAATCCTGAAAAACAAATTACCAAAGTTAATTAAGATTTGTTATCTTACTAATATTAGTTACTATTACTATTATTTATAATATCAGAGTATTTTAGAATATTTAATGCAAATATAAGTTGGTTGTGTTAATAATGCGTGAATAATATTATTATTCACATTACAAAGTTTTTGGGTCAATAATTCTGCCTTTAACTTGCGTTTGTCCTCTATCTGTGCCAGTGTAATAAATATAAAATTTGATCTCGTCTTTTGAAAGAAATTCGACTAAAAATCTTGAAAGCAGAAAATAGAATAAATCAGAACACTGGTACCTCAAATACACTTGGTAAGTGGCAGCATTTTGCTCCTCTGGCAAGAAGTAAACTCGGTGGACCATAACCAGTCATGTGATAAAGATACAATTTAAACCAAACTGAGTTGACCGAGGCACAAGGTGGACCAAACCAATGAGCTGTCAAAGAGACATCATCTGAAATAATAAAAAAAAAAGATTAATTCCTCATGTCATGGAATATCGAGACAAAAGACGACTTGCTTAAAAAAGTATTTTCTTCTGCGGAAGGTAAAGTTCTTGGAATTTCAACTCTGGACTTGGTTAGCGAGAAAATGGCGATAAATTGTGCATTTGCGCTACTACTAGAGCTGCGAATTTCAGGGAAAAAACTTCAACCGTTAACCAAGTAAAATTAACCGATTAACCGAGGCCTGACGTAATCATATTTGAAGAAATTATACATTTTAAAGATGAATTGTACCCGAGATGTCAGTTGACGGATAAAGTAAATCGTAACCGTTAACCATCTAAAATCAGTTAACCGATTAACCGTTTAACCATTCCCAGCCCTTGCAACTACATGTCACAGTGAATCTCATAATGGTCAAATTTGAAATTGTTTGAAATAATTTTTTGAATTGTCCCCTTGTGAAAGGAGATCGATCAAAAGCGATGAACAGTATTTGAAATTAGATATATCAGATGCATTAAATGCAAATAGAAAGTTATACAGAATAATATTTACCTTTAGTTTCAGATTTGTTATCATCTGTAGTTGTTGCATCTGTAAGTTTGTGACTCAAGTTTGTTATAATTTCGTCATTCAGAGGAGCCATAGTGACAACAATGTGATAGTTCTAAAATAAATGAGAAATCTTTTATTTTGTTTATTTAATGAGGCATTTGAACTTGATTAAACAAATTCCCAATTAAATACATTAACGTATATCCCATTTAAAAACTAAATTTTTTCGTTGTGTTCTTTTTTCATGAAATTTCTTTCAGCATGTCTATTTTCCTTGACAGTATGACTTAATAGTTTCATGTTCACCATCAACCACTGCTTACTAGCCTCCAAATCGGATAAAGCTCTATAAAACTGGGTGAGCGCTATTGAGATCTTGCTTTGAGGACGCCTAATATTAGCAATAGACAGACGAAAACACAGATATGTAAATAACACACCATAAATTTATTTTTGTTAAATTGTCATCATTATGGTAGTCTTAGCCCCGTGAATTTTCAGAAACAGCTCCTTGTCACAGTCTTTCACCACTATGGACTACGGACGAACTACTATGTAAGATAACAGAAAATAAATTAAATTACCTTGTTAATCAACCTTGCTACCGTTTTATGATCTAGCCCACTCAAACTTTCACATCGTATTAAATCGAGACCAATTCCAAGATTTTCTGAAGAGTGAAAACAAAAGATGTCATTGTTCAATCTGCATTCAAAAATACTTATAAACCGCCATTGTATGGGTTGAAATCTATCAACATATTACCAATGGTTGACTAACAAAGTCTTGAAGTTATCAATATTCAAAAAAGATATTTCTCATTCAAAAACTTTTCGGAATCATAATAAACTAATGATTTTTAAAATGATAAATTACTTAAATTAAACCATTATTTCCCTAATCATTTGACATTAACTCAAACCTTTCTCCGAATTTTCTGTTGAATTTTCCTGCTTATCATCTTTGCAAAATATTTCTGTAAGTTTTTCATTGTGACGTAAGAATTCAATCGTCGACCTGACAAAATAATTGATCGATTTATCATTTATTAATCATTAAAGTGTAGTGTTAATAAATCGCTATGTTAATAATTAATAAATCGCTAATGAAAAAGAGTAATTAGGTATATACAGTTTCGCATGTCACACAGTTTCGGAACCTGAACTCACCTTAGATTAACGGCATGGTCAAAATACCGTCTTGCTTCTCCTTCATCATCCTCTACAGTTCGTACTTTATATAATTCAGAAACAAAATGTGCGACACCCTCATCTGTTAATTTACCAACTTCAAATAATGTGACTGCATGGTTTTTGAGGCCCTTTGAGGTAAAGGTAATTGAAATATTTTGTTATGATCACTGAAATTGAATAATGTACTATTTTAACGACATTCTAAACCAGGGGTTCTCAACCTGGGGTTCCCGAGAATATTTCGAGGGGTACTTGGATAGCAGTCGAGTTTTCGTGTAGTGCTGTTTTTTAATGTCCTTTACTTCCGAAGTAAAATGCCTGCCGATTTAAAATCGATTGTGGCGCAACAATGTGAAATCCACAGCTTTGCAGCCAGACTGTGAAATCTCAAAGACGCTGCAGGCATTGCAGAAAGTGATATGCTTATCAGAACTTGAGAGATTTCAAGAATTCATTAGTTAGGCGGAAGACAGGGCGAAAACATCAACACAAAGAATTAATTTAGTTACAGCAGCTGGTCCATAAATTGTGTATATAACAACTTTTTTTGGTGTCTGATTACCGGGGGTTCGCGTTGATTGTTTCAGGACTCGGGGGTACTTATCAGAAAAAAGGTTGAGAACCCCTGTTCTAAACTAATATTTTCGAGTACGAAATATTGATGTACATTCGACGTTTTTTTTTCAAATTTGAATGCAGGAATTGAAGATAAACAGTCATTAGATAGAATCTTAAGAGGCCTGGTTATGCTGTTAGATTTCAATTGCTCTTCCATTTTTCGAAAATCACAAACTAAAAAATTCTACACCATTTTTTAAAACAAAAATACTCTTAAAGGACCCAATCAAGCAGTCTTCATGGTGAATACTCACTGGGGAGAGATTTCCCATCATAAGAAAAGCTGTCAGAGATGAATCAAATAAAAATGCGATTCGTTTCCCAGGGCAACACGATGTTGGTAGAGAACTTGAAGATGAATGACTTGTTACACTCAATGTGTCATCTGCAACATAAAACATTAAAATTGCAAGTTGATGATAAATAAAGGAATCTTTATATTAGGATTGTCCAAATACAAATCATATTGTATGGTAAATATCTGCTTTGTTACTAATTCCAATTACATAAATTTTAAATGAAATTTAGAAGCGTATAGTACCGATGCAAGTCAAAATCTCCAGTTAAAATTTCATGCCTACCACCTCACCCATCCCCTCACTGCTTATGTAGATTGAATATTGAAACAAAAAATTTGAAAAAAATTCTAAAATCCTGACCTCTTTCCACTTTGCCTACACCTCCCATTGATATTTCATCGCCATCAACATTTGTTGCATCAACGTCACGAAAATGAGAATTCGATTTGCTGAAAATATGAAAATATTATATAAATACTACACTTTTCACATGTGAAAAAACAGAAGTATTAAAAATGATAAATTACCTTTCAGAATCTTCATTGAAGTCAAAGAAATCGAGCAAACTAGGTCCGACCAAAAGCAGTTGACCAGAACTTGTTGATGCATTTCTAGACTGTAAAAGAAGTTCGTGTTATTATTGTCATGAATGTTAGGGATAAAATATTTGTAGAAATCTGTTTATATTTAGATAATAAAAAAACTGTTGGTAATATTTAGGAAGACAGAAATTTAAAAATAAAAAAAAACTATTTGAAAATTAAACTCCTCATAGATTATGAAAAACTCTCTAGCGTAAAGAAACCCAAACAGAAGTGATGAGAACTCATTCAAAATCAAAATAGACTAAACCCACTCAAAAATGAAGAAAACTAACTCAGTAGTAAAGAATCTCACTCAAAAGTAAAATCTCACTAATAAGTATAAAACTTCACTCTGAAAAGATGAAAGCAATTTCTGACATAACACGAGAAACCAAAACTGCATATTAGCAGTCTGGTATCAGTTATTAAACTATAATATTTAATTGATATTCAATTCCTTCAAAAAATTAGAAAAACTCCCGTTTCTCTTACAGTTTTTTAACGTTAACAAATATTATAGCTAAATACCTTAACCATAACATTGTCCTTCCAAGACCTATGGGCTGTCGGTTCATTATTTACGTCAAAACCATCTTTCAATTTCGAGAATCCGAGACGGCAAAAAACAGAGACCGCATTCTAAAAAAAACACAGATAGTACTTTTTGTTTGAATCAAGCTTGTTTGGTATATAATTATATGAGGACCAACCTTGACAAGATCCAAACTGATATCCAACACTGTAGATAGTTCTGATAATGTAGTTTTTTCATCGATGGAAACAAATATTTTGTATAATAACGTTTCAAAATAGTCACCCAAGACACGATTCATAACAAATCCTTCCAATGGTGGAACTGCATAAGATAAAATAATTATATACAACAATTTAACTTACGTTGGTGGCAAGTTAAAAATCTAAATTTTTCAACTCACGATCATAACCATACTTAGAGTGTAATAAATTGGGTCGACAGTGAGAAATCTGAAAAAGTCAGGTAAACTTAGAAAGAAATTTGTTTTTCCTAAATTGAATTTTCATAAAAATTTTCTTTCATAGCTTTTTTAATCCGTTTATTGGGTTGCTGATCCAGAGCCGTGTTTTGAGTGCAAATTCACAAATTTTGAATTACAGTGAATTTTAAATGACTAAGCATTGTTGAAAATTGATAGAAGAAAGTGAATATGTGAAGAAAAAAAATCTGTTAATTTAAAACAAAAACTATATATTTATATTTATACTTACCAATAACTTTAGTGTCGTCGTGAACAGGGACATCCAAATATATTAATCCTTTCATATAAAGTTTTGTCAACATCTCACGATCAATTACACAAGCCATAGTTGGACCATCATCTATCAGTTTATCAATGCACGTCTTCATTCTCGGAGTACAAAACTGAAAAGGAGACGTTTGGTTTAATAAAAAGAAATTTGTTGCATGATTGAAAAAGATTTTGTGAGGTTTTATCTAACATGAAATATAACATATGGCTTGTTGAAAAGGGCAGGTTGATCATATTTTGTTAAATAGACAGATTATTGGTATCACATCTTTGTTTACTCCTAGTACTAATACATTTAATATTCTCTAGAAAATATGTTAGGCGTTGTTGCTAGTTATCAACCCACTGCGAAAGCAAGATATGTCTGTCTGGCAGAAAAAATAGAAAACCCATCCAAAGATACCTAAGTTGTGTTACTATCAAAAGGAATGCATTTGTAAATCAGGATTCAGGATCATCATAGATAATGGGTTCACACCACTCAAACTAATAATACTAATACACCACATACGAAGCGATTACAAATCAAAAACCTTGATATCGTCTTCAGTGATGAAACCCACATTCACCAACCACCATGGCTCTATATTAGTCAAGACTGGAGTTTTTGGTAAAAATTCTCGGTATTGCGGCTTCCTTCGAAACGAGAACTTTTTATTCGAACGAGAATTGTTCATAAGGTCAATATATTGGTTTCTACCAATGCCAAGTAGCCGAAGGCCTAAATGAAATATATGAAAAATATAAAAATAAAAAGTTCCTTCAAACAAGGCTATAGGTAAGCAACAAACTAGATACATATAAATATAGACATGATGTAAAAAACAAAAAACAAATTGATATTTCACGTTAAGCTATTCTCACGAAAAAATTTAATTAAAAAAATAATGGATAATAGTGAAATTTATCTTACAATCTGCAGCTGTAAAATTCGGAAGAGAATCATAACTTCTTTCTTCTTTCATTATTTCTTCCATCATTGATATATAATAGGAAAACGCAGTCATTCGAAGTCCAATCATTCTTTCTGAAAACGGTAATTACACAGCGAATTAATTAAAGTTATTTGGATTTGAAACTTAAAGTACACTATCCAACCACCCAAATATTTACATCTAAAAATTTTATGAAAAATCATGCATGGCCATAAACTATGAAAAATGAAGATATTGAAAGCAAAGTGGAATAATTGTGATAAAGAAAAGAGATCAACTTGGGAATGATTTTAAATTAAATCCCAATTAATATGGACTTGGTCAATAATTTCAGTTCATTAACAGAATGAATTGAAATGTCACCAGCTATGTCAATATATATACTTAGAATACAAATTTCATATTTTCTCCGGAACAGAGGAAACCAGATAAGGTGGCTTGATTACATGGCGAACTATGACCTCTTGTCATACTACTAGAACAAGTCGGATATCAGAATAGTTAGCCAATTATTTGTTACACATCCATGGACTTGATGATGAAGGATACTATATCTCAACCTTTTTGCCATAGAACACCTATGCTCTTTATCTCGCCTTGCGAAACACCAAGAAATTGGAAAGTAAAATTGATGAGTCATTTCGATTCCTGTTCCGTGGAATGCTTTGAAAAAGCTCGCAGAACAGCAGTATTCTGCGGAAATCGCTGCACTAGAACACATTTTTTCCCACATGATTCAAACCAGCGAACCCATGCAGGGTTATCAGAGGAGCAATAGCATGCAATGTCAAACCAAATTATTTCATTTTTCACATGTTAATTCAACAACACATAAATTATAAATCACAAAATAGTAAAAGCTACCTTGTAAGTGATAAGGATACAACATTAAATTTTTCTTGCTATAATCGAGTAGTCGTTCATAATAAGCTTTCTCATTTTTAATCACATGACGAACAGTTGAACCACGATATCGTACTTGGTTTCGAATTGCATAATTTAATAACGATCGATTGTATTCTTCTTCTGAATTTCCACATGCCTAAAACAAAATCATGTGTTATGATTGAAGCAACTTTATGGCATAACAATTTCTAAATTATGATATGAGGTTTGCTAAAATAGGACTGTATTTAGGTATTGTTATGCTTTTATTCACAAATGAGGGTAAATCATTTTTTTAATGATTGTGAATTATAGCTAAGTAGCGAAAAAAGCTGATTTTCTCATTGTGTTTTCTTCAAAAAATTTTGGATTCAATTAGATAATTCAACAATTTTAGACCAAAAAGGGTAACCTAATATTTTCATATTGTTACCCATTGTTTTATGATATTGTCTCATGTTTTAATGAGTTATACATATCAGCATATTCTAACAAGTTCAATATGGTAAAATTGAAAAAGTACCGTATAGCTGCATAGAGCAATTCAGCAACTAGAGAGCAAAATACACTCACCATTTTAACCCTTTCAGGCAGTTTTGACCAAACATATCCATCCTTAATATGCTTTTCTACATCCTTATTCATTTCGAAACTTCAGAAACATAAACCTTCATTTATAACAAACATAAAATGTAAACAAAAACTCGGAAGAAACACTAACAAACGTCAGAACGTAGAAATAGGGTTGCTACGGTTGTGACTTTCCTCAGCATTATCAATAGTATGCGGATAGGTTAGGTATTCACTGCCAATAGAATGTTTTATGTTTAGTAGCTTATGTTAAAACGTTTCATCTCTTATCAGTCAATGTGCAGGCAATTTTATCTTTTATTTTAAACAATCGTAATTTGAAGTAAAGGAGCCATATTTTGCAAATAATAATTCTTCAGCGCCACCTTGTGAATTCCACAATTGCAACATTGGGCATCACGTCACGTGATCTACCTTTTCGACTAGAAGACCACGATGGCGATGGTTCGTGTAATTTTTATGTGAATAAAACGAATTTGTAATTCAATGTATTGGATCTTTGAATCAATTTTTACGTGTAAATTTTCAAGTAAAATAGTTATGAATTATCTCTATGCGCAGTTATTTGGCGAGAAGTAGACTAGAAATTCATGATACTGTGATAGGGATGGTTTTTAGCTTTGCTGTGTTATTTCACATCTGCGTAGACAAAACTGCCATAATGCAGCAATGGGAGTATTTATCTGATAACTGCCTACTGCAGTCTGATGGTACTTGACTTTAAATTTTATTGCCTAAATCAATAAATACTGAAATAATTGATTTTTCTGAAATTTGTTGACTTCAGGACTTGTCATTTATATGTAATATAGTCATGGTATCCCACGAATTGAAAGGAAATGTAGCTTTAAGTCGTTGAAGGTGTTTTTTAATGTTAAATTGGGTGTGATTGTTTATGACATATTTCCACTCATTGATGCTTATAAAAATTACCATATGGCTGTATGTAAAGTATGGTGTGGTAAAATACACTCTAGAATTGAATAATTCACTGAATTGAGAAAGTTCTCACATTACAGCATTATTAGTCGGTTCATTATAATTATCACGCTCTGACAACTTAATACAGTAATAAACGAAATCGACACCTTTTGGGTTGAACCAATATAGCCAATCAACTGACTGACTGACAATTAGTTTCAGCCATCAAATCACCATTGCTATGATTCAGCGTAAAAACACATTTAGGTTGCAAATCGGAATTAAAGCACACTTTAACACATGGGTTGTTTCATTTTTTGTACTGTACCCATTTCAAATCAGCAACCGATTCTCAAACTCCCAATTAGAACGCTGAAAAAGAGTATTTGAATTTATGTTGTTATATTACATGATGAAATAATTAAGAAATTGTAGTAATTACATGGGTATTCACAGTGTCTCTGGTCGGTGACGTAGCAAGACTCTCGTGCCCCCCCCCCGCAAAAATATTTCTTGAAAATGACCCTGGAAACTCTCGGACATAAGCTAAAACAACACTTTTTTTTATTTTGCCAAAAAGCGTAACATGTCGCTATAAAAAGACAATGGTAACCTAAAATTTGCCGTTTATTTTGGTTACTTATTTTTTTCATACGTTCCTCTTCTGCCCTTTTTCTGGGTTTCTGTGCGCCACTGAGAGGTTTTGCTTTCGACATTCTGACAGCCTTCGTAATTTTGCCGGTGCGATCAGATGACAAGACGCCGAAAAATTGACGACTTCCTGGCATTGCTACGTAACAAAACGATTTGAGCAGAACTAACATCAATGTTATAAGATGTGCATTACTTGTTTTGCACTGCAGCTTTTGGTTTGCAGCTTAAATTTCTAAATTCTAACAGTTTGGGCCTCTTTGCGCTGTGGGTGCGACCGCGGGGGTGGATGCTACACCACTGTCTCTGGTAATACGGGAGCCTGAGTGACTTTTTTTATGTTTCACTGTTCTGCATCTTTATTGACTTTGTATTTTTTTGACCAAACTTGACTATAAATTTGCTTTTTCTGTGCCTTACATATCTGGCTTGAATTCAATTGAAACCAGCCTACAGAATGACACATTGATTCTTTTCATTCAGGCACAAAAGAGACAAGGTGCAGCTGTTAAAGGCAAGAGCAAGAAAAAGAAGACTCAATTAAAATTCACTCTTGATTGCACGCACCCCGTCGAAGATGGAATCATGGATGTCGGCAACTTTGTAAGTTACTTAATTAATCAAAGTTAATGTAGGCTAAAAACCCAATGCACTGTTTTATGTTTTTCGTATTTTTCCTTAATTAACATCTTAATTAGTTTTGTGTCTGTACTCAACGTAAGGGCTAGGGTCGCCTTCCCTAGACCTTTACTTATGCTTTATGTCACAGGAAAACTTTTTGAAAGAAAGAGTAAAAGTTAACGGCAAAACTAATAATCTTGGAAATCAAGTAGTGATTGAACTTAATAAGACGAAGATCAATATCACGAGCGACATCCCTTTCTCAAAAAGGTATATTTGTATTTGCTATGTTCATTTTTATCACTCAACATATATAGGCCTATATATAGAGGGCCAAAATTGAATATTACTTTTGAATACAGAAATTAAATTTGCACCTTTTTTTGAAATATTTGTACATCCATAAATTAAAACTAGTTATAAAAGTTGAATTTTTTTTAGATATTTGAAGTACCTCACTAAGAAATACTTGAAGAAAAATAACCTTCGTGATTGGTTGAGAGTCATTGCTGCTACGAAAGACTCTTATGAACTGAGGTATGTGTTATTATTATGAAATGTAGAAAACAAAATTGCCGACCTCTTAGTTTGGCAACTTTTTTGAGTTTTAAACTCGGCTTATACGCGAGGATATACGGTACTTCTACGACACATCCGCAGATCTAATCCTGGGTGGAAATATAAGTCCTCCTTTTAAACCCAGATCAGTCATTCTCTTACAAAGAACTGCAGGCTGTTTAGAAAAGGACTCTCATTCCGAGTCCTGTTGTTTTGTAATTGCATCTCCCACTTTACATTTTTTTTTTAGTTTTCTTATTGGTGAAATCTTCTTTTCAGATATTTCCAGATCAACCAAGACGAAGAAGAGGAGGAAGAAGAAGATTAAATATTATTTTCTTCTCCAATTTGACTTTATTAATAAAGTCATTTATAGGTCATTGCTTGTTCTTTATGTATTTGTGTTATGGAATGGGGTAGATTTCAAGCAGAAGAGAAGCAAGTTTAGTTGTTTGGTTTCAGATATAGTGCGAAAGTCTTTTGCCACTCTGAAAACTTGTTCTATGCCCACGGTTGCATTATTGAAGGTTACTGGTTAATTTGTTGGGATTGTTTAATGCTATCCTGTATGACTGAGGAGGGTTAAAGCGAGACCTGGGTGGCCACAAACTTCTATATTAAATGGCTGTGGAAATGCCATTGCTGCAGACACCCGTCAGGAATAATATCTGCGTTGTGGGCATGTGAATCGTATCTTAACCTAGAATATTGATTCAAATCAACTCTTCATATGATCCCCAAACTACATTTCATACAACAAGGACTCTTCAGCTATTGGCATTTGATGTGTAATCTGAACTCTAGAATATATCATACTTAAGCTCAGAGGCAGAGCTGATTAAGCATGAGTTCAGGCACCACAGAAACTCTTCGTACCTCAAGAGTTTAATGAACAGAGCCCAGTTGAAATTTTTCCTTGTCATGTAAATCTCTATGAATGTCTGTCGACGTAAGAACTAAAATATCCTGAAAGTTAATCTGATCTGATCGGTAATGAATACTGAAACTTAATTCAATTTCGAATAACATGGAACACACTAGTCTCATTATTATTTTCGGGGCCTCTTGAAGACGTGATCTGGCCCTGATCAGAAGTTCATATATTAGTAACAACCCTGAAGTAACTACTATTACTATATAATAAGTTTACAAACTTATTCAAATAATTTTGCTTTATTAGAAAAATTATTAAAATTAGCATTTTATATCCATGCTACCGAAGATAAACACTTGGTAGCACGTTTTTTTAATCATTGAAGCACAAAACTGAAGAATTAATATTATATGATATGGAACAAAAAAAATCATGCTGTGAAAAAATCAGGAATTTTAAAAGTGAATGAATGGTATTGGTAACAATTGACTCAAGAATATGACAAGGGAAGAACGACTGTGGTCCATCCTTGGCTGAACTTTAAACTGGGAATAAGCACCAGCACTAATTATTATTGTACATTTTCAGTGGATTGAAGACTTCTCTAAAAAGCAAGAGTTTTTCAAAGTAAGGAAAATCATTATTTAAACCATTATAGATGTGTACAATAGGTTCTGAAAAGCTCAAATATATTCAAAAAAATAATCAAATATTGAATTCGCATGTTTAACTGATATAGTATCAAAAATTGATTGCTTACAATCAATTGATCAAAATAAAAATTCTTCAAATCTTCGCGTTGAAATTATTCTAAAATCAGTGAAATAGAATTATCTTCAAAATCAAGCACATGCATATAATACAATTTTCAAGAAAAAAAATATATAATTGCGCTGCTTTTACACGGCACTAAACTCGGATATATATATATGCTTCATTTGAATGGAAGAACTATTCAATTTGCAATATACAATAGCATACTGGACCATACTTTGAAATATTTTTACAAACTTTTTTTCCAAAAGTTGAGAGACATCTTCCAATTATTTTTTACCAACTATTTTAATATCAAAAACAGTCTTTATCGCGAATTTGTTCAAAACTGTTTTCAAATTATAAGGCATTTCAAATAAAATAAAGATGACTAGAAGTTTTGAATTGTTTGCAGACAGAATAGTTTCATAAAGTGGTAATTAAAGTCAGAAAGTACCAAGTTTACAAAGAATTTGCAACAGACAATAAAAAAGGTTAGCATACGCCAAAATTTTTGTTTTTATAATTTTGTCTTCTCTGAGCGTGCGGTCTAAATTTTTATTCACCTTGAGCCAGAGTCATTTTTCAAATGGCTTGGTGTATACTACACAACCCTGCTTTTTAATATCAACAAATTTCCACATGATTTAATATTGAAATTGAACACTAGAGAGTTCAGCATTTTTGCTCCAAATGAGCTTCCCGGCCACCGGTCATCCACGATGTGTCAAATAATGATATCTTACCACTTTGATATGGCTTGTCCAGTTACACCGTGTTTAGATAAATCGTAAAAAAAAAAATTGTTCAAGTCTACTGCTGAAATATACATGGTAATATTGCACATACGGTTTTGTAAGAAAAAAAATAGAAGTAAACATACCAGATTTTGCGCATATGATACATTACGAAGTTTTGCTACAATCTGACAATTAATATGAGAAGTGTATATGATTACTACCAAAATTACTTTGGCACTGAAGGTTCAAGGTTTTCTGTATATACCTATTCTTAATAGGAAATCTTGCTAAGAGCTGAAACAAAGTTCACATCAAAAATGTAACCGTTTGATGAGATGCTGATTTGTATAAAATTTTATTTATAATTATATATTTCGGTTTCATGAGTCAAAAATGCTCTATGCCTGGACAACGAGACAAACAGGATTAGGAATGAAAAGCCTTAAAAGTTTGACACTAGTAAAATCAGACGTTGAAATATGAGTTGATTAAGCCAGGTATGGACAGAGCTAAGAGCAAGGCTATATTATTGGAGACTTCAAATCACCTTTTTTCCAAGGAAAAATTCTTTTTCAAAAATTTTGATAATCATCATAAATCCTTAAATACCAGTATTTGTCTTCTACAGTTCTAAGAGCAATAATTTAAATACCCTCCAAAATACAAAAATAAATTGCTGCAAATTGGTTTAGCAGCGAAGAAGAAATGGACGGATCATTTAACATCATACCCATCAAGACGGAAGATCGAGGACATATTCTAGCAAGACATCACTAATCAGTGGTGAGATTCAAATTTTTTGTCAGCCGGTTCCATCACAAAAGTTCACAAAGGTTCTATAGAACCGGTGCGAACTGGCTGAATTCCACCACTGATACTAATACAAATTAACCAATCAAAAAATGAATATGTAAGATGAAAACCCATAAGAGAAAAGGCAATGAAAATGTTAGTTTAACAAAATTTAAAAATTAGAAATCCTACGATAATTAAAAGTGAGGTATTTGCTATCCTATACTTTTTATCACTTTCATTCTATTTCGTGAATTCAAATGCACCAAATGGATTCATGAGAATTGAAATTACGGTGAAATCACTTTGTGAGAGGATACCAAGCAGTATTATCTTTACTCAAGTCCATTTTATCTAGATTCAATGTGACACTTCCAAGAAAATCATTTTCGTTCAGTTGTTCATAATTCCATACCGAAACATACAATTGCTTGTTCTTTATGTCAGAGGATGAACCATCATATATCAACTAAAAATGGAATAAAATTTCTGTATATTTTAAGGATTAGACGATTTTTGTGGCAAAAATAATTGAGAATCCACCAGTTTATGGTAAAAAATTATTTAGTGAGTTAATGACAGTATTTTTTCAGTGAAAAAAATAATATATATCTCTTTCACTATTAAATATTCCATTCAGGATGTTCTACTAGTTTCTGAGGTTTAAATGAATTTTTAGGCAAGCAACATGACCCAGCGATAATATTTCGCCTTGGCATAATTATGTTGGCATGGTAGATCTAAGATTTCAGACACAGGTCCTAGTCTGTCCATCGTTCTAGCCAGCCCCCTATATGATATTTACACAGTACTAAACCAAATAAATTCCGTTGATTAGGACCTGATAACTGGGTGACTTGTGTAAAGCCTCATATGGAGCTAAAGTTTGAAATGACCCATCAAAAGTGAACTACCGGTAATAAAAGACGAACTAGCGTGGAAAGAAATGTCACCAATTCTTACCATTTCATTATAGGTAGGATGCAATGTCTTTCTAGCGACCTTGGTTTTTCGTTTTGTAGATCGAGAAGGATCAGGTATCAAATATGTTTTCACGTACGGGTCAGGATCGTTTCCATCAGGAGACAACTGAAACACAGAATCATTTACAACATATTTTCCAATATTTTTCCAAACTCCGAGGAAGCAAAGAAAACAATAAAAATCACATTAGAATGACTAACAACCTGCTAAACCACTCACCAAATTCCTGCAATGCATTACCATAATAAACAATGCATTATTTTTATGATGAATCGATAACTTGATTTCTCCGCTGATGTTGTTTCCAACTGCTGCTCGAGTCTTAGTTCCAGTGCTAGAATATCCTTGTTCATCACGTAACATCGGATGGAAGAAAGTATAGATCAAGTCACTCTAAGAATAGGATGAAACAGAATTTATTTTATATTCTGGTGCGATACCCTAGTGCAAGCTGGACTCTTTTCCCCCTCTAGGGGCCGCGGGGCAATTCTCTGGGACATTTAAAGTAAACTGACTGTGGTTTGTTTAATTCTTTTGCATAACTCATGAAGGGGGCCAAGACCATGGATGTTTAAGTCAAGTGGGTAACGCATCTGGGCTAACGCACTTACTATGGCGAGGGGTCAGTTCCCAAACCCCATATAATCATATTGTTCGGAGCGCAGATGTGAAACATCTTATGTGAAACACACTATCTAAAACTCGGAGAGAGAAAATTTTTCACACATAGCTTTACTTTCATTATCATTCGAAACAGAAAATGATAAATTGCTGAATCACCTTTGAAACGTCGAGATGAGCATGCAAAATTGCATTCAGATATCCATTGAGTTGAGTTTTGCGTCGTTCAGCCACTTGCTTGATTTGAGATCGTCCAACAATAACTCGATTTGGAAAACTGAAAAGCACGAAGTATTAGTAAAATCTCAGATCCAATTATTTGGTCTCGCTGACCATAAGCATCGTTAACCCTGGTCTATTGCGAATTCCGCTCCATTCATCTGGAAAGAATACTTTCTCAGCTATTCTCATACCAAATCTAAACATGAATGCCTAACCTTATCAGCTTTCCTCTCTACGAAGATAATTACGCAAGGTCATTACCGATAAGATATTTCGAATTTTAAGTCTCAGTTACTTCAGTAATATTACGAAGGAATGAGAAAATTGGATAGAATTTTCAGATCCAGAATCATCTGACATGTGCTTGTCTTAAGCCTTGTGTGGAGCAAATACTAAATGCCAGAAACATAAAAAGCAAAAAAAATTGTGTCATTCATCTACATACCTTGGTAGTTTCGAAGAAGGAAAATTCATGGATAGTTTGTTATGAAGTTCTGCGAATTCATTGAACGTTCGATAAACATAAGTTTCACCAGATCTCATATCTCGTTTTAACCTGATGCAGAACACCTAAGAAAATGATAAACATCAAACTTCCATTCATGCGTACCAAATTTTTTACTAATTTATGTCATAGTCTAGACTGGATAAAATGCTAATTCAAATAAATTCTACCTTTCTAATATCATACTCTTAATAAATCAAATAATACTTTCAAACTACTAACTAATTGAAGTTAGTTTTAATATTTGAAATAGCTTTCAAAATCTGAAACATTTTATAGCAAAATTATTCACACATTTTTTTCAAAATGTTGGTAAAAGCAGGCTTAAACGAAATTTTTTTATTCGCTTTGTGATCCTTTACATTCAAAATTCATTTTTTTTATCATTAGACAATAATGCACTAATTAACAGTCATGAATGAGAAGTCTGAGGTGTTGCTTCGAAATTCGAATTTTTTGCTATAATATTTCCCCTAAACAAGCAAACACGAAAGAGTATGAAGCCAAGTTAATGTCCCTTCTTGGAAATGTTAATCGTAATACGTACATAATATTTATCTGGATTATATTTCTTATGATATCCGATGACAGATGCATCGACTATAACGCCGTCTTCATCCGCAGTGTAAATTTTTGATGCAAAAGACAAAGATTTTTTGTCCTCACTTTCATTGCCATGGAAACGTAGTTGCGCAAGATTGTGGATAAAAAAATTTATCTTCGTAAATGATGATGACAAACTAGCTTCGATTAACCTGAAAATTAAAGTTATTATCACTATTTATTTGCTAATAAAAATGAGCATAAAATGTTTTACCGTTGTCTTTTTCTTCACAAAGATTGAAAGATATTTAATTTAAGAAAAAGTCGCAAATTATTCTGTGCGAAATTTTCAAATCACAGTTCATTTGATAAAAATTTACTCGTTTTTGGTATCTTGCTAGAAAACTATAGAAAATTTAAATAAACTTTTATAAAAATATTCGAAAATGCGATAAAAGAATATTAAATTTTGTTTCCAAACTTTAAGAAAATTCTTGAGAATTCTTTGAGAATTCTTAAGAACAAAACTTGATATAGCCTACCTTGTAAACATAGCCGTTGCTTCACTCTCACTCGCAGCCGGTTTCAAAGCATCATAAACATATTTTAAATCCGATATCGACTTCAGTTCAGGGATTCCAGAATGTATCATCTGAGATTGAATTTATAAAACTAGAATTCATAGAAATCACTAGAAGATTTAGAATTCATGATAGAAAACAATCTCTTAAAAATACAATTCAAGTTTTTAATTTTGATTTTATTCAGTAGTATTGATGTAGTCAGCTATCATTTGAGTCAATGTAAGCCAAATTGATTAGATTTCAAGTACTTAGGTTAAAGTATCACAAATGCGGCCAAGACATCATTTGAGGACAAATCAAAACTCGCTAATTTAATTTCCGCAATACATATCATGACAGATTAAAAAAAAATCAGACTTCATCATAATCATCATCATAATCATTTATGCATAATATATGCACATTTAATAAATACAACACATGGCTTGCTTTCATGCACATAATCGCTAAAAAAACGCAGCAAATATTCAAAATTGCCAGTCTTTCTTCTATCTCAAAGTTAATTTTAATAATTCTAAGGATAGCAGATAAAAAATAATTTTTTTAGAAAATGAACTAAAATTTAGCGAAAACACCTTGTGACACAAGGACTCACCAAAGACAACAAGTTAATGAAGATATGTGAATTTTTCCTGATGATGTTGAAAGCTCGACAACAAATATCAACAAAATCATGAAATCTTGAAGAAGGACGATCTCCGCCATTGATCACATATGCCATGTCAGAAGTAAGAACAAAAGGAGCTCGATCCCTGAATGAACATGAATTTTATATGAAAAGTACTGAACTTTTTCTCCGCTCAAAACAAGGCTCTGTATAAGCCACCATCCAACTAATCCATCTTTGTCAATTTTACCTCCTATTTATATGGTGTTCCATGATGCGAAACAAAAAGCGTAGGAGTCCCGGAGCAAAAAAAACGCTAGCGTAAATCTAAATGTTATCCTTCCAAGAATTTAAATTTCATATATATCGTAAATAATATCAAATCGACCATACTATTCAAATTATTGTAGATATCTCTGAGTCTGGCTAAAGGTGTATAAATAGTAATGATAGATTATTTCAATTACTGATTGTTTCTATTCCATTCATTAATTATCTACACACATACAATTTACCTTTTAATATTCCCAAACATTTGTGCGTGACCGAGAAACCTTGCAAAGTCGATGTGAAACAAGTGACCTGATTGTCGTAACATTATATTGTCATTGTGACGATCGCAAATTCCAAGAACATAGGTAGCAACACAGTACCCAGCACAAGACAATGTAAAGTTTTCTTCAGCCTAAGAAAAAGAAATAATGAAATTGTATGCAATGTAAAAGATAACTAAAAAATAAGAATACAGACTTTAGACAAATGGGATTGTCTTATATATCACAGGGTTGATTTCATGTTGGGTATGGAATTAGTTAGTAAATAGTCTCAGATGCATGGACTCGATGGAGGAAGAAGCCGCAAGTTAGGTAAACAACCATGTGACGATGAGGAGTCCAGCAATAATTTTGGACATAACCACTCTTTACGAAATTTTTATTTGTGAAACAACGCAGGGTAATCAGAGGTGTCATGACAAACATGTTCCTAATGCACAATGCACCAAACGCAGAGCTACCCTGTCATTTACGGCCTATTCTCTAGCTTTATTCTTCAAAAGGGATAAACAATAACTTACCCTTTCATAACTGATAGCAGTTGGGTTATGTTTTTGCAGCCATTCCGCGATCGGTCTATCCTTGAAAGCACCAGTAAGTCCATAACTCGACTGAATTTCTCTCAATGTAATAGAGTCTGATACAAGTTCAATGAAACCTGGCAACAAATTCATCAATTACGTTATAATATTCACATGTAGGCCTATGTATATAAGGATTTCAAACAACTAAATAGCTCTGAACACGGCTCTACCAAAGCAGATTATGTAGAGTTATTATATTTTTGGGAGGGGTCAGAATCTTGCAACCAAATTTGATTCCCCCCTCTTTAAAAAAACAGCTTTTTTCGGTCAAATTAATTTAAAATTTTACTCGGATTGCATTTAAAACTGAGTTTTTATTGATAATTAAGATGGCAATTATAACACAAACATAAAAGCTTTGTCTCAACTCAAAACTAACTTTTTTAAATAAACTTTCATTTTATAAATAAAATTTTCCAAAAAAAAACTTTTTCGCTTAAATGAGAATACGCTAACAACTTGTTTCCGACTAACTAATTAACAGTTAATAGTAATTTCTACCTCTATTTTGACCAGTTGACAAACAAGCAAAAGTGATAATTTTCAAATCCAATCCTTCTGCCAACCACAGTTTATCCATAATCCTAACCAACTGCATTGTCAAAACGTCTTGTCTCAAATCATCACCGACCTTGAAAATTAACAAAATAATATTATTAACAAAAAACATACGATAAATAAAACTCGCAAAATTTCTTCAGTGAAATCACCATATACGATACATTTTGCATTATAAAAATTGTGATATAATTTGAAAAATGTCAAAAATTTACCTTGGAATTTACCTTATCGAGGTTATCTATTCAATTCAATGAAAACAATTACCGGTATTCAAAAATTTATCAAACTTTTAAATTTATTGAGCACGCATTCCCGAACAACGCTATTTTTAAATTTTGATTTAAACAGAATTTAAATTGATGCATAATATGAAATTTTCGATAAAATTTGCTATTTCAGTAACTTTCGCGGCCTAATATTCAAGACAAAATTACAACAAATTGACCAAATTTATAAGTATGGCCATATGACGAAAAAAATAATTGAATGTTCCTATAAATATAACTTACCTTATACATAAGATGGAAATGTTTCGGATCCGACTCTGCATTATTAAATGCAAGTTTCAGTGGAATAGCATTTGAAGTAAAATACGATGAATTCTAAAACAAAAGTATAGCTGTATAAATGTAAATATCACCAAAAGAGCTCAAGTTCATTCAACATAATAACCAGGCTGTAAATTTGGTGATTGGAGTGGGCATGTACATATTGATATTGGGGTCAAGATTTCATATTTTCAAACATACCAGAATCGGCGTTCCAGAAGTGTGTGTACCAATATGGAGGTAACTGATTTTGTTCGCCTATTTCACATCAAATTGTGTAAAGGAACTGAACCCTATGGGCGGGGGGGATATTCACTTGGCTAACACAGACAGTCCCCCAATAGAACTAAAATAAGGAAAATCGGAATTAAATTTTGGCCTAACCCAAACCTGGTACACATACTACCGGAGTACCCCAGAATCGCAATAAATAAAGTTCAAATTTCCAGCAGCAATTCAGTAAGCATGACTAAGCATTTTCAACAGACAATCTGAGAAGTCAATCACTGCTGGTCCGAGTTCTTATTCAGAGAGTATGAAGCAATTATGTAAAATAAGAATTCAGTTACTTAGTGAAAAAAAATCTCTTTTTATTAGATAGTAACCAACGTCACATACAAATCTGTTATCTTGATAAACACCGAAAGAAAGCTGATAACAAACTTTGCAGTGATAAATGATAATGATTATTGATACAAACTTACGTCGACATCAAGACCATTTGACACAAGTGCTGGGTTTGTTGGAAGTCTGAAACTATGTTTTTTAACTCGAGACACCACTTTGATTAGTTCAGTTTGAAGCACTGTGGTTCTTGCATTGTCTTTTGCATATTTAACAGCTTCAGCTACTCTGTGGAGAAAAAGAGAAAAAATGAAAAATATGTTTCTTTTGAAGATTATAAATATGTGTTTTCATTTTATTGAATTGGACATGAACAGAGTATACCCAACTTCACTCAGAGTTAATGACGCAGGAAGAGTAGTCACTGACAGTAGTCACTCAAAGTGACTCAAAATCTGAACAAAATAACTCAATAGACTCAAACTATGACCTGCTATCTAGCAGAAGCTTAACTTGACACTCGAAACAATTTGAGGGCAAATCTTTGACATGGAAAAAAAATCTAATGAAATACTATTTACTATATCGATTATTGCTATATTAAAAAAATTGGAAATTTACTAGCTCATTGTAGAATTCAAAATACGCTGTGTTGATGCCTAAGTGAGATGGAAATTTCAAGCCTTGGTCTAAATGTAGCTCAAAATTTGAAAAATAAAAAAAGAACATAATAGCAGACTTGTATATTCAAGTATTGCTTGTAAAATCACAGTTACACTTACTTTTATTTTATATATACAAAGAACTAAAACCATTTCAAATTACCTGTTGACCATTTTGACAAAGTACATCTCCTTGTCAAACTCTTTCTTCATTCTAGATCCACTTGCTCCTTCCAATATATTCAACATCAGTTTATATCTTTCTCCATAGTAACTGTTGCTCACATTCTCAGAAAGTAGCCTGGATAAGAGACAAATGTTGTTAGAATTGAAAAAACTAAAAAATTTATTGATGCAACGAAATTATAAATCTGAAATAATCTTGAAAAAATTGATGACTTTTTTACTCGTTTGTTTATAATTTGTCTTGAATCAAAAAAAGCCTTCCATTATATTGATAACCTTACCAATATAACTTGTGAGCAATTCTCAAACTTCCGAGTGCCGATCTTAGCAAAAATCTTGCGAGAGTAGAATCATGGAACATCTCGTATTTGAGAGCTTGAGTTAATTGGACCAAGTAATCATGAATTTCATCTTCTTCTGCTTGTTGGATGCATCGGATCGCAAATTTTCGGACGTACACATCAGGAAAACTGTGAAAAAAGAAGATTATATCAAATAAAACTTAAATACCTTCGAAATGTTGTTAAAAACATTACTTACGAAACTGATAATAATTCGAACGCTTCGATTGGTTCGATTCTCGGCCATGTTTCCAAAAGTTGATAGACCGTTGACAAATTTTTCGATGACCAGGACGGAACGCTGCGTAAAATTCGAGCCAGAGAACCACGAGATTGCACATATTCTTTTATGTGCCTGGAGAAATAATGAAAATAAAATTTAGAGTTTAAAGTTCAAAAATTTAGAATTTAAAAACAGGTCCTGCAACCTGTTCCCCTGATAAAATAACATTTCGAACCTGTATTTCCACAGTAATTCTCTTTCATGATCTGTCAGTTTTGAGAGAGGATTTTTACTCAAAATATGAGTGAGATCTTGTTGAGTGCTTTCATCGAGTGAGGACATTGATACGCCATTTGGAAGTGTCCTGAGCACAAAATAAAAATAGCATTATTCGTGGATAGTAAAAATTAGGCAAATTCACAAATAATATCAAGTAAGGCTGAGTTACAAGCGAGTAAAGTTCAAATACATAAACACGAAAGTTTGAGCATCAGTTACAATTATTTAGATAATTCTTTTTGGCGTACCTTGGTAACTGCAGACGTATGGAATAAGGAGGAAACAAACAACTTTTATTTTGCTGCGACGATAGAAGTTGTATCGATATAACCACGCTGTCATTGTTTGTTATATTAGATGAAGACAAGGCACTTGCTTTTAATTGCGGAGTAATGCCAGAAGCAGACCACATACCATGTAATGAACCTCCTTGGTAAAGAAAACTGAATGGAAAAAAAAAGTGAATGTGAGGAATTGATAATATTATAAGCCACGGTTTCACAAACTGGGACCAAGGCTCTTCTGGGGCCATGCAGCGGTTATCTAGCGCAGGGCTCTTCAAACTGGGGGCCCCACCCTCCTGTCCCGATGGGTCGTGAAAGACCTTAATGGGGGTCAGGAAAGGGCTTAATGGATGTCGCGGTGAAACCTTTTCAACACTAACTTACATTAAAACAAAATATCGATCAAAATTGGAAAGATTTACAACCCGACCCCTCCTTTTGACACTAACTCATGTTAAAATAAATATTGATCAAATTTGAAAGATTTGTGATCCCCGGTGGGTTGCGAAAAGGCTCAATGGGGATTACAGTAAAATCTTTTTAGACACTAAATTATGTTGAAACAAAATATTGATAAATTTTAAAGATTTGGAACCAGTATCGAGACCCCCCATCACCAAAAAAAAGCTAAGATTCGATTTTTTGTGCGAGAATATGCAAAACACATCAGTCTCAATGAAGGTATTGTCTATGTTTATATTTTTTAAATATTTTCTGTATCATTAAATTTCACTTTATTTTAATTTTATTTCAAGTGTCATGAAAAAATTTGACCGTACCAAGTGAATTATGAACTTAATTTGAATGTAATATTTTGTATCTGTAACATTTCACTAATATTCTTTATATTTTATGAGAAGCTCAGTGAATGCTACAATTCACATATTATACTAATCTTCATCCACTTACTTTCTGTGATTATAAAGAGCAACATTGACCCAAGATAATTCTTTAGCAGTAATTTTTTCACTTTTTCCAGATTCATTGCCAGTTTGATATCCATGTAATGTTAAACATAATTTAGATTCTCTCGGTAAATCACTCACTTTGATTGGAAAAGTCAACCTGAATGAAAAATGAAAAAGAAAAAACTTAAAAAACCGTGACATAAATGAAGGCATGAATGTGACAAACTGGAGTCAAGCGAGAAAATGAAGTTAGTGGTCAAGGGTTAGAAAAGTACTCCGATTATTTTTCACGGTTTTAGCAGGTTTGAATACATCGGTGGGCAGCGTGGGCATGGGCAAGAGCAGCGTTTCCCTAACTGTGTTTCGAGGAACACTACTTAATTCTACCATAGGCTAAATATTTTGGAAACACCCTTCTGAATGGATTTTTGGCTTAATACAGGATGCCAAAAGCGTATTTCATAAGCTGTTAAGAACGCTCAGTAAATTTAATGCTTTGTGAGGTTATTTGAAAATTCTGAATTTTTTTTATCTCTATTGAAATTCTGAAATCTTGACTAGGACTCCGGGGAGTTAAAAAATACAATTCAGGCTCAGAGTCAGACTCCTCAGACTTCATTCCTGGTTGTAACATAGATAATCCATAGATAACACAATCTTAAAACAATGCTGCCTGGAAAAACGATGTAAACGGTATACAGTAAGAACATACCAGCTATTCCATGTAATTCTTCCGTGGTAAGCTTTATTTGCTTTTACTGGTTTTGTGTTGACTTTGCCACATAATTCATGGTTGCCATATAACAGTTGACAAGAGACATAGTACTCTTCATACCTTGATAAATAAATCATATTGTATATAATAAAATCTGGCAACACAAGACTGAGATAGATAATATAGAATTTTTATATTGCTAATATTCTTATTTTGAAAGGTTGTTTTCGATAGTTGCGAAATTTCATGGAATAAAAAAAGTAACAGAACACTCGAAATAAATTTTCATGTCTATACTTACATAGTTGCCCACATATGTGGTAATCTATGAACAGACAATATATTGAGAGTGACGAGATCCTGCACGTTGCATGATATACATGACGGAATCTGATTACTACATGACGAATCAATTTCAGCAGCCTAAAAACAAGAAATGTCTTTTGGAACAATTTCCAAAGAAATAAACCACCAAGATTGTTTTGTTTTACTGTGGCATACTTGCATCTGAAACAAATAACTGGTTAACCATTTTTATGAACAACATAATCTTTTTCCATGAAATAGTAAGTTTATTTATGAGCTGTCATTAGATCGTAGTTTAACTTCTTCAGATAAAAAAATATATGGCTAAATAAACAGCGAATAATGACTAATTTTATAATATAACTATTTTTATATTGACATATACTGGTAACCAACAAGAGGCTACTCTATAATCCCGTATAACTGTGCATCCTCTGGGCCACACAGGATAATTATGTGGCCCGCGTAGGAGTGCCCATTTTAAATGGTGCAACTACTGGAAAGACTATGTTAAATAGAGGTGCGGCCCACAATGTCACCCAGGTATTTGTATCTGGCCATTGTGTATCGAAGGTTGCACACCCATGCCATATATGATTAAACTGTCTTAGCAGCTTTCATCTCCATCAGATAAAAATGAAAAACCTATCCTGTATTAATTGACTGTGCATTTGTGGTATTTGGTTGTATTGAGGTTGTAAATAACATAAAGCTGTTTTAATGATCGTATCGAGTTATTTAAAGTTTTAATTTAAGTCACAGGTCATCTGAGTCTCATTGTTATTTGAGTACGAGTATGCGTAATGACTGATTCACGATGGATTCATCACTCGGACTCGTACTCAACTGACTACCAGAGAGACTTAGATGACTTCAGTTGAACCAAGTCATTTTGAGTCTTTGATGGTGACTCAAGTCCAACTCAAGTTGAGTCAATGACTCAAGCCTTCATAACACCATACAAGGATATCTCCTTATTTAAAAACTCCATTTCAAATAAATACCTTTGAATACATTTCAATGAATGAATAGACAGCATGAGATAGATGTTCGACGGATTTATCGATATGATCTTGTCTTGACATTGTTCTGTCTGACGTTATTAATATTGCACTGGTAGGTTTAGCAGTTGCAGAACCATCAATGTTGAAGACATCTAGAAATTTCAGATACATAGTCAGAAAAATATGAAACATTGTGAAGACCAGTGGTCCCAAACCTGTGCCTTGCAACGCACTAGTGAGTCGTAAGAGAGTGTCGAGTGTACCAGAAAATATCACTTTAATTTCTCAAAAATAAATTTTTATCATTTTGCGTTTAGAACTATATAGATGTAAGATTTCAAATCGATTATTATAATGCAGGCAATTCGGAGAGCTGTTTTCTTGATCACGAATCGACTTAAGATGCTCCAAATCTCCTCCTAATCACAATTTACTCGCTCCTGACAAACCACCATATTTCTATCGAGTTTTTGAGTAGTTTTGTGGTTTCCCGTAACTTTGTAAGAGATGAGTTTCTTTTCAAATCAAAAACTAAATAAAGTATAAGTATAAGAAGTACTGTAATGCACGAAATATACATTTACCTTGTCTTGGGCTACCAGAGTCTGATTTTTCAATCGCATTTCGTAGTTTTAACATTGAATGAGTAATATCATTTGTTTCTATTGTGCCAAGAACCTGTTTTACTGCCTTCACTGTTTGATGGATTCTATCACATTGTTGTGATGCCGTCAAGTTTGATTGCTTTTCAAAGAAGAAAAATTTTCATGTCAAAATCATGAGAATGAAAATATAGCCAGATTTTAATAAGAAATACTACCACTTTTCTAGTTAGCATGATTCAAGTATGGTCGATATATATTATCTACTGAAACTATTCCATGTCAAATAAATTCATCTGTATTGCAAGCCGCATTGGGTACGAGATGATGAATCGTGAATTACGAGTCAAGTGAGGTCACAGGTCATCAAAGAATCGACTCTCTAAATGTGAGTTGCGAGTTAAGTGAGGCCAAGTCTGAGTGATGAAAAGTCTGGGTCATTCCATTTCAATAACCTGAGTCACTCTGAGTGGAGTGAATGACTCAAGCCTCTCAAACACTAGTTGTAAGTTGTTTTGAGATCAAAAATATGACCGATAAACAAAAAAGTGCAACTTAAGAAATGTGCAGAATTCAGTTTTTTACAAATATTGTATTACTTACAATCATAGCCTTGTGTTGAAGTTTCTGAATTTCAGTCAAAAAAGCATCTTGAACAATTTGGATGTCATCGCTGTAAATAAACAAACGAAATTACATTAAAATATCATTCAATTTAACAAATTTTCACTTCAGAGACATTAATGGTATATATTACAAGATCAGGTTTAATATAATCTAGAACACCCAAGGGATTTTGAAAAGAGCATATGGCAAATGGAGAGACAACAATCTCATATTTTCACAACATGATCTGTCATTCTAACAAAAGTTTTCAGAATAAATAAAAGAGCAATGCTCAAACATACAGTCACAACAGTTCAATAACTAAACGCAATACCGATAACCTATGCAAATCTTATGTTTGGTGAAGTTTTCATTGTTTTGCATTTTGAAAGTTATTGCTCGATTTTATATTGTGTATGTTAATTTTCCTATGTTCCTCAACTGTGTTTGGTGGACGGGCGGTTACTTGTACGTCATTTAACTTTGCCCCTAAATGCATTTTATGTCCGTTTGTTTGATGTCAGAGCGTCTGTTTGTTTTAGGTCGAGTTTCAGGCTGTTGACGGGCACTAGATGCTTCCAGTCACTTCTTTCCGTTTATTTATTGGCTTTTGCTGCTTCCTTGGTTTATTAGTTATGAGCAAAAGATATTTTTCCCAAAGTCGACTGGCTATGAAAACAATTTAGAAAGGATCCATATGGCCACTTCATATCCAATAATACCGTAATATAAAATGAGATTTTATGATTATATTGCCACATACTTTTTAATCCATGTTATTAAAATATCCTCATGCCCATGGTCTGATATGAGTAGAGCATTAAAAATATTATGGAACAGAGGATAAACAAATCATCACATGACCTTACGACCAGGACTTAATATTTTATCATTCATTTATTTATTTATATGCCTTCATCAAATAAGTTGTATCTAGTCCAGACAGATAATACAAATATTAGGTTTGGTAACTTTACTTTAAGTTTAAAGCATAAAAGTAAATTTACCATATAGAACAAATAAAATGGTTAATTGTTCAATATTATGGCACAAATAGCTGCGTAAATCTTCCAATACCCAGCATTGGCACGGACTGGTAAATGATCAATGCCAGGGCTCAGTGGTTCGAAATATGATTTAGCCGATTATTTATCGCTGGGATAAGTATGTAAATCCTCCAATTTTTGAATATAAAAAATATATTCTCATGCTAATCATTGACTTTAGTTCATTTCAAGTCAAAAGAATGTATTTGAATAACATTTCTACCTAAAATTTGACATGAACAAGAATACATCGTTTTATATTTAGGATTTTGATTTGCAATGTTTTGTATCAGTGAAATAGCTTTCCACTGTGATAAAAGTGCAAATTTTCAAAAAAGGGTATATTTTTCTATAAGAATTCTTCTTAAAACTAAATTTTCACCATTTTTTTAATTCAATTCACAATTTTTATTTGGTGGAAATTTCCATATTAAGTCAAAAAAGGATAAAGCAAACTAAATAATCAAACTCAATAAATAAAATATAACAATATATATTTGTTTGTTTCACAAATATTTATATATTCATACCTATCCACCCACAGTAAAATCCATATTGAAAATAAAAATTCATTATTTTTATACCTTGTAACAGAAGATCCCTTTATTGCTGAAGTCAGATGTTGTTTCAATGCTTCATGGTGCAAATCAGATTCCTGAAAAGAAGAAGGGAGTTCAGAATTTTTTACCGAAACATTCATTAAAAAAAGGGTACTATATAGGATGACAATTAACGCCAAAATATATTTTTATTAAAAACCATTGAGGATGAGTGAGTGGGCTTAGTTGTGAAAGCAGGTTAAAACTGAACGTGCTGAACATTTTGTGTCTTGACTGACAAACGTGTAGCGTGATAAAATATATTCACAGCGGTAGCAGTGGCATTGAATTTTTTGTATGCATGTCTGCAGTTATCTGCATATTCAGTACTCGTTCGTTTTTGTGTATGACCTTATTACCGATCAGTCGATCGCGAGCTATTTTGAAGATTTTAGTCGACCGCGGACGAAAGCAGGTTGGCCACTTCTGTAATCATGTAAAATTGTTCACATAAACTAAAATAAAACAGTATATTTTGGGTGAAATAACGGGTCCCAAAAAACTTTGAGAAAACAAACTGTGACAAATTCTCACCATTCTTCCAAGGGTTTTATCGACATTATCTTTATGTACAAGTTGCAATCTCACATCTTCCTCAAACTTGATGCAATCTTGTACAAGTTCATACAAGTTCAGTGTCGTTCCACTGTGAAAATATAAAACAATTTGAAACTACTTTATGTAGTCTCTTGTCCACACATATTTGAAGCCTTATAACTGCATTTCCATCCTTGCCATGGAGGAATTTTAATGTTTATGAGAGAAGATGCAAAAATATTACTCTGTGTGGATTTACTAATATTGTTTAGTCATTTAGTATTATCGTAATGTATATTTATGGACACATTATACGGTACTCACGAAGTATGTGAACCAAGATGGCGGCCACCGGAACGCAGTATGTGTACCTGGTTCGGCCATAATTCCATTCCAACTTTCCTTATTTTAGTTCTATTACGAGTTCGGGGACTAGCCAAGTGATTCCCGTGGTATTTGTCCCTGAAATTATGACCAAACCCTAACCTGGTACACATACTACGTTCCGGTATCCGCCATCTTGGTTTACATATGTCGGGAGTACCCATTATAAACTATTTGAACCACCAAAAGCCAAAGTTAGAATTGCTCATGACACTAGCTAATAGCTATAGATCTTTAAAAGACTCTGATCACAAATACCATATGTACAAAAGTCAGTAATATCCTTTTAAAATGTCAAACCATTTGCCAAATTATGAGTTGGTTTTATCACTATCTGCATAATTTAGGAATTGGGAAATTTCTGTTATCAATGTTGGAATTCGATATAGTACATTCAACAGCAGTGTTCACTATTAGCGCACTTTTTTGCGAAAATTGCGAAGCACTTTCGCAACTTTTTTTAGGGACTGCGAAATAGCACTTTTTTCCGATTTTGAAGAGAAATAGCCCCTTTTTCCGATTTTGAATGGAATAAAAATTCAAAGTTAACAAATATTTTCGAGTATTAAGTTGACAAATAAGTAAGATACTAGTACTTTTGTAACTCAATTCTGCATATCATAACGATATTTACCTGAATTCTAACCTATGAGATGCAGACATAGGAGATAAAGCTTTTGCATTAACGGCAAAATTCTTGTTTATAATATGATTATTATACAAGCACACCGATTCCGCTTCTCCCGCAAAAAACGCTCTCGGGTGATTGAAACCAGATGTTGGAATAATACACAGTGCTTTCTTTGAAGAGAGTGGTCATGTGACTATCAATGATATCGATGAATTCAAAATGACTATAAAAGTGTTATGTGTTATAGTCACTTTAGATGAATTGTGACCAAACTGCACGATTTTCAAATCAGACAAAACTTTTAACAGCATGTCACAGATTTGCAAAATCACCAAATTCACAAAATACCATTAAGTGCCATTTTATTGTAATCACAATGTTGAAAGGAGTGGCATTTTCCGTAATTTTGCGATATTTACACAACTATTTCTCATTGATATGCGAGGACGGGTGGGCAAAATTCAATATTTTTTTGAATCGAATATTTTTAAGGAGTACCAAATAAACGTGGTGGAAACATTAAAAAATCGGCAACAAAGCTTTTTTACTGGTTAATTCCGTTGTAATCGCCAATTGTTCTTGTCACCGATCGTTTTGGCGGCGTTATCCAGGTTTTGGGTAATCTATATTCCCGCCCTCTCTTTTTTACAAATATGAATTCTTGTGGGTCGGCGGACATCGAAGTTTTATATTTCGGGTTTACCCGTTCGTTCACATCGGCAACAGCTGTTGACATTGAGGACTCAAATTAACATTTGCGTTGCCTTTAATATTACCTATCAAGATTTGTAAATTTACTGTCCTAATTTTATGCGAACGGTAATATTATTGTCCATACCGTGATGCAGATATTTATTAAGACGATAATTAACTTTCTCATGTATTTCTATGGTGATAAACTTCGCAAATCTGAAATTGTGCCAATCCTGAATGTTGATTTAAAATAGTGATTGAATAATTCGGCAATAAAGGCATTTCTGCATGGTCATAAGACGAGATGACGTTAATGAACAGCACTTCTTTTACAGGATATTTTACGTATGCGACTTAATGCTAAAAAGATTGGGCTGGAGTGCTTTTTTTTCGAGTGCTTGAGTGCCTAATAGAGGTCAGGCGCTAATTGTAACTAATTCCCTCAAGTTTCAACGTGTTTTCAACAAAACAATACCCCGGCGATAATTATAGCTAAAATGTTACCGAGCAATTCACAATTTTATTTATGGAATTTGCAAATTCACCATTTTCTTGACGATTTTGATATTGTCACGCCCTAAATATTAGTGCAAAAAATACTCCCCTTCTTCCGCGGCGGTTTGACGGTTCTTTGTTCCATTCTTTCGAAAGTTCTGACAGGGGGGATATAGAATACTGAATCCGGAGGGTTGAATCCCTGTCCACTTACTGGTGATTTTCCGTTTTGAAATGCGTGAAACATTCTCTATTTTAAATTAAATGACGTTTCGCGGGCTAGAGTTCTCCCCGAAAATGATGTGTTCCAGACGTTAGTTAGACCAGTGATCAGCAACCACCGTGCCGCGGAGAGGTTACTGCCGGTCCGCAGAGAGGTGACACAAAAATGGACAAGGCCGTAATAAAACCTCTACAATCTAACCACAAACCCTACTACTAAAAAACAGCATTTAACAGTAAATCAGACAAACACAACACCAGGGGTCGGAAAAAATGCGGCCCGGGAGCTAATTTGTTGCGGCCCTTAAACGACTCGACATTTATTAAATAAAACAAAAATTAATCCCAAATTTATTATTGTTTCTACACGGATTTATGTGCGGAGCGACGCGGGTCGAGCATTCCAAAATGCTTGAACGGGAAAATATTTTTCTTTCTTGCGTATTCCAAAACCGGTTTGCTCGATATGCCCAGTCAGCATCGCAGTTGTTAGGGTTTCAATGACAAACTTGTTATGAAACGAGTCGTCGAAAATTCGATCCCGAGACACGCGACTGCGCCACAGCTCATCTGTGCGACAGTGCAAAACGTGTAATGTAATGTGCACGTTCGGAAGAACATATGGCCTTGAGCAGCTTTATCTAAAATGCATAACACTTAGATTAAATTTCGTACTCGCTTTTCGAAATATCATCATTGGAACGACGAGTTGCCACAAAAACATCATCTTTCACATTGATAATAAGTATATATATATATATATACATAAAAACAATGTATTGTTGGATAATAAAAAAGTACATGAAGTTTGCCGACCGCTGCATTACACTATTGAGCAACATGTCTGATTTCATAAATAATTGCCATGTCAGTATGTCGCAGTAATGCTGGGTCAATTGTTTTCTCTGCGGCCGTATAAGAATCTCTCATCAGTCCGACTAAGATCTCCCCAACAAAACGATACAGGCATTGTTAACTTTCCCGAAATCCTAATGTGAGGCCTGGTTTTCAATATTGATACCTACAAAAACGAAATAGGCAGGAAGTAAGAAACACGTTACGTGTGTCAATGTCTACCATATCTCGAATATGAGAACAGTTAATGGCCATCAAACAAATACAGACATCACATTAAATAGCATCGCCGACGTTTTTAGTATATTGTCAAAATAAATTTCCTAAAGCGTTTAATTTAAGGCATTGGCTTAGTTCGTTTATATAAAGGTGGTCCGCCAAAAGTTTGGTCAAGCTTTACCGGTCCGTCACTTGAAAAAGGTTGCCGATCACTGAGTTGGACGATAGATAAAACATTAGGTTAATAATTTTCGTGACGCCCCGTTTTCGAAAATACAAAGTTATATCGCAAAAAATGCGTTATGATACATTTGGAATGAAACATTATTTACGGTTAATTCAGATCATATTTTACTCTTCATGACACCCGGTATCCAAAAATACAGTTGTATCTCGAAAAATGTGTTTTGTTACATTTAAAATAAAACATTTTTGCGATTAATGTAGATCATATTCTACTTTTCAGGACACCCGTTTCCGAAAATACAAGGTTATATCGCGAAAATGTGTTTTGTTACATTTAAAATAAAACATTTTTGCGATTAATTTAGATCATATTTTACTTTTCAGGACACCCGTTTTCGAAACAACAAGGTTATATCGCAAAATGTGTTTTGTTACATTTAAAATAAAACATTTTTGCGATTAATTTAGATCAAATTTTACCTTTCACGGCAACCCGTTTCCGAAAATACAAAGTTATATCACAAAAAAATGCGTTTTGTTACATTTATTTTGCATTCCCAATAAAATACATATTTTCCCTAATTAAGGTCGTCGATGAATCTGTTCCTGTCGTTCAAGCTCGACACACGTTTGGACGAGTGTGGGGCGGTTTTTTGGTCGACGAGAAATTAAAAAGTTGCCACACGTTATTTGTATAACGATAATAACTGAAAATTAAGATTTTATAATAGAAGTGAATTTGTCTCAAGATGGCATTTTACGATTCCTGCCAACAGAAAATAAACACGATGACAGGCTTGGTTATAATTGATATTCGTTTAATTTTTTTACACTATTAATAAACGCGCCAGACCAATTGCGACCATATAAATTGCAGTCGCATCGGTATGGACTGCATGTTTTTGGCGCTCTCACATTAATAATAATTTTCAACAAAACAATACCCCGACGGTCATTAAAGCTGAATTCGTTACCGAATAATTCACAATTTTATTTACGGAATTTGCAATTTCAAGATCTCACTTGACGATTTTGATGATGTCATGCCCTAATTATTACTGCTTAAATGCCTCAAAATACAACAAATGTAATCATTTTCGACGATAACAGGCGCAACAATTCGTAAACGAGCCGTTATAACGAAATTCGCGATTGATTTTACCTCTCTCTTGTTTACAATTTTAACATCCCGCCGGCCACGTATGGTCGAATAAAATGTTCCCATATTCGAAACATGACTTGGCCAAGGATTGAAGGGATCACTAAAGAGCTAATGGAAAGTACATACCCGAGGGTATGCTATTAATATCAAGAATATTTGTGAGCATATCACAGGACGGAAATATTTCTTTCTTAAATAATAACTTTTTCAATAAATGTTCATTTTACTTTTGCGTCTTTATTATATGTCGGGTTTTCATTTATTTTAAATTCGAAATTGTCCGAAATACTCCAACAGGTGTATAAGTACAATAATAATAGTACTTATCAAGTTTAATACACACGATGTGTAAAGGGCGTCGTAATTCCCGTTTATTAATTATAAATTTTTTTACATTCTGCTTAAAAAACAGCGGCAGTCATCTCACGTAACTCTCGCGACCAAATCTTTTTTGTTTTGTATAGCATCGTCTTGGCGCAATTTATTGCTAGGTCAGCAGCATTACAAAGAGTGCTAACTATGAATGCTGAAAGTACATGACATTACTAAACATTTTGCCAATATATGAAGTTTTCTGCCCGATTTAAACTAACTCGCACACAAACCAAGGCATGTCGACATTTAAAAATTACTTGTCTTTGGGTAAGCTCTGAAATAGTATAATATAAATGTAAATGAGAAAATAGGTCACGCTAGCTCACGAAACGGGAGGATTTTCGAAGTGATCTTGTGTAATATTTCGGAGAAAAAGGTTTGAAATGAAAGTAGGTCAACCTATCTCCTAAAACAGGGGAGTATCCTGCATAATATTCTGGAGGGAACGCAGGTTAACTTATCTTTTAAAACAGCGGGTGGCGACTTTCAGAGTGGTTCAAAATCACAAATTAATAATTATCAGATTTGGTTTAGGGATAAATCGAAAAGTTGAATTTCCAGCGCACTTAACCCTAATTAGTTGATTGCTATTTATATTTGGGGGGGGGGGATTATTTTGCACGGGATTTGTACAAACGATCCACCCTGTAACTAATATGGTTTCCAGCCTGCCTCGTGTCTGTTAGATGGAAGGAGTAACAAATGTGAAAGTCTTTGCTGTTTACGCGAGTAGGCAACTGACACCTTGATACATTGCATGAAAGTATTGTCCCGGCAGGTGTTAGCAGATGTCATTTCGTTGCCGATGAATTCGCTTGTTTTAATTAAACATGAATTCGCTTAAAGGGAACTCGGTTAACGGAAAGGCTTCTCTTTAATTCATAATATTAACCGGAGGAGCGCTTTTTTGAGTATCTATGCCGTTTTAAATGGGTTATATGAAAGGCTAGGGCACCTAACTTGTTAAAATCGACAAAAGCACTTTCGCACTTTTTTTTCGACTGCGAAGCACTTTCGCACTCATAATTTGCTTAGAGTTAACACTGTTCAACAGGCATACTAGATGTTGTGATGAACATTGGAACTTGTCCAAAACAAAAGAGCTATCTTGTCTGCATTTGTACGGCAAGAAAATTACTGAAAAACCGGGGGCACGTGACACACCAAGGAGAGCAGTTGGAGGGGGGAGGAGGGGCTAAGCGCATAACTGGTTTTACTTTTCCCTTTACAAGAAAACTACCCGATGTTTCTAAATTCATTGCTTGATAAGGTTATTTTACTGGATGTTTTCACTCCGTTGAGCATAAATTGTTCGAACATGATGGGATTTGGAATCTATCAATCAAAATACAAATACCACTGGAATGATAAACCAGGTTGGCATGTGTGCTAGAAGCCTTTGGAAGGGGGGCCATGACGAGCAGGGATGGCCAATACTGAATAGTTCACTATTTCGAATACATTCGAAATTATTATTTTCGAATATGAAATTTCGAATACTTCGAAAATAAAATCCAGTAATAGAATCTAAGTGTATGAAGGAATTTTCATACAATAAACAATGGAATAACTTCTATCTACAACCTGGCTATATTACCTGGCATTTCATGATTGCAGATTATTGCGATATATATTTTATATAACAAGAGTTGTGTTTAATACGACAAGGCATTTTAAATAGTGGTATCGGTGATGGATTTGAATGCTTGCACAACACAAAATCATCCTAGTAAAACGCCCATACTTTTAAATACCAACCATTATCCAAATTATTTGCCAAAAAGCGGGATGAAGTATGAGTTATTTATCCGACTTGTGACAATTTTTTCGTGAGTACAAAAATACGAATCAAAAAGTAATTATATTCGGGAACTTTACCACACATTTTAAGTCCGCAGATCGCCGTTGTATGTTTGTGTAATAATACTTTTATAATTTTATAAATACGAAAATAGGGTTCAAAAACTATTTATAATCGGGTAGTTTACCACACATTCATCAAAATTATTTGCCAGAAAGCGGGTGAAAGTATTTTTTTAATAAATCAACTTGTTTCCCAACTTGTGACAATTTATTGGATATCGTAAATTGACGAGTCATAAAAGATTAGGAACCACTGGCATAGATAGTTTCGAATATATTTTGAATAAATATTCAAAAATAATATTTCACAATTCATTCAGAATATTAGGTTATTTACAGCCAATTTTGATCGATCATTGATTAAGGTATGGGTTAATAAACACTCATTTCAGCTGTCTTCGTATATATCTTTATACACTTATCAAAAATTTTCAAAACTTAATTATATGGTCATTTTGATTGGTGTAGCCGTGTATGACAATAATAGTTATTAGTTAAGTTTATTTATTTCCAATATATATCAAGCAATATACAATTGTATGATGTGTCATACTGAAGCAGGTCGCAATTCATTTTTCTCACTCATTGGTTACTCATCATAAAATAAAAAAAAACTTGCAAATGCTTATTCTCAATTTCTATTTGAAGATAAACAACAAAGAATCCGGGAAAAACGTTATGCAAGCTTGAGTCACGAGAAGTGTGATAATTTAGTGACGCATTCACCTATAAGCTTGCTTATAACTTAACCAATCGCAAATAAAAAAAAAGATTTATAATATACTGTAGAATGATAAATGTGGGAGGATTTTTTATCACTTAAGAGTATTTTGACAAATCATCATTACACTATTAAAAATAAGTGGTCCATCAATTGAAATTTTATAGTACTAAGGTTGTTTATAATTGCTGTATCATGTTAAAATCCATATACCAGTTGTTCCCAAACCATGGCCCAAGTAAGGAACTTAAGTAAAATAGTTTTTTCGTTTTGCGTTTTAGATACCGCCAATTGTTTCATCATTATCACAGTTTAAGCATATGTATATTCGTAATCGTAACAATTCAATTATCCGGTATGGTATCCTAATAATATGTACTGGTACCAGTATAGACCCCTTGCGGCCGCTCCCTTGTCCTGGCCCCTGAATATCTGTCCGCTTCCAATTTTGAATCACCCAACAAGGCGGATTTGGCCCGCCGGCCGTAGTTTGCCCATCTCAGGTATATAGAATAGCTCAAAAGATCTTGCATTACACTTCCACAATTTTTATTCTAAAATTTTTGATTAGACTACTACCGTAAGCAGCAATAAATGAATAAAAAATGCAATCTTGATTACGGTATTATTATCTGTCAAATTATCAAATAAAATTACCTCAAAAGAAATTCTTGTCTTCCAGTAACTTTAAACCTGTAATCTGATGTTATGATTTGACTGATATCTTCATGGGCAATGCATAATGCTTGACTGACAACAAGCTCGACGGCAGCATTTACTATAAAAAAAAATTGAAATTAATAACACAATATTTTATAGTATTTCATTACATCTCAAACATCGAAGTATGTGTATAACTTATGGGGTGGGGCGATATCACCTAAGTATTAAAAAATTAAACACAAAATTTTAATCATTAGCATATGGGTAAATACATATTTCATCAAAATTAAAATTTGATACGGAGAAAATAGAAGAGAATTCAATGGAGTCTGGGGCTAGAGCAGGGGTGGGAACGGTTTTTGGAACTGAAGCAAAAAATTTTGCCTGCCAGGACCAGCGGGCCGTAAAAAGTTACATGTGGCCGCACACAACAAGCGCACAAAGCGAGAAAAGAGATGTGAAAAGAAAGGCGACAAACCGAGTGAGCGAGAAAACGTAAAGTTTTGTTAACCAATATCATGAAAGTCTGTGGCAACCTAAAATACAACTTAGACAGACTACGATTATAATCTAACAAGCCTATTACATGGCCAGATTGATTCACCCAACAGGCCAGAGTTGGCCCGTCGGGCTGTAGTTTATCCATGTCAGGGCTGGAGCATCGATTGCCGATATATTTTGAAGACTATAAGATTACATGAATAGTTATGTTTGCATTTTGATTTTTTATCATTGTTATTAATTATTATTAGAACCTTTTGAAATGATAAATTTTAAATGAGTTATTTCTAGGTTTTTGGCTTCCAAAACTTTTTTACCAATAATAATTTTTTTTGATTACAATGATGACAACAACAAATTAAAACACAGGGTGGCTTTTTTGGATTAAATTATTTTGCAAAATAGGACACTTTTCTTAATAACAGGTGTCAAAATGACAGGCAACCTATATCGAGACAAAATCTGTTTTTTTTAATTCTCGCACCACTTCATTTAAGTATTATATAAAGGAAACAGAGCATAAACATTAACACGCATGACAGGAATTCAATTCAATGTTATTGAGGAAATGGCTCGACAATTTTCCGCTAACCATGAGCAGTCCTGAGCAAGGGGTTTTTGACGTCAGCAATGACATTTGCAATTCAATAGAATTGGGTCAAAAGTCCTACATTTATTGACAAAACAAAGGAAAATTGAAAAATAATTTATATATGCACGAATCGAATATTAATGAATAATTGACTCCAAATTATTAACATCCGATATATCAGATTCTCAATTTTGGAAATAACTTATTTGAAAAATAAACATTTTGAGCATTTGATGTGGATTCATTTAATTTTTGAGAATCGTAAAAAACGTTATCAAATAAGATCAGACATATCTATAATTAAACTTTTGATAACAACTTTTGCACTTCTACAGCACTTAATACAATGATTTGTGTACGTTGTCAGATGAATAGAAATTTAAATCAATTTTTGAAAAATATTTTCGAAATATAGGCAAGTCGTAAAAATTTGGATTTGCTTGTGAGAAAAAACACATACTGACATAAAAATGCAAGTTTTGAAATCAGTCAGATGTAATATATATAGCCCATTTTTAAGCTTAATACTCGTAACTTACTATTGCAAGTGAAGACAACGGGCTCATCTATTCCTTCTGTGGTAATCGATACTTTGATTGTATTTGAATCCTTTTCATCATTTCCCGTATTTTGCCATTTGGGCATCATTGGACTTATCAAGTATCCAGGATTCGACATTGGGTCGTTGCATGGGAATGTAGAATGAACTTGCACCATTGAATTGAGGAATTGTTCTTTTGAAGTATCGTTGAGAAGATTTGGAGATTCGTAGTGCAATTCAGTGAGACTTCTCTGTAAATTTAAATTTTGACAGAGATGAATTGAAGCTCAGTGGTGTGTCGCATCTTGCTGAGCGTTAGGAATACGCTCGCCCCCGCACCTCTGATTAGCCTGTGACTTCGCAGGTTTGAATCACATGCAGGAATACTTATGTGTAAAAGGATTGCTCGACTCCTCGTAGCCGTAGGGTGGTTCACACAACGCTGGTCGTATTACTAAATTTACTCAGTAACAAAAAATAAAATTGAAACGTTAAAAAATGAATGAAATAAAAAAATTAAATTGTTCCCATATAAACCAATATCGTTAGCAGTCTCCTCCATTCCCTAAACCAAGATATTATTATTGATTACTTCATTTTTCATGTTTTATTAATAAAATATATTTCACGTACAGACTGTACTACTGGCAAATGTCTGGTTTATGTACAAATTGGCTTGCACTTGAAATCAATTACACATTTATCATTATACCCATTTTACTGTAAAATCACAAATTTGTGAATTTTACTCAGCAAAAAATGATGCAAAGTGGCATAGTTTTTTCTGAAAATTTCGCAAATCTTAATAAAAAAATCAACTTTAATTATGTATATCCTCATAGATCAAACATATTCGAATAGTCCAAATTCAGGAATTTTTTCAAATTTTTTTTACAGTGTACAACATTTTACTGCATTGAAAATAGAAATGTTCTGATATGTAAAAACAATCGTAACATGGGGCAGATTATCAAAGTACTTACTGTTCTATCTATATCAGTTTCATCAATTTTGTTAGATTCTGCTACTTGCTGTTGTTGTTTTGCACCTTCATTTTCACCAAAGGATACAATATTGCTTGCTGTGAAAAAAGAAAATAATTAAATGCTCAATTTATTTTAGACGTCTAAATAATGTTGAATTATTCACACAGGATTAGTTTAAACACAAAACAGTTTTTAACCTATTTTCAGCTAACATATCAGTATCAATGGAGAACATTAGGGCTTACATTGTTTTTACCTTGTCAATTGATATTAAAAAAGACGTTACTAACATATCTTCTCATACTTTTATGTAGTTACATTAAACAATTTGTCAATTTTATAACCAGCCAATAACTTTTTACACTGAAAAAAACACCCAAAGCTTAAGGCATCAAAAATATTGCGAATTCAAATGCCAAATCAAACTATGGTTGGTTGTGGGGAAAACGACCATAATATTTAAAAGAAATGGGATTAAAAACTTTAGGACAAGATTTATAAAATAGTTGAAAGATATTTGTTCCACAGGGCGGTAAAAGCTTGTTTGTCAATATATTTAAAATGTCCCTAATGTAAAAATAAACATTTTTTAAACATAGTGAAAACTAAAACTAATTAATGAAAAAGTTGAAAAAATATCCGAGAGATATTTTTTCTAAGTGAGTTAGATAGGCATACTAAGTTAACTATGAGTAAATTACCATACAACAAACCCAAGACCGTTATCGCTGTCATAGTGTACCAAGCGCTGCTTCGAGTGTGTGAGTGGACGCTTTTAGCATGAGACCTTGGCGCGTAGAAGCGCTTTAGTGTGACCAGAGTTATGCGCGTATCAACGGAACTCTTAGTGCAATCAGAGTTATGTGTGTATGAGACGACACCTTAGTTGAGCAACTTTTAGTTTTAAACTCGGCTTATATGCGAGGATATATGGTAAGACAAACTTATTATTTCAACATTACCTGATGCAATGTGAAGTGGATCCCATTCCTTCCAGTCACTCAAAGGTGAAGAACTAGATTCTGACTTGATACTTCCTTCACTAAAATTGTCATCTCCCTCTTCTTTATTGTTCCAACTATCATCCAACCATCTTTGGAATACATCGTTAATTTCATCGGCTTTTGATTTCGTTTCTTTGTCCGGTTCTAATTCTAAAAAAATATGAAAATTTTGGCGTGACACTTGGGGGCATTTTTCTTATTTAACCTGGGGGAGTGGAAAGTCGATTAGAGGTTTCAATCGTATGGAGAACCCTGCCGCTGGTTAAGTCACAAGTCAGGTATGGGAATAGGGGGCGCGACAGTAGGGCTCATCGTGCTACACGTTGGGAATACGCTCGCCACCGCACCTCTGATTACTCTGCGTGGGTTCGCAGGTATGAATCCCATGCGGAAATGGTTACTTGCGAGAGGATTGCCGGACTACTCGCCACCGTAGAGTGGTTCATGTAACCGCTGGTTGGTTACGGCTTCCTCCACCATCAAGTCCATGCTTCCAAAAAACAAATGACTAACTAATCCCATACCCGACATGGAATGGTAATCGGATGAGAGACCGTGGTGTGTTATATGGTTAGGACGTCGAGTCGGCTTTTCTCTCTCTAAATATGTAAATCCTAAATAGTAAACCAGTTTTTGTTTCAGATGTGTGAAATTGGTGGATGGATGGTAGGTCATAACTGTCCAGCAGTTACGTAAATGAACCTACAACAGCGAGGAGTCCAGCAATCCTCTCATACATAATCCATACAATTAGAGCCAGCGAACTTAATTGAGCTATATTACAAGGACGCAAATTCACGCACCATGCAAAATGAAGAAAAATTTAAATTTAAAACACAAAAATTTAGTAATTCAACCTTTCTGTTCTAGTGTCAGCGGTGAAGTTCCAATTGAAAATGCCTGTTTATCCCATGATTTACTTAGCGAGGACGGACTGGAAAACAGTGATGCTGTTGTATAAGGAAAATGCTGAGAAGTATTGCTCATTGCAGGTGGCGTACTGGCTTTCATTGTATTTGCATGCTGATGAATAGGACTATATGGACGTTGAAACACACTCTGTGGAGAAATTTTGGTCGGAACAAAATTGTCTTTAAAAGGACTTGGCGGCACTGAGCTATGAGTAACTTGCTTTGTTGTTGCTGTCAATAAACTTGAATTTGCTGTTGAAGCATTAAACACAGAATAATCAAAATACTGCTGAAAATTATCAGAGCTTCCTGATCGCTTTATTTCAGATATCGTCGCCGCTCGAGTTGTCTGTGCTCGAAATAGACTCTGCTGAAGTTGATTGTATTTAGAAAAGTCATTTGCACTTTTGCTACGTGCGGAATTAATCCCATGGGAAATCCAATCGCTGGTATTTTGTCGTTCAAAGAATGCTAAGTCCAATTCAACGTCAGGTATGGATAGAGGATTGTCCGAGAATGAAATTAGGTCCTGTTGTTGTTGCATGGAGGTGGATGGAGTAGTAAACGAAGATCCTGAAATAAGGGAATAGTTTTAGAAATAACATAACAGTGAAATATAACAATAGAGATCAATTTCAAATCAAACTCTAATAATCGAAGAGAATAACATCGTAGGCTACAGGAAGGCATAGCTGTAGGACCAGGAGGACAGGTGAGAAAATTAATCTACCGAATACACAAAAGTATAAGATTGATAAGATTCAAATCGGAAAATAGGTGGGACAGGAAAAATTGAATTTTTCAAGAGTAATGGCAAACCATATATCCTCGTATATAAGCCGACCCCCAGAAAATAAACCTGAAACGATGAATTCATAATTTGTTTTATATAAGCCGACCCTAGATTTAATAGTGTAAACACACGAGCGATCATGTGTATGACAACCAATCACAACTGTTATCACTGTTATAGCATACCAAGCACTGCTTCCCGTGAGTATATGTATATGAAAGCTCTTATTGTGAAAACTTGGTTCGGGTTGTAGCTGTTGAAATTAAATTAGCATGTCATTTCATTTGAGTGTGATCAGAGTGATGCATGTATAATTCGACCCCTTAGCTTGGTAACATTTTTTTTTAATTTTAAACTCTGCTTATATACGAGAATATACGATATTTGCTCTTGTAGAGAATTACATGTGATATCAGTTTTTTATATATATATATTTTTCACTTTGACTTTGAACTACTAATAACTTTTTAACTTCACTTCAAACAAGGCTTCAGAAATGAAGTGATGATGTATGAAGGCAATGTCAATATCGCTATAGTAATTTTGACGGCTGATATTTGAGGATATTTCAGAAGTGAAGAATAAATTTGAGTACAAAAGAGAGGTCTGACCGTCTGATGCAGAGTATTATTATGTTTCAAATATTCTTAACATTGCCAAAAACGATTATTAAGGACCATCAGTATTTTAACATGGATTTTCTGTAAAAAAACTACACCCCCCTGTTGGGGTGAATCCTTCGGCCCATATGACACAGAAAGAAATGCTTGAAATACGCGCTTAGTTTACCTATATAGGTATGTCTCATGCCGTTTAGTTAGGGTACAGTATTATGTTAGCGCAAGGCTGAATTTTATTTTAAAAAAATAAATAAAAATTTGTGTTGTATTTTCATATCACATTCGTGTTTGACGTTATTTAAGCAGATAAGACGTTTACTTCCTGTGACCCAAAAAAAAGATATATTGATTATTTATAAATAGCTAGGTATTTGTGAGTAAAAACATTTAAATGTAATATTTTAATAATAAAATGTATCAGGGTCACTTTATACAGTTATAGGAGAATAGAATCAATGACAACCGTTTATTGTTTATAGCAAATGAAAAATGAAAGTTTGTCTAATAGAAAGGGAATTTATTCTTAAGTAAGGGTTCGGATAATTATAAAAACCTTGAAACATTATTTAAAGCTAGGAAATCAAAAAGAAAAACTAACCATTCGATTGTCCATTTACAACACCAGGCGATCGAACGTTTTTCCTCTTCATTTTTTCCATTTCCAACGCCTCCATCGATAAAGCTGTATTTAAATCCATTTTGAAGACCCTTGCACTTAAAAAATGTCTATTCCATCAAAAAAAAATCATATTCGGTCCAAAAACCTGACAAACACGACTGAAGTCGCGAAAAACAACAACTTTCCAAAAGTTCACAAAACATCATCAAAACAAACAAAATCCGGAAATAAGCTAATGCTAGATTTATCAGTGAAACTTGGGACTCGATATCCGGAGCACGACATGGTATGTTACTCTTCGCGACAGGCTCCCAGCGGTAAAAGTATATTCAGCATGAATCCTACAGCTTTACTAAAAATCTCATGTTATGAAAAAAATTTTTAACACTAGATAAATATCCAATTAGAATCAATGCACAATTCACTAATGGTCGATGGTATCCCAACGATTGGGTATTTGTCGCTCGCTCGATGAAACTGTAAAGTGTAAACAATGACATTATTGCTGTAAATAAATACTAACTAATACGGTACCGGTTAAACAGATGACGTTTCCTGTACAGAACTACTTACTAAGTCACGCCATATATATATATATATATATAGGTTATTATTTTTATTGAACAAGAAATAGACTATATAATGGATCGTTTTGATATTATGTTTTTCTTGTTCTTGCTTGTTCTTCTTGGTATTTTTTCTTCTTCTTATCGTCACGAAAAAAATCGCCTTTCTGTCCAACTACTGGACCAATTTTAGTGGTTAAAGATTTTTTTTTTTTCGCTAGAAAGCTACTAGTTTTAGGTGTCCATATATCAGAGCATGTAAACAAGCGCTTTGCATTAATTGCAAGGAAATACAAAACATATACATCTGTAACCTATTGTCAATGGGGTGCAAAAATGTATTTCGAAAATATATTCGAACTCTCACAAATTCACTATTTTCACGCCAAAATCAGCCCCATATTATGAAAATTAATTCAGGACCAACGACGTTCTGGACACAGTATTTCAAAAAAATGAATTCATCGGCGCACAGTATAACCTTAGCAATGTCATACTAGGTATGTGTGAGTGTGTTAGTATCGCAACTTAAATATCTTACCTTTTTGCCAGGCTGTTACATTAATTTATATGTAACAATGTACTTTCAAGATACTTATTGTAGTTTTTTTATCTTCAACTTTGTTATTATTCATATTTAAGACATGGTTCCGTACAATGTGCCGAGGGGCTTTAGTTCTCTATCTCTCACCAATGATGATATATCCTCTAATCTCACTAAACATCAGTTTTTGAAGAAATTAATGGATTTGCCTATTCATCTTTTAAGATTCTACCGGCAATTGAACTGTATTATCTTCAATACTATATTACACTACAATTACGGAATATTCACTTCTCGTCTCCCACTTTTATTACAGATTTATTTTTTATACTTGGCATTAAAATAACAATTAGACAGAAAGCATAATTTACATGTACATTTTGTTGATAAAAACAATTTCAAAAAAAAAATTAATCTCGTATTGGAAAATTGAGCGTCTGAATTCAGGACAATTTCAAGCAGATTGTCAGATTTTACTGCAAATGAAATTAACCCTTTTTTTTCCGCGTTATCCGGACTCATCTTTATAATTCGCAGCCATACATTTGGGCACGAAGAACAATTCTTCTTCGCCACCATCTGGGGTATATTCGGACAAATCTAGCGCTTATGGATGGGTTGAGTAATCTTTTCTCCACTCCGTTTCCACTGGTGCTTCCGCGAATTTCAGCTCTCCTAGCTGTGTCATCCCACTGGTTCTCAGCCGGAATATGCCATTCCCAATCTCGTTCATTGTTGCTCGAGGAAACCATGTATGACCTAACGTATCCTGTGCGACGCACACCTTGAACTGCTATAGCTGTAATGTTAAGTACTTTTCCAAAGTCCACCTGAAACCTAATATGTAGATGCAAAGGGAATGTAAAGAACATAAAATTGGATGAAAATTTGAAAATATCGAGCCCAATGTGACAAAACAACAATTAAACCGCAAAACTAACTGAAAAATACAAGTAATATTTATTTATGAGCTTAATTATCATAAAAAATTACCTGATGAATTGCCTACTCGAATTCACTTTTTGTGAAGAACTTAACGTTCACTTCACTTACCATAAAGGTGCTTTTCCTAGTTTATATTTTCTAGGAATCCACGCTGATTCACCGTTTATTATTCCCCATATTCCATCACCCAATGTTGGACACATCTCAAATATAGTTCCTGTTCTTGCACACGTTGCTGATACAAACATATTGTTTGGCCGCTTTTTCTTTAAAAAAAACATGTCAATATAGGGAATGGAATTTCCAGCGCGTACTTAACTATAACATACCTGAATAAGAGGATTGTCACATTGAAGAATTTGATCTTTCTCAAGACTGTTCACGAACCCTTGTTGTTCATAGCATTCATTACCACTCAACGCAAGAATAAAGTGCCATACTGTATTCGTTACCTTCCAAAAAGAAAATTTATGAAAGCGCAAAAGCTCTTGCTTATACAACAATTGGAATTATCAATAGATTTACGGCTGCTTACAAACTGACAAAGCGAAAAATAAACGTTTTATGGGCAGGAAATGTAATGTAAAATAACTATCACGTTATTGCAATTTGGAATACTAACTATTTTAATCCTGCTATTCAATTGATCCAGTTGCAGAAAAATTGAAATCACATTTTTCAATGCCATTTGTATATTTCTGAATCCACGGATATTTTCAAGCTGAATTTTAGTTGACTGCGATTAAATTTTCTAATTCTTTTTTCCAATGCGATGTATTCTCATTTCTCCAATATGCTACCGTCGTATGTAATATACTATAAGATCTTTATATAAAATGCACAAAATTTCACATTTGAGTGTGTAATTTTCATGCATTTTACTATATCGCCAAACCTTGGCTAAATTTTGTAATTTATCTTCATCAACTTGCGTCAGATCATCACAGTTCTGGTGGTAACATCGTTTCATGTATCCACGTAGTTTCCCTGAAACAAACAATAGAGCAATCCTCAAATATATGGACACGAAGGCTAAAACGAAGAAGTAACAAATCTTTTACAGTAGGCCTGCTGGTATTCTGACTACCAGATCAGATGCTATCACGTAACCACGCCACACATTTTGATACTAATTCATCAAACAAAACTTCGAAGTGAAAAACGAACCCCAAAGAGCCCACATACGTTTTTGAAAAAAATATAAAAGTAATTCTAGCAACAACAACAAGCATCGGATCATATACAAGCAGACTTTGGAGCCTGGAAACTTTTACCCTACTCTTACTCTAAATTACAAGTTGTTCATTTTTTTTTTTTTGCAAATATCATGTATAAAATTCTCAGTTACCGGTATCACTTATTGTCAAACACGGTAATTCCATTTCAGTAACTTTGTGGAATGGCGCACAGTCGTCCGCATGAAGGTATGTCAGCATCTCGGATGATCTTGTATTTTTTGCTGTGAATGAAACAAACAAAAATAATCCACCAAACAAATTATTATCTTAAAATGACACAACTGCTGTACAATAACTATACCTGATGTGTCCAACAAAAGATGTAAAAAATCTTCGCTCTTCAAGCTAGAAGACGATTCCATTTTGGTATTAAAAACTACCCTAAAAGCGCTTGTAGAGGACTTCACCATCCACCAATCTTGTGAAAACGATCTTTTCTTGACAGCTTTCCAAAAATTAACGCCATGAGGAATGTAAGATTGCAGAGCGTTTCTAGTTTCACGCGGCCATTGATCATTTCTTGAACTAATAGATGCAAAAATTAATTGTAACCTTTAGCGAGCTATGTTTTACAACTAAGATGTAGCAACTATTTCATAGTTAAAAATCAAACCTCAAGAAGTATGTGCGCCATCTTGGTGCACATACATCGGGAGCGCATAAAAATCTACAGCATAGTGTATAGCCTATGCATCATATCAATCATATCTGCAAAAACGCTCCACATAAGCAAATACTTGGATTACCGACATCGTATGGCAACATTTTGCCAAGAATATTTCAGAAACTACTTAACAGCTTATTTTTTAATAGGTACGCCAATCCGAAGGGTGGGCCTCCTGTGACCTAACTTGTCGCGAATCTGTTTTTATGGCTGTATAAAATACTTGCACACAATTCTAGATCTAACATGCACCCTTTATACCTATCCACAACATTCAACAGTGAATCCAAGTTGATAGCCATCTTCAACTTCCCGCCAAATTGTTTCAAGTGAGGCATTAATCTATGACAAACAAAATTTGAAGATCCAACGTTATGAACAAATACTCCTTGAGGAAGGCAAGAATCTGCAGATGTTGATGTACGATATACACCGTTTTCTTTGAAGTCAGTGATGACAAAAATTACGGTATAATTCCTGAAATTTAGAAGATAATTTTATGCTAATCACGTGAAATTAACGAAGTAATAAAATTGACAAAGCGATTCACTTTTACAACACAAAAACGTTCTTCAGACGTTTTGTCTTAAAATTTTGACTGCAAGATTGACGTTAGGTATACTAGCATACCAACCTGTTACATGCGCTCCCACCCAATAACCTGGCCAGTTCTAGAAGCGCCACCACACCCGAACCATTGTCATTGACTCCTGGTGTGCCGGTTGAAGCTGTGTCATAATGCGCCATCACAACAATTATTTCATCATGTTTTGTTTTATACGAAATGCCCGGAGAAGTGCCGATAATATTGAAACCCCTAGTCGTTGTCCGGATGAACTACAAATATGAACGCAAATAAATTGTGATATTGTGAACACAATTTCAGTGGCCTTGAATTCTGGTAAATTGCAATATCGATAGAGAGCAGGTTAAATTTTTCTTAATATGGACGTACCGATCTGAAATTCTCTGGAGCTCTATCTTCTTCATGTATCTCAGACACATCTATTTCTTGTTTTTCAACTTTGGGGGTAAATTCCTCCATTAGTTTTGTGAGTTCGTGCCTGGTGTGGAACTGGAACAAAATAATGAAGGCCAGGTAACATCCAATTTATCATCATGAAAAATGAATTATTCCATATATTATTACCTTTATAGACGGACCAGCAGAATGATGGCGTGCTTTGGACAAATGCTTTTCAAGCCACATCTTCATATTTTCTGTTGATACTTGAGTAACATTGTCATGAGATTTTGGCGTATGGGTAGGTACGACTGCGTTACATCTGAAATTCATGTTTTCGTTATTTGGTTCCCAATTTGAATTGCAAACAGCTAATCTATGTTGAAGCTTGACTACAAAACCCACATACAAATGCTGTATCTTATTCCCAAAATGTCACGCACACGTAAAGGCTTATTTTTGCAATAGAGTTACCTAGTTCATTGTATGTCCAATGCTTCTCACTACTGTACAGCCAACATAATCGTACTTACTGCTTTAATGTACGATATAATTTGTCAGTGACAGAATTATTGTGATAACCTGGAATAGTTATGATAGGCCAAGATTATATATATAACATTTGATATGATTTACATAATTATCCCGGGGTAGAGGAAAGTCGATAAGACGACTTAATCATATGGCGAACCACGGCCCTTTGTCCGGTAACCAGCCCGTGATTAGTATGGGATTAATTAGCCAGTTATTAGTTTCAGATGGATGGATTTCATGTGTGCCAATAGGTATGTTATAGTTTCCACATTGCCTTGATATTTCGTATATGAACGATATCTGCAGAACTTGAATGCTGATTTAGGCGACTATTTGAACTTAGCACCATGTGTTAAACTCGGCACATGAAATAATTTAATTATTTGAATTATTTAATATGATTAGACACCGCCATTATACAACGTGACGAACCTGTGTGTCGAGCAGCAGTATTTACAGAGTTTTGTACCGAATGGAGTATCAAAGCAACTATCTTCACAGCCAGGTTCACAAGCTCGTGTGAAATCTCTTAGGCCAATTGAAGCATGATTGAGAACAGTGATCTGAAAGCCATTGGTAATAAGTTTTATCGTTTCCAACATATTTATAGTTCAATAAGCAAGGATTGAACACCCATCTGTCCACTGCAAAGATGCGGATAATGGGAAAATACACCAGGTCTCATTTTGTATCACTTATAGCGGAATAAAATGTGCAATGTTGGATTGCCTCTTGACAAGATAAATAGTATACCAGATAATATCGGCCGTGTGGAATGAATATGAGTGATACGTCAACGACGACACAGACAAGCTTGAACATTTCAGCCGAACACGTGAGATTTGCTCGCATAACAATGTTCGATTTCCAGCAATGTGTTACTTATTTTCCGACCCCAATCCAGTTCACTGTAGTATCCTAATTCCCAACAAATTATTACAAATCTCACCGAACAACTTCCGGGGCATTCAACCAATGAGACAAACCTCGCATGTTCGCTGTTTACCGTTTCCCAGCATGATGACGTCACATCGCTGACGGAAGTGCCGTGACATTCAAAGCATGATATGGAATCGCAGGTCTGCAAAGCTAAATTATAAACAATATTCATATTTTCAAATAACCATATTTCTTTTTTATCTAAAGATTGCCACTACTGATGGATGGGAATAGTTCAAAGCCACAGTAATGTACTTACCAGCGTATACTGAAAAACTGAAGATTAAAAAATTCCACGTTGTCGTCATTACAAGCCCAATAATAAAACTTACACGAAACTAGAATATATAAAAATTAATAAAATAATAAGAAGAATAGAGTTTTTGGAAAAAGACAATTGGTCGACCTATTACGCTTTTCATTCTTAAAATGGAACACTGATATTTTTGATAACCTTTTTAATGAGAATACTGATCTTCGCCTCTGCTTTTAAACTTATACACTTCTATCTTTTATAGAATCGATGTTCATATCTACAATTGTGGATTCTCGCTAGCTAGGTGATACCTCAAGTAAATTTAACATCCAGACGCTTCTCTGTTTTAGATTTCAACGAAACAACGATTACTGTACTATTGATACCTCTCATTACAATTGTACTCAGGCTTATACTTGTAGAAAGTGGCATTTTGTAAATAGCTCTGAATCAAACAAATGATCGAGTCTCTATTAGACGTTAGCTTGCACCTCAACAATTTAGGAACAGGATGTTACTTCTTCTAAATGGCATTATTGCGTCATAATATAGTGTCTGCAAATAAAATTTGTCGGTATGAAATTAAATTACCAGTTTGTTGATAAGCACACAATGCACGGCAATACAGGAAGATGATGAGAGAAATCAGTGCAAACAAAAAGTCTGGCAGAGTAAGTATGAAATGCTTGGAATATTTATTACAAGTTTTAACACAAGGGTGATCAAAAACATCACATTATTGTGGAACTCCTGAAATTGGATCACTATAACTATATCACTATATTTACGCTATAACCATAATACCAATAAATCGGCTCAGGTCGTTCAATTTATAATTTCATCTATTCAGCATTACCGTTTGTTTTCCATTTTAACCTGTAATGCAAACTGTTCTTTCTACACTCTAAGCGAGCGGTGGGCAAGGTTTTTGAACCAGGGGCCAAATATTTCGCCTAATTAGACTGGAGGGTCACGTAAGTGTGACGTAAATATTTACAGTGTTACAAAAGCAACAGTGGAAAACAATAAGCCTCGTGCCAAAACTAAAATTAACAGCAATCTCAACAAATTCCTCGAGTTATTTTTAGCTGAAACATCAAAATTTGGTTCAGTTCGGTTGTGGCAGCATCAAACGGGCCAGATTGAATTACACAACGGGCCGGATTTGGCCCGCGCGCCGTACTTTGCCCAGGTCTGCTCTAAGCTGACCAAAAGTACAAACTGACCAATATCAAATGACTGCCTTACAACATCCACATAGGTAGTTGTTTTCATGAGCCGTTAAAAATAAAAACATATATATATTATAGCATAAAGCAGTCGTCTTCTGGAATTCTGAGATGTATTTTATGACAGAGTTGCTGTCGAATAAACAAAGCGAAAACTTTTGTAATACGCTTCCGTTAGGCCACTGTTGAATGATGCTAAACGATGTATTTCATTTTTTTTTATAAAGAGAAGATGTCGCTCATCCCCAAGAAACTCATTCGGTGAGATTCAACCTGGAATTGTCAACAGAATGAAAGATGTGTATATGGACAGTTGTGAAGAGTTAAATAAGGTTATTTCGCCTATTTACCTCACTATTATTGTATATAACATTTCAACTGCTTGCAAAATGGTATTTACCTTATAAGATGTTTTTTATTGCTATTCCTCACCCATATAGTTTAACTATTACTCGGTTTCTCCAGTATTTTGTCATTTCCTTTTATTTCTCGAATGTGTGTAAGAATATTTAGTGACAAAAGTACACTATTTTTACAGAGGCTCCATGATGTCAAAACTAGTAGAGAAGCGAAAACTACACCACCGAATAGGAAACTGTCAAAGGTACAAAAAATGAGATCAGAAAAGAAGAACCGTGACACAGATGACAGCGAAAACGAAGAAGAAATGCAAAAACGATTCAATGCACTTAGTGTAAGACTAAACAAATCGTTAAACTCTGGAAAGGTAAGCAGAGAATCATATCGCGAAGACAAAACTTGTGCTAATGACGTCACAGCAGCTTACCCTTCGATGGGTATCTCAATCACAAACCCTCAGGACGTAAACCCGGATTTAGGTCATGCTTCGTCATCGTCGAGTAGCATTTCTAGCGCGATGAATTTATACAGGAGTTCGGATGAACATCAAAGACTCTTGGTGGGCAGTTATTCTAAAAACGCTAAAATTTCAGCTAGAGTTCCTTACCCACATTTGGATCTTGGTCATGGCGTCGACAACGTGAGGATAGGAGGAAGAATGCGGTCGACCAACCATCAATTGTTTGATCAAGTTGATCCGTTCATCCGCGAAAGACAGTTTGATTTTTATTCAGCTGACCATCACCGTGGTCGCGAAGTTGTTATTGGAAGACCAAAGCTGACAACCGTCAATTACAAAGTTGGCGATTCTATCAGATTCACTTTACATGACCCGTATATGGAAAATGCTGCTTATGCCAGAAACAAGATCAGAACTGAGCCATACAGTCGAAACATTGAGCAGAATATGTCTTGCAAACATTGTCACTGTTGTCAGTTTAGAAACATGGGTGAATCAAGAAACAATAGGGCTGTTTCTACGAGTATTTCACCATCTCTTTCATCGAATAAAATGGAGAAAGATGTAAAAGAGAAAGAAGATAAACGCAAGACAATTATTGACAGAAATGATGGTAATCTTTAATATGCTTGGAATAGCAATCAATTTTCTTTCGCTAGGTAGCCATTTACCCAATTAAAACTCGATAAAAATAGCATTTTTCGTTTATAAAACGTGTTGGCAATGTTTTGTTTGCATCCTCGTTTTTTTCCCACAGATGTTCCAGGTACAAGTTGGCGAGATGAAGAACGCGAGTCCAGTCATTGGAACGCGTTCGCGCAGCTGAAGAAAGCAACAATGCAATGGAGAGAAATAGCAAAACGATACGTTCCCAAATCCAACGTTGAATTCTGGGATACATTGAAACATGATATCCCGGAACCAAGGTAACATCTCGAGTTCACAGCTTCAGCACAATGTCGCATAACAGAGAGATGGGTATGCCCACCAGTGTAACAAACGGGTAATGACGCGTTCGAAATTTTAAAAAGCATTATGATGTCAGATTTTGTGTAATGTCAACGGGTTCTTAATCTTGTTCTGGGTGATGCCTTTCTGTAGAATGCTGTTCCCATGGTTACCCCATTGGACGGTGCACGGAGTCGTACTTTTGTATGTAATGAGTGTTTTTCTTGTTGCTGTAATTTTTTTTTTTTAATGTTTGACTTTTATTTTTTTCTGATAACTGTTAGACTTAACCACAGGTGTCGCTGCTTAATAAGTATTGGTTTTCCGCGCCCCTTCACCCTGTAACACCATTTTTAAGTTTGTTTTTCATTTTGTTTGTGCAACGTGTATTTACATTTTACATGATGATAAAAAAATAAAATACTGATTACTGATTGTAAATTGCTACTTTAATGACCCCTGGTCTAGGCTATAAATATTTCAATAACCATTCTTACAAACCTTTAAAATTCAGTACAGCTGATACTATCACGCCAAAACTGGTAGAAGAAGAATTGGCAACAGAAGTAAGAAGACAATCAACAAAAGCTGTCTTGAAACCAAAATCTTTAAAAGTGAAACGATCACAGTCTTCCAGAAGCAAGGATTATTCAAATTCTCAGTCAACTGGGGCAACATCATCTGAGGAAACTGAGTCTGAGAGCGCCGAAGAAGACAGTGAAGACGAAGAAGAAGATTCGTCATCAGAGGAAGAATCTTCTGGAAGTGGTGATTACCGTGTTTCCCCAAAAATAACACAAAGCCTGAAAATAAAACCTACATTGAATTTGAAAAATGATTTTAATATAAGCCCTCCCCTCAAAATAAGACCTATTGCTAGTCGATAGCGCGAAATTTTATTTTGACCTAGTCGATAGCAAGAAATCTCTCCTACACGTTTTAAATGATTAATAATCTTTAATAATGTTTAGCAGTTTTTTAAAATAGAAACGTGTTATTTGCAAGTAAATGGTTATCGATTTTCATATTTTGTATATTTGAAAATCTCGTAATCCTCTACTTTGTAATGTTGTTCTTGATAAATGAAAATAAAATACACACCCCATAAATAACCCCTAATGTTTTTATCGAGGAAACACGGTATATCAAAATTTCTTTATACATTATTGCCTATAGTTTTACAGATAGAAGTTTTACAATATTAGAATAATACTAAATCCATAGTGTCCTAATGTGCTTGCTGTTCGAAAATACAGCCTTTCGAATTCGATGAGATGATTGTTCCTTTTTTATCGGCAAAGCTGCGTGCAAATTTACATGTTTAATATAGAAATTAATATTTGTTCATTCCATTGCACGTTACAATTAATCAGCTGTCAACGTATTGTAAAAAATGAAGGCGGTATATATATATAATTGGTTATATGTTTACGTGCGTCATGGACTTTGAAATCAACATGCTATTAGATTTTTTTAAATTTTTATTGTTTCATCAGCGCCATTTCCATCTGGAGCGACGAGGGCATGGGACAGACCAGAATCAAGTATCTGGACATATTCATCTCAGCTACGGACGAAAGAATGGGACATGAATGATGTATATAAATTATCAGAAAATAATTCCAATATTTCATTTTATTCCGAAGATAATAAAGATATAATATATGTTTAACATAGAAATTGTTTGACAGAGTGTAGTACTAATTTGGCTTAAGTGGTGAAAGAGAATAGTTAAGGAATCACCCAAATGGAGCCGTATCCAGGGCCAGATTTACTATTATAGGCAAGCGGCCTCGCTGTTCAATTTCGAACAAATATTTATTTTTAGGTCGTTTTCAAATTTCGTAGGTTTGATCCAAATCCTCTATTCTATATAATTTTATTGTAGTTTTCGACGATATGCGGAATACGATTCTAAAAGCTTCTGTCATTACTATCCTTGAAAGGATATTAATTCAATTCGTTTATTACTCCAGACCGCTGTGGTTCATATAAAAACAACACAACAAATAAACATAAGCAAAACAAAAATAACACAATAAATACATAAAATACCTGATATATCAGATTCACAGTAAGTCTCAAAAAATATTTATAATATAGCAATTTAAGAGACCAAAAGTGAGGTATAGAATCTAAGATAGCCCGTAACAAACAGTATCTGGGAATCAAATAATGATTGCAATAGAATGTTATTGGAGTTCCTGCATCTCGTCATGAACAACCACAGATTTTTTCTATGGAGTGCTTCGAAAGAGGGAATGTTCCCAGATACCATTTTGTGACGGACACTCTCAAATCTAGAGAAGCAGTGAATTACGCGATAAGCATTATTATATGAAATTTTAACTTTTTTTATAATTATTGAAAAACAACCAGAGCTGGCAGTTATAAATGCTACAACAATACGTCCTAAATAAAAGATTTTTCACAGTAGTGGAACAATTGACAAATTTTTTCAAAATTGTATGGGCTATAAAATAAATTAATTTATACTGACGTTTCAAGTCAAGGTCATCTCTAAGATCACTGGATAGGAAAACACCAAGATATTTAGTGGACGAAACATAAGTCAGTACATGTTTAAGCAGTAAACATATATATATATACAAACTAAAGTAAAAGTAGAAACGGGACAAACGAATTTCGTCTTCTTTTGTTCGGACGGTTATGTAACGAAAGTGTGTGTTGATGTGGCACTATTACGTGGCGAAGTTGTTTTATATATATATATATTTTTATTGTATCGGTACGTTTCATGCACGATGAAAATAAATATATGAATTGTGAGCATTCATTCTCTGTGAGGCAATTGGTCGACATTATCGTACATTCTTCGTGTCGTTCATTGCCGTGCCAATTTTACATCAGTCATTACCTAAAGATTGTCTCTCGGATTTGTTACATTTGCGATTAAACTATAAATATATACATTAAACTGCTTTCAAACTCATTTCCAGATTTTAGTTGAATTTCGTTTGTTTACGTTTGTCGTAGTGTAAAATTGTATATGCAGAGGGAATTAGACTGGACTTAAAATTATTACTGGTTGCTTGCTTGATACCAATTACCGAATCAAATATACCGTATATGCCGTTCTTCATGCATGTATGAACCGTTTTCACAATTACTTTATCACTTGTTCTAAGTCGCTTGCAGACTTCCGTTGATATGTTATTAGCTGTTGTTTTCCACTAAAATTCTTTGGTGTAACATCAATGTCCTGACAACTCAATTCATAGGATGTTGAGTTGCCATATCAGTAACTAGATGGTCATCAATGAGAAAAAAAAATAATTCAACAATGGTTAGGTGATGGACCTTGTGGGAGCCGAACCCTGATCTATAACCTACAATGCTAATGTATGCTTCAACCATTCTTCATTTTTGTGTATTACGGAGTTTTCAAAACAAATATGTGTCTATATTTATAGCCAAACACGAAAATACTCGGTAAATCTAGTCAACCCTCCAAGTAGTAGCCTTTTTATCGTTTACATATACCAACTGTGAACCTAAATAGTGAAAATGGAGGAGCTGACTCTGGTGAACGTATGGTCGTATCGCTCTCCCCAGTCGAATAACATTGTGTATTTTTTATTCTTGTAGTGATTGTATTCTGGTTATATATTTCTGCCAGACACAATCGTTGCAATTCCTGAGTTTGCGTTTAGATAAGATAAGTTTAATTCGACTCCCTAATCAGCAAAAAGGCGATAAAATGATTGATAAAAACAAATTAATAAAAAATGATTATGAAATCAGGAGTGTAAACAAAACCCTGGACAAGGTTCAAAACGTACAGAATATAAGATGCAAGGTATCGTATTGCTAAAAAGAAGTGGTATGTGTTCACTCACCTAAAACTATTGAATCAAATCATTCACACTCGCACATACACACACAACCATATGGCATTGATAAAATTAAAAAAAAAGAGAAGCTAGAAATAAATAAATTATATGGTAACCAAAAAAATAAACACGTAAAAAAAAAATTAGAATACAAGAGAGCTATGCTCAAATATATGGACACGTAGAAACACATAATTTTGATGAAGTCATAGCTCAAAAAAAAGTAATAGCCTTCTGGAGGAAATTCTACTTTTAACCACTGAAAATAGTAAAGCAATTGGTCCAGTAATCAAAGAGAAAAGCGATTTCTTCAAAACATGTCAAAGAACAACAACATGATCGCTATGTCCACTGCGTGTCCAAAAAGATGAAATGCGGCTGGATTGGGTACTGTGTACCCATTATTTTATCCACTTTTGTGTTTACAGAACAAATTAATCATTAAACCAACGACTAGTTGAGACATGGCGCAATTTTCAGTTGCGGGTTAGTTGGGAAATTTATATTGGCAAGTTGGCGATTACGAAACCACTTGCCAGCAGAAGGGAGAAATTCACCTGTGTTAGTGTTTCCTTGTCCTATACAACCCATATAATACAAGAAACTGTAATTTGCATTTAATTTTGACCGGTCGATATTGAAGGAAGTATTTGTTGTTTTCGTTGCTGATGTCGTGCGCAGCTGATGCACCTATAAGGTGGATCGCATGTCTGCCAGTGTGAACCATTCTGCATTTCCGTGTAGGCATGTGACTAACAACGTTTTGTTAGTAGAGGTGCAGCAGCATACCGTACAGGCATAAGTCATATATAAGACAATAATGTACGGTATTAACCAGAAGGGATTGCTGCTTGTTACTGTATAACTAGGTTACGGTATCGGTGCACTCTGACACCAAGAACTCGAACTTATTTACCAACCACACCTGCAAACTCTGGACTATTCAGCTATTGGCAACGTCTGCAGTGCTTGTACATGCATTCAAACGGCATCGTTATTTTCCCATTTTATTCTGTCATCTTAATCTCATCAGATGAGATAGTTTTTCAAATGCACATATCTGTATATTGGAAATAACGCCTAAAAACATTGAGCACGATTTTAGAACAATATTATTGTATTTTAAGCAAGCGCTTCATTAGGATAGGGAAAATTTTTTTAATGATAACTTTCAGTAACAATCGATACTCCTAATTGCATCTCATGCAGTCATTAATTACAAATATACTGGTACAGCGTTATGAATTTAACGAAAATAGTTTTGGGTGCTTCTGCTGCTGTTTCATGTGCTGTGGTTGGATATCAGGGCAAAAAGCTAGTGGCTGCACAAAAAGAATATGAATTGGTTCATGTCCAAGTTATATTCCGTCATGGAGCAAGGACACCATTACATATACCATCGTACATTCCTACAGTTCGATACGATGAAAGCTTACTAGAACATGCTTCAAAAACCATCATCCCTTACGAATTAGTAACCTTCTCCTCCAGTCTTCCTGAGAGTCCATTTGAAGAATCGTACAAGCACAGGGGTAAATTGGAAGGGGGCTGTTTGCCTGGTCAATTGACCCATGTCGGAGCAGACCAGATGTATCAATTGGGACTGTATCTTAAAAAACGTTACTTGGAAGATGAAAGGTTTTTGTCTTCATCATACTCAGGCCTGTTAAACGAAATTTACACCAGATCTACAAATATTGAAAGGACAATTATGTCTGCAAGATGTGTTCTGGCAGGTAAATACGATTCTGTACATTTGGATATAAAATTGTGTGGCACCTAAGTAATCTTTGTTAAAAGTCTTTCTCCATTTATGATTTATTGTATTTGAACAACTCAAAAGTATCTAAAAATATAAGACTGACAAACTTGGTTTCATTGAAAAATACAGATAATATAGTTTAATAGTCAATTCAATGTTGTAGAATTATAATGATTTTATTGCTTTTTATGAATGTTCTATTCCATGACTCTCTTGCATTGTTGAAACACTTTTAAAATTTCGGGGTAAAAAATAGCTTTGATTTTTTTATGTGCTTTTAGTTAAAAAAAAACAAGCCAGTTTTGGCTTCAAAGTGGCGAGTGGAGCGGTCAAGCCCACCTTTTCATACATCCAACTTGGTCCAATCTGGAATCAGGAGACTCTTATTATAATCAGCTTCGCGATATCCTTCAACGAATTTATTTTTTACATTTCACACCTGTTTACTAATTTGGTATTTAATTTGGCAATTTTCTACAAAAATATTAATACAAGGAGGCAGGTTTTTTTTCATATATTTGTGTAGTTATCTTACGTTTCTTACTTTTTCTATTGTAATTTTATATAATGTCGTTGTGGTTGTATGTATACATACATGCACAGAGTTGCAACTTCGCACACATGTATGCACAATTTAATATCTTTTGTTTTTTTATCACAGGGATATTTTCAGGTAAATCTGGAAGCGATGTTCTTCAAATTCATGTCACACCACCAAATGAAGAAATAATGTATCCAAATTATTATACCTGTAACTATCTGCGTCTTCTAACAAGATGGGCATGGTCACATCCTGAGAAAATACCTGGCGTATCTGCAATCGTAAGTTGGAAATGGCTATGTCTTTTCGTATAATTTTTCAATTATCTAGCATTGGAAAACTTTTGAAAATAAAATAACACAACTGTTATATAAGGCAGTATTAGAACCTTGTTACATATGAGTTATAAATCTTAATTGTGAAATGACCCTTTGTCAAGTTTTTGACAAAAAAAACATCAAATTTTATATTTATTTTGTGGGTGATTTTTGCAACCATCTTCCGAATATTTAGAATTTTGGAAGACTATACAGGACAGGCCTAATCCCTAGTTTGATGATGAACATGGCATTTTTACATGAATTTTGTTTTGTTTGAAGCAAGAAATGGTTCGAAAACCTCTAAGTATTTCCGATAAAGACACAGCTGATTTGGTATCGATAAGAGACAATATTGCTGTTGAAGAAGCTCATAACAAGCCATCTGTTGGAAGCAAACTTAGCTTGAAAACACGAGATATAGTGGAAGAAGGTGCAATGAAAATCATGCATACTGCGTTTGTTGGAGAAGAGAATGTCAGGTAGACGATTTAAATATTGGCCTCATCCACCAATATTAGGTAACGATGTGTTGTTTTTATTGATTTCCCACATTGTTCACATGGTATGGCTTTTCTTATCAATTACAAACAATGGCTTTTATGTGATGACTGATAAAATCTGAAACTACGGCCTTTTGCAACTGTGTAACTTTCGATTGTATTCCTATTCATGGGTAATTTGAAACGCTTGTAAGCTTGAAACGGTATGGTAACTTATTTAGAGTGGAAAATTCTTATTTAATTACTTTCCAACAGGGAAAGATCTTTGAAGCTGGCGATTGGGCCTTTTGTCGATATAATAATGAACAACATAGAAGTGAAATCAGAGGGCAAAGACTCATCGAATATCAAAATGCATCTTTATTCTGGCCACGACACAACCTTGATACCCCTTCTTAGTGCTCTTGGTATAAGGTATGCTCATTGGCCACCATATGCTGGAAATGTTATCATCGAGTTGCATCGCAAAAATAATGCTTCAGGAAAAGAACCAAGTTACTTTGTTCGGATGCTGTACAATGGAGAAGAACAGCCTGTTGGACGATGGATGAAGTATATGTGTCCCCTGAATGAATTTCAGGATTCTGTGGCCGATATTCGTATTGCTTATGAAGACTATTCAAAGCAATGCATGAAAACTGAAGATTGAAGTTGATCAAATTATCATGTTTTCTCAACTTATTCATAGCATAATAATTTATTTGTTATATTGGGTTATATGCAATTATTTCTTGCTGATTTATCCACTTTATCTATATACCCATGTCACTGCGATTCATACTTTTAAGGAACAAATTAATTTTTGCTTAATTTACACACTCTCACCATACCCGTTGTAATTTGCTCATTTTATGAAACAAAATATACGAATTTATCGACAATAACATGTTGTGGTACATCATCATATATTATATACAATCAGCACAAGATTTGCCTGAGATTTTGCTTTTTTTCAGTTTGCACACTAGGATGTCGTTTAAACTGCGGGACGGAAAAGAAAGATTCATAAGTTGGCCTAATCGTGGGTCTTGGCCGCTGTTTCAAATATGTAGGGCATTAGATGTTATGCTTTGCCCAGGGGTGGGCACGGTTTTTGGATCAGGGGCCAAATTTTGTCCACCTAGACTGGCGGGCCATGTAAGTATGACCTAAAATGTTACATTTTATGAACAATGTTTACAGTGTTACAAAAGCGATAGTGGAAAACGATAAGCCTCGTGCCAAAACTAAATTTAACCGCAATCTCAACAAATTCCTTGGGCAATTTTCAACTAAAACATCAACATTTGGTTAAGGCAGCATCAGACGGGCGGATTTGGCCCGCGAGCCGTCTGAACTACGATGATTGAACCTCCTACATGACGAAGTGTATACGTATACGTACCACTTCTGTTGACAACGCCGTTAAATTTGCAGGTTTTAAACATCCAGGCATCGTTTTTTAGAACACATTAATTAAATGCGATATAATTCGTTTATCGACTGTTATTAGTCTGTTCGTTAATTAGTTTGTTTAATATACATGGTGCATGAAATAAGTGAATGTAATTCGATAAAAGCAAAACCAGGTTTTGCCGTTTTGTTTGCTCTTCTGTAATCATTTATAGGTGTTTTACGTTTCTGTTTGTATTTCCAGTTCATGGAGTCAAATAAATTGATACCCATAGGCTACCTATATAACACGATAATACTTTCATCTTTCAAATGAAAAGTTGACGAGAACAGTGCGACGGTGCGGGTGGCATTATTGAGATTCATTCAATCATGGAGACCGATGCCCAACGCCGTCAGATGAGTTCATATTTATTCACTCATGGCCGCCGGCCGAAAGATATATACGTGTATGCATGGGGTGAGCGTATTTAGTGGAACAGCCTTTCTGAAAAGGTTTTAATTACCAGAACCGATTTATTATAGGAATTTTTAATTTACATTCTGCAGTATCAGTTACTGAACTTTATTCCCATCTTGTATGCAAGATAGCTAACCCTCTGCGATGTAAAAATCAATACGCGCCAGGGCATCAGAAATTTTGTATTAAATTTATTTGTATTTACTTTGAAAAAATTAGGGTATAGACGTAAAAACTTCGCTCTGACTGAATTTCTAATTGGGAAATGTATAAACTTATGTATAAACTTACCGATTGTGCCATCTCGAGCTCGTTGGGGATCTGGCAACACTGTTGAGTTGAGTCGACGCACCTCATTCTTTCTAGTTTTCCCGCCTTTGGGTCCGCAGTGCGCACAGGCGTATGGGTCGGCGTGGCGATGGTTATGGTTTGTTTTATCTCTTGACTGCTTCATGTTGAAGTTAGTGGTTTGTTGAAAGTGTAGCGGTTGGGCATAACATTCCCTAATACTCCGACTTTAAATTATGGCTGACACAACAGCAGATGACGTGAAAGAGAGCTTGTCTATATTTGATATAAACGTTCAAGATGATGGCACATTAGAAAAAAGTGAGTGAAATTCTAAAGAATATTTTTTGTTTAATTGCCATCAACGACGCTGTTTAATGTGTTTATCGATTTTCTTATCCTAGTGCTTGAAATTGCAACATTGTTCAACTATGATGCAGATTCAATCGTAAATGAATGGCTGGCTTATCAAAGTACACATGGATGTAAGCTGAGCATTGAAAATCTTGACAAACTTCTTCTTGAGGTATTACTTTGTTAAGTAGGCTATGTTTATTGTAGTCTGGTAGTCTGCTTGCTGTTGAGTTATTTACCATGTAAATATCTATATTACTGTATTATGGTCAAGATTAAATTTTAGATTAGGTTAATAAAACTGCATTAATTTGTACCGTACTCACTCAAAAGACTGCGAGCAGCATTGTAGATTGTTGAATTCATTGTCCCATTGTTTTCTTTATCTGAATCAATTTTAAAAAAAATTTATCGAACGAGTAATTTTTCAGTAATATATTTTGTTTCTCAAGAAAACAGTTCAGAAAAATCGTTCAAAGAACAGTTCGACACCTGCATCCAATCGGAAACGAAACCCTTTGGTATTATACACTGCGGATAATATTGCGTCATTGCACGATAGTTCAATTTCAGAAGATGTAGAGGAAAATGATTTATTAAGCGCTTACGGAACTCCAAATCGAGTCAATACTAAACAAAAACGAACTCAAAATATGACACCAAAATCTGCCATTAAGACGAAGCCTACTGATAATATTTCAGCGAGTCCAGCTGTATTTTCGCCCTCTTCATTCTCACCTAGGTAAATATTCTCAAATCTGTATCATACAAAGAATGCTTTGTACTGGTGATCAGACAAGGCTTTAAACTTATACCCACCTCAAATCTGAGTCATATAAAATATGACCCTGCCTCTCGATTTTGATTGGCAAAAATTTTGACTCACGACTTTGAATACGATAAAACATCGATAAAAACATGTTAAATTAATTCTGCAGCCTTTGATATGACAAATATCAATTTTCGATCACACTTTATCTCTGACATGGGCAAACGCCGGCCCGCAGGCTAGATTTGGTCCGTTGGATAATTCAATCCGGCCCACCTGATGCTGTCACAACCTAACTAAAACCAAATTTTGATATTTTAGCTAAAAAATAACTCGAGGAATTTGTTGAGACTGTGATTAAATTTAGTTTTGGCACAAGACCTATTATTGTTTTCCACTTTTGCTTTTGTAACACTGTAAATATTAGTCATAAAAATGTAACTTTTGTACATCACACTTACATGGCACGCCAGTCTAGGTGGGCAAAATTTTTGACCCCTGCCCCCAAAACCTTCCTCCACCCCGATTTATCTACTAACAAGACTCCTTTCTTTCAGCCCCCTTACAGCATAGGTTAAGACCGACACTTTCTGGCATGGTAATTGAATTCCTATCTAATTCACTTGCATCATCGGCACAGATTCAATACTATTCTAATCAATCAAAATTTATTGATCCCTATACTGAGGAGTCAAAATATACTAAAAGTTGTCTCCTTATTTGATCCCTGTAAAAATTTGAGTTGTCTTTTCAAATACTATATTTTTTTTATTCCAGCTCGACATCTTCACAGAAGTATACGAGTCGGAGTAACTCCGGTAGTGTTTTGGATAGTTTTGGTCCGAGTCACGAGTCCATAACAAACCATAGAGGAACGGGAAGACAAATATCCATTGTCGTGGACAAAAAACGCAATATTAGTAAACCATATAAATATATGTTCCAGAAATTGGTGGATTTGTCTGATGGTAAATATATTTACAGAATTCATTGTAACCTATTTGAGTGAGTTCATTTTTCAACTCTGTGGTTTGAAGCATAAGTCGCAAGTGAGCATCTTATATGAACAAATTATTTTGGTCGTTTATGAGTGAGAGTGCATTACTCAGCTTGGAGATTAGTTTTCTTACATTTGTGTGATTGTCAGTAAATTTGCTCAAAGATGAGTCTTCTTCACTTCTGAGTGAGTGCCTGTAACTTTGCCCACAAATGGGTCTTCTCTTTTTCTGAGTGAGTGCGCTTGAGTAAATTGCCTTGTATATAAATGATCCACTTTTAAGTCAGCTCAGTCAGCCTCAATACATGCTGGTAGGGCGTTACAAAAGTGGTAGAATAATGCGGATGGCTCTCAAATGATTTGTCTCGGAAATTGTTTTAATTTTTGAGATGATTCAATGTCAACCTCAACGTTCGTGAGAGTGGACTGACTTTTCGTATGTATTGTCTGTCCTAGTCTGACAACGTACACAACATAGATGCTCTGTGTTTATATAGTTTGTAAAATATTATTTTCAGAACGTATTTGGAACAGCAATTTATTTGCCTTTTTTGCCTTCTCTGCAATGCCACAGTATTTATACTCTGATAATTCTATTTTTCTATTTATATAATTTCAGTTTTGGACGAAATGATAGAAAATGCTGCTGAAACTATACAATCGCAAAACTCTTCTGAAATAGATGTTTATTCACCATGTTCAATGCATTCCCAAGAACCTGTTCATATCGTCGGAAGAATCTGCTGCGATTCTAGCGGAGGTGTAGGAAGGTTGAATTCGCAGTCTGTTTTATTACAAGGTGATAGAGGAATTTCAAGCGGAAAATATGTTGCGATTGATTTGAGCCAACTAGAAGAGTTTTCTTTATTTCCAGGACAGGCAAGTGTTTTTTCTTATATTTGTTCTGAGGGAGTCACTAGACAAGCTCTGATGTGGAGTCTACTCGCAAGGAAAAATTGTGCTGCCCGCGGAGAAGTGCCAATTTTGAATGGTCTGCGGCTCGCGAAACGAGTATTTACTTTAGTTTAATCTGATACGATTGGCTTGTGTGAGGTGAACAGCGCATGTCATAAGATCGTTAACCAACTACTAGAAAGCTTATGTTAAAAAAGGTGCGGCCCGCGGTTTTACCGAGTTATCTGGCACTCCTTTATTAAAGGTTGCACACCCCTGATATATAGCATCGTAATTTATCAAATAATTTGGAAATTGATCCGATAACCTATTTACTTCGTTATATTAAATGGACAGAAAAGTTTAACCTAATGTAAGATGAATTAATTGCATCGCGAATACAGATTTGTCAAAATCCCTTATCACAGTATTTTTTATTCGTATTATCCAATCGCCGATCGTGAATTTGGAGTTGGTGTTTTGTAGTATGTGGCCTTGTTTGATCGAGACCTATATTTTTCATTATTTTCAAATTTTTTATTGATGTTTCATAGGATTTCATCTTCTTATTTACAGATTGTAGCTATGCAAGGCATCAACCCAACTGGTAAAAAATTCATTGCAACGAAAGTGTATACAGCCAATTGTGATGAAACTAATAAAAGAAATATTGACATAAGCGCATCAGGTAATAAATTATTCAACTTAATTGTATTCCAAGTTCATTATTAAAATTAATGAAGTTTTTTCATACTTATTTCAGACCCATTGAGTCTCCTCATTGCAGCTGGACCATTCACAACTTCAGATTGTCTAAGCTATGAACCTTTGCATGATTTGATCACCATAGTGAAAAACACCAGACCGGATGTTACAGTCATTGTAAGTGCAATAATATTCTTTGAACATGAATATTTGTTTTATTTAACAAAATTCATTCAAATGTGACTTATGATTGGATAACGAAGAAAATATAGACTTGACTCTTATTCCCAGTCATTAAGTTGAAAAAAATTTAGTTAGGTTTCTTACCCTTTACTCAAATTCTGGTACGCCCCAAAAAAATTTAGTAGTCAGTAACTTTGAATTTCTCGAATGAGACTGAAATGCGCTTTGTATCTCTAGTAGCAATTAATGAAAAGTGGTCAAAACTAGCTTTCCAATGATACATGGATGAAGTTTCTCGCACGTTTGAACAGAGAGATGTGACATTTTTTGTGAGGGGTGTCAAAAGTCACTCATGGGCCATGGCCAACTGAAGCGAAGTTCAATTTATTAGATTAGTGAGAAAATGTTTTCTTTTATATGTTTAGATTGGACCTATCCTGGACAACAAACATGATCATGTGAAGTCAGGAAAAATCATGAATCCATTTGAAGAAGTTCTTGAAGATAAATTAAATTACATAGTCGAAGCTATTGGAGGGTAGGTGTTCCTGTTATATGAGAGACATCATTTTCGCCATAATCCTTGGTTTCATTAACTCAACTAAACCCTATTATGTGTATGATATCCTTTGAATTGGACCAGTGTTCTCAAATTTTTTTTGTTCTGGGACACCTGCGCTTTTTATTTTGTTAGCGATACACCGTGAAACTTAGAAGGTAAGACGAGTGGGTGGTTTTTAAAAAATTTAGCCTATGATGAAGTAAAGAGTTTGCTGTAAACTTGACAAATAAAAAGTTAGGCCAGCGGGTAACGATATTGACCGGTAACGAAAACTTTCCAGTAAACATGCTTTCCAGACTGGCACGAGGTCTCCCGAAGCTCACGTAACAGCAGTGTTTTGTGAGAAATGCTGAATTAAAATGTTGGTGTTCTTTATTTTCAGACTTACTCATTTGGTTATTGCATCATCGATAAAAGAAGCAAGCTGTCATCCTGTTTACCCACAGCCCCCATATTTGTCATCCCCAAACGTCAGGGTAAGTTTAATATTTAGTTAAGTTGGCCATTGCCTATGGCAGTGGTCGTCAAACTTTTTGAAACGCGACCCCATTTCAAAAATTATGACGTATGATAAGCTTGTGACCCCAAGGTTTGACAAGGAAAAAAAATTCAAACCACTAAAAACTAATCACAGTAAAATCTCGTTCCCTAAATTTTTTCTCTAGATTTCGTGTTAGAATTTAATTATTGCCGTCAAACAATAGCCTTATTATAAAAGATATCACTGTAATTCAGAATATCCAAACTTGCTATGTAGTGCTAGTTAGCTCAGTGTAGAATGCACTCAATAGAATAATGGAAAATAAAACAAGAATACAACGCGGGACATTCGGCGACCCCCGAAATATTCAAGGCGACCCAACTTGGGGTCGCGACCCACACTTTGGTGACGCTGGCCTATGGCAATGTAAAGCAATCAAATTGTTATTGAACAAACTTCCAATTTATCCATTCAGAACGTTCATTTTGTTGGTGATCCATCTATATTAGAAGTTAATGGATTAAAAATTGTGTTAACATCCAATGATATATTATTCCATCTTGGAGGTGAAGAAATATCAAAAGTAAAGGGACAATCTGATAGACTTGGTAGACTAGCTGGACATATTCTTCAACAAAAAAGGTATTTTGTGATTATTTATTGACAGCGGAATAAATAATGATTGTCTTGATTGCACAGTGATCTTTGAAGGTTGTTAAATATATTTCAACTTCTTTTGTCACTGTGATATTAAGGTGATTATAAGCAACTTTACGTCTATGATGGTTATGTTGTGAGGCAGTAGAATAGTAGTGTTTGTGCTGATAATTAGACGTCAAAAATAGCGAAAACCATAAAAAGAAAGTACATGGTGTCCAAGAGGTCCCTTTACAATTTCAATTTTGTTATGAGGTCAGTTCTCAAAATATCTCAACCAGGTTTGTTGTTTTAAAATCAGTAATTGTTTAAGTATTTTTAGTTCATTTCTCTTTGCAAAATTAAAAACTTCATGGACACCTTATATATTAGGTTTCTTATAGAATGGGAATACGATTCTAAAGAATTTTTGATGTTTGAAAACGAAAAATAAATTTATGTATACTTTATGTATCTGATCCATACTTGAATAAGGTATAATTTGATTTTTTCTGCAAAATGGAGCTTTTAGCAGCAAATGTGGTAATATTGAACTAATGAAAAGATGTATTCCATTCACTACTTCTGTAGTGACATATTTGGTTTATGACATCCCTTCTGGCATAACAATGTGGTCGCTTAGGTAATTTAATTAATTTGGCTAATTTTGCCTTGAACATTGAAATATTTATTAAACACAGTTTGCTTAAATCATAAAATATTTTGCTTTTTTAGTTTTTATCCGTTATACCCATCAAATGAATCCGTTAATGTTGATTGGATTGCTGCAGAACAATATGGTGCTATACCTCAACGTCCAGACATTGCTATACTGCCATCAGATTTAAAATGTTTCATTAAAAACATAGACGGATGTGTTTGTATAAATCCTGGTAGACTTGCTAAAGGAATGACTGGCGGAACTTTCACACAGATTTTAGTAGAACCTGCTGAATCTGATGGCAAAGATTGTGCTGTCGAAATTAGTGCTCAAATCGTTAAAATTTAATGTTGTTTTTTTACTGTTGTGTATTTTTCAATCATTAGACATAATAAAAGCTTTTTTATAAAACTCTTGGTATTGATTGGGAGATATGTTATTTGTTGGGTTTATTGTGAGGAAAACTCTCATTTGAACCACTTCTGGCATTTCTCAGATTGGTTAGAGTAGGGGTGTTCAACCTTTAATACAGGAGTGCCAGATACAAGTAACTGGGTGAATGGATGAAATGACCCAAACGGATTGGAATTAATCACACGTACCAGATTAAATGACCTAAAAACTCGTTTCGTGGGCACATGGTTCGAAATTGGCACTCCTCCTTGGGCTACAAAATTTTTCCCTGTGGGTCGCATTTGTACACCCCTGGGTTGGAGGGGGTACTTCATCGATGGGATGTACTGCAAAAAATAGGGTTGATACACTAAACTTAGAACTGTGCCACAAATATAACATTTGTAGAAATATAGTAGTAAGTTGTCTTGGCCTAGTGTTTCTCAAGATGTGGTTGTATGCTTCGTGTAATAGATTTTAAGCCCATCCTGTCTGGAAAAATGTGGCATAAACGACTCTTATTGTAGGTCCAATGGGATGGTCATAAGTTGAAACGCTTATAGGGATGTAGTTTTTGCCTATTAATTTGGGCTTTTTGCATCATGAATTGATAGACTGGCCATCCATCTACCTGGCATTCCAAATTGTGAATATACTTTTACCTTGTTGAAGTTTAGGCCTACTCAACAGAGCAATTGCCTTTTCTATCACTAACAGAAGTACTAGGTTTTGGCTGTTTTCTGCAGTGTTACTCAACTTTTTGCTGACTGACATTTTGCCTACCAATGCAGAATTCGTAGATGAATGCTTATTGCTTATTCTGAATTCTAACTTGTATGATCTGGGCTGGCACAAAATCACATATCAAGCTGCTGTACAAATAGAAGTATATTTGAAAGAGAAGTTCAATAAATCATGAAAAAACCAGGCAGTGTCAGCAGAGGGATGGCGTTACCTCACTGTAAGGCTAAAAATGAGTGAATAAAAAACAAACACCATTTGAATAAAAGTAATTAAAATTCTAGGCTCTGTGAGAGGTTTGTGACGAGAAAATTAGAACAGAAACACAGACAATCGTTTAATAAAAATTCTAAGCCACGGGATGCCTGCACTTTTAATTTTCCATAAGACGCGTAAGATTTTACAGTTCACCAAGTGGCAAGGTACAGTAGTTTCAGTCAGCCCAAAGTGGTCAGTCAGATGGAACGGAAAAGAGATATATTTCACAAAAACGGAAGCATTTCAAGAGAACAAATGATCATAATCGTTAACAATCTCTTTGTGCCCTTTAGGCTAGAATTCTGTAAGAACCAGACTGTTTATAAAAACCTTAAAACAAGGACTTATTAAGTGATCAAGTCTTGATGTAATCAAAAGACTAGATCTATTAATCTAGTCTTTTGCGTCACCAATTCCATCTGCATTAATTGCAAACATGGCTTCTGATTCTGGCAAGCAAGGAGAATCATAAACTTTACAAATCCTTGTCTCTCCTCTTCCTTTACGTAGATAGAGTCTTGTAGTTGAAGCATGAGCCATTATGTTCCCTCCGATTGGCTTCTTTGGATCCGCGCAGAACATGGCTCCGCCATCTACTTGAGCTACAACTTGGTTTGTGATTACCACGGCAACACCAAACTAAGAAATATATGAAAGTTATGTAGACTAAAAAGTTAACAAAAATGTAAAATAAACTTAAAAGATAGTTTTTGCAAGTTATGTAGCGAGTTTAAGTAAGACACTAGTAATTCTAAATTTTTCAGTTTAATGCTTTTTTATTAACAGCAGGTATATTCAAAATAGAATAAATAACTAACTGCAAATAAATAAATAATAAAGTCTAAACTGGCAGAAATTCATTTTTTATTAACAGCAGGTATATTCAAAATAGAATAAATAACTAACTGCAAATAAATAAATAATAAAGTCTAAACTGGCAGAAATTCATTTTTTATTAACAGCAGGTATATTCAAAATAGAATAAATAACTAACTGCAAATAAATAAATAATAAAGTCTAAACTGGCAGAAATTCATGATAATGCAAGATACATATTCTGTCTCTGCTTTTGTGTTCATGTATGTGCAATACTTGGTATAAAAATTCCTTTTTTTCACATTGTATTTTGATACGACTGAAAAATGACTTTTCCAAATATTTCTCAAATCCTCAATTATTATTTCTTGAAAAATTTACGACATCGAATGTAACCAATTTCGAATTGATTCAAATATTCAATTTATTATGAACATCCCTACGTAACGTAAGTTTAAAGCTACTTGGTGAATCCCATAACATCTCACCTCATCAGCAAGTCGTAGTAATGTCCGTAAAAATCTGGCAAGATGCATTTGCCGAGCAGATAATTCACCTCGACCACTGTAATCAGTTCTATACAAAGCTGTTGCACTGTCTATAATAAGTAGAGCATACCTGGAACACGCACAAAAAGAAATTTATTTAGGACATGAAGCCTAGAGAAAACTAGAATCTATACTTGGTACTAGGTGAGATTCATTATCAAATCGCATATAGTGATCTTTCTATTCCAATATACCCTGGTACTGAGATTTAAATAGAATGGGGCTCCCGAAGTATGCGAACCAAGATGGCGGACATCGGAATGTAATATGTGTACTAGGTTAGGGTTAGGCAATAATTTCAGCTATAAATAGTACGGGAGGCTCTTGGCTAGTCTTCGAACTGATAATAGGACTAAAATAAGGAAAATTGGGAAATAATTATCGCCTAACCCTAACCTGTTACCCATGTTACGTTCCGATGTCCGCCATCTTGGTTCGCATACTTCGGGAGCACCAATAGAATTTTATTATTAATCATAGTTGAGGGGAAAGCCGATAAGATGATTTAATCATACATAATTCATAGATTAAAATCATGGTCTCCATCCGATTAGCAGTATGAGAATATTTAACCAGATGCATGGACTTCACTGAGAAGACCGGGAGACAAGCAATCTCTTTGTTTAGAACTATTTCCCACAGGCTTTGAATTTGCAAATTCATGAAGGGCAACTGGCAGCGCAATGGACTCGAATTTTTAACACTTCGCACAATGCACAAATCATTTGAACAAATTCAGTTTTATTAATCATTAGCCTCCTATAATAACATAACAATCATTATTTATGATAACACACCTCGTTTCTGACATCATAGCAGCAGCTTGAACCAAAAGTTGTGTTTGATGATCACTGTTGTATGCTCTTGCATAGGCAACATTATCAAGTACATCTGAACCACTTAATCCATATCTTTCAGCTACAGCAAGCAATCGTTCAGGTCGAAAAGTACCTTCAGTATCAATGTACATACATTTACCTTCGCCACCTCCTTGGTCAACAGGTAACTGATAAAAGCAAGAGAGAGATGTTTAAATATATGGACATAAATTTCCAATAACTTATTTATGTGATCTATGCAGTCTAAGTGAATTCGCTAAATGAAGGACAGACGTAAAGTAGGCGCTCACATTTGACAAAATAAAAAGGGTGTTTCTGTGAATTAAAATAAAACATGTTGCCAACATTGACTCAATGAAGCAATCCATATGTCAACTTCATGTCCAAAAATTAAAAAAACTTCAACAAAAATATTCTTTTACATGTTGAGAGAGGTGCGATATTTTGGATAAACAATTGGATCTATATTCAGCAAGGGTATACGGATACCCTTAAACCTAGTTAAACTAGGTGAATATGACAAAAGCAGACTTCAGAAAAAGCTAAGCAAAACTTGTGATGGAAATAAGTATAACAACATTCTGCTTTTTTCGCTATCATTTTTAAAATTAGAATACACTAACTTATTCATTAATAATTTTGTTACATGGAAATAAATACCGTTTATTTGTTACGGTAGATAAAAGTGCGACTAAAATGAGAAAAATGGAATAAAACTGTACTAAAAACTCACGCTAGTTGAATTGTGTATTACTATTAAATAAAATACAACTTATTATAGTTCAAAAAGACAATAAAAAAAAATAGTTCCCGCAATATAGATTCAGACCTGGCATGTAACAGCAATTGTGTGACAAATTTGTGATTTTCCTGTTCTGAACTCTCCGAAGAGTTCTGTTATTGATCCAGTCTCAATTCCACCTAAAAATAAGAAACACTTTTTAGACGAGACTCACGACTTCGTGTCAAACTAATCTCTGTACAAAAGTTTTTTTGATATACCTTGTAATAACTTATCTAATTCTTTTGATCCCGTAGTTACTTGGATTATTTCCGATCTCCTTTGATGAAATTCTGTCGCAGTTGTAAAACCCATCGGCACTAATTTCGCTGCTTCAAGCTAAAAAAATATATAAAGATTTCATGATCAGGGTCAAAGAAGATCTTGTAATGTATCATGTAGAATACAGTAGGGCACAATTCTCTGAAATAAGGGCGTCTTGATCGACGGCAGATGTACCAGAATGCGCCATGCTTGTTTCAATAATAATTCAAATAAATGTCACATGATCAAAATTGCGTTTTTTTGAGATTTAGATTGAAGATTATGCTTCCTTCCAATACCGGTTTGCCAATTTGTGCCAGTATGGAGGCCCATACTGTCTCATGAAGAAGTGGTCTGCATTCACTCTTATGATTAATGTCTTTCAATGTGGGAGCTATTCTTGAAATCAGAGAACTGTGCCGTAATGTTACATGATAGACTTATTGATAAAAATAAACAAATAAAATCGTTGGCATATTATTGAATTTTTAATTTTTCAACGTCAAAGTAATTTTCACATAAATATTTGACACATAATAGAATTTCAATGTCCTTTAATAGATTTTACCGTCAATTTCTCAGCTTTTGCTTCACTTATTCCTTTTACTCCAACAAGTTCCTTCTTCGTAGCATAAGCAAGTGCTTCCACAGAATGGTATCCATTTTCTGAAAGTTTCCTTATATCACTTGCACTTATTCCACATTGCTAAAAAAGATAGGTTTTGCATAATGTGGTATGCGGTTGTGTAATCTCAATTTATGATAGGCCTATTTTGATTTTATACAGTACCGGTATCAAGATATTGCAGTATTGATAAAATCATAATTCAAGAATTGATTTTAAAAAACGATTTTCTCAGACATTTCTGATATAGAATAGTTGAAAAGTCAAAAGCCATTATTTTTCTTGTTGAATTTGCTATTTAACCTATTTCTGTATTTTTTCTCTCGAATTCATGGCTTTCCAGTATTTGCGAATAGAACAATATGACAATTTCATGATTTACGGTAATTAACTCAACTTACCTCTAATTTTGCGATGGGAAGTGGGCCCATAACCTCCTCTTCTTCGGCATCTTCCTGTTGTTCGTGTACTTGCATTGCCATATTTACTGAAATAAGGGTTTGCGAACGACGCCTGCGATATCTCAGAATACAGTAATACTAAAATAAGACGAGACGATCTACCAAAACAAATCTCGCGCTTTAGATCCACTGAACCATAACAATTATTTTGACCAAACTTTTCGCTCCCAATAAAAATGTAGCATAAACTTAAGAAAAAAACAACGTTTAAATATAACTTGTACAGTCCTTCAGTTTGATTTAACATAGACAGACCAAATAGTCACACAAAAAAAAACGGTGTTCATATGTGTAAGTTTTTTTTACAATTGTGAGATATTTCGAGTATTGTTAAAGTAATGTAGCAAACGCGGTAGGGAAGTACTTTTCTTTTATATAAAATATTCATAAACCATTATAATAATGAACAACATAACATATTTTTCATGTTTTTTTATTAGCGGTTTTCAACAAAACGTCTTTTTTACGTAATTCATAATAAATTTTCCCCGAGGATGCCAGTATCAAGAACTATGACCAATGACATTAAACAACATGATGCGCAACTTCGGCATTTTTGGCCGAAGATTGTATCCGATAGCACGCTCCAATGCACATACTTGACGATACGAAAACGAGCAGATGTGTGCTGCTTTCAAGACATAGCACGAATGGTGTTCGTTCCTGCTTTGAAATTTTTTGTCGATTTTAATGATATTTTGGAAAATTGAAGGTAAAAAGAAATCGAAAAAAAGGTAGGGTAAATACTATTGTTGTATATCACACCCGGTCATAGCACTGTTAAGTACATGTGGGAAAGCCAGCTTTTGTCAAATACTACGAAGTTGTTAATTCAGTACAGTACGTTGTTGCACATTTGCCGAAATTGCATATTTACTTACCCCTTATGGTTTCAAAAAGTTCATGCACCTTCATTTCGATTTTTTTAATCAGTGAGAATATATACTCATTGCTGTAACATACCATTGCTCATTCACTTTTATTTGCGTATTGAATCAAAGGGTTAACAAATTCATCTGACATTTCACTCATACCGGTCTATATTGTATAGTCTAATCTCTCATGTATTTGGAGCCACGAATGCTTGTAATTTTCTGACTAAACCCCTTTATTAGTTGGTTTATATACCAAATTCAGTAAAGCATTTTTACATTGAACATGAGATATTGGATTTATAAGCTTTTCCATTCTAAATCATATAGACTGCTTTATTTATTCTTAACGGAAATTAATAAATCTCCTCTCTTTCTTCAGATGTGAAAGTTGTGGACACACCTGTCTAAGAATTGTGAGATTCCTGCAGCACAAGGGGCAATAGCTAAAATAGTAAGTATATAAATCAAGAAATTAAGTCGACATAAAGCAAAACTTTCAACTATTCGTCTAACCTCAATTTCCTATTATTTATTCACAGGACAACTGTAGTAGAAGGGGAGATATCAGAAGTCTGGCGACATATCAGTGACAGTGTGATTCCAAGAAATATAATTAGAATACTCCATAAATGTTTGCAATAGAAGAACAACCTATGGAGGCATGCAAAGACATTTGACTCTCCGGTAGAGTTGTGTATGGCCCCTACATCCTGCAAGGCTTGAAGAAAATAACTAAAAATTCCAAAGCGTAAGATTGCATAAGCGGTCTTATTTTTTTTATCAAAATGTAACAGATTTTTCAAACTTTTTTAAGTGAAATTGAATATTCACACAGAAAACAATTTACTCAAAGTAGTTTTGAAAAATGATTTTTTTTTGTTCACATTTTGACCCATTTAAGAATACACATCAAGCTAGCAAAAGAATACTTGAATAAAACACTTGAGTGATTGAATTAAACGCAAAGTACATGAAGAAGGTGACATTTTCGAAAAAAAATGGGAGTTTCAATATTTCTGCATTTCACAAAATTCTCATCTCAAAAGCATTGTTTAATTTGTCATATTTCCATCGGTACTATGAAAAAACACAATAAGCTCAGCAGTCAATATGACAAATTCGAAGACCAACTTCGGACAGAAAATTTCCATGTGTTTTTATATTAATATAATTATACAACGACTTAGTTACTAAAAATCAATATCAATAATAATTCAAGCAATTCTATGCCATGCAATGGGGAGCGAAATGTCTTGTCGAAAAAATCTGTCATTTGTTTTTTTACTGATCTATACATGAAATGATAAAAGTAACTTTTTTGCGTTACTGGAATTAATTAAACATTCGCAAAGATCCAGATTAACCCATGATTATGTGACCTCGTTAGTTACAGTTGTTATTATAAAATCATTTCAGCCTGGCCTTAGTATGCTGGTGACACAAAAAGATGCCAAACGTCAGGACAAATGTAATTAAAAAAACATTGAGTTTATACTGTAGTATTTTTGTTAATTTTAAGTACAAATATTTAGATTAAGTCATTTTTTTGATGTATGTAATATTCTTTCCTTATCCAAAGCATGTTCAAAAATGATTTTGATGGCTGTACATAGAATTTTATGATTTTTTGTAAGAAATACAGTGCAATAATAGTGGAATGCAAATATTAATATGTAATTGCGTTTGAAATTAAAGAAAATAATAAACCGTAATCCAACTGTTTAGTTGCATCCCAATATATGTCACAAACTAAAACTATCTTGAAAATATCTTTCAAGTATACATTATCAAAAACTGTTTGCGGCCCTTTTTACAATTTCCAACATGCAATGCGGCTCTCGAAAACCCATGAGTTTGACACCACTGATCTATTCTAGACGATTAAAGCATTGCTTTGGGAAATAATATCACTTCAATTAAATTGAAAAAAATCTCGCTATATTAAATACAAAATCGTTGCTATCATAAAGGTAAACCAATTCAGCAACTCGGAATATATTGGCCTTCACAAAGCAATGGAAGCAAAATTGAGAGTTCATGAGCTATGAACTTTTGTTCTTTTCTTTGTCTTGAACTTTTCATACTCCACAGCCCCTATTGATTTTTTTTAATTTTAATTACCATGTGATGGTCATACATATTTTTAACTTGTATTTTCTGTCATGATGTATTATCTCAATGTGTCAAACTTTTAATTAGTGTGCATATTTTGCTTCCAGATGACATAAATGTATTGTCTTGTTTATTACCTCAGCTTGGAGTATTGACAAGAAAAAGGTGCCAGTAAATTACGTAAAAATTTTTTTAACTCTCTGTTATAATCAGAATTCACAAATAATAGGAATTATACACAGCCAGCAATCAATGAGAATTATATGCGAAATCCCTCAGAATAAATTTGTGTTCTAAAATCGGAGGAAGGTAAAACATATAGTTAGTTTCCATTCACACAAGTCTTTCAAGAAGACTTGTTCGAGCCAAACTAAATGAGCATCGTCAGGTGATCGGTAAGGCTGCAAGTTAAATCAGCCCTACAACCTCCTGCATAGTAGATAATATTAATTAGTGGGCTATGAGCTAAATTCCTAAGTTTAGACACATACCTATCTACGAGGCATTATGTACCAGCAATGTTACCTACGATTAACTAAATATGTATGTCTAATAAATTCACCAACTAAAGCAAGTTCGATAGGTGCAAACTTTGTGTTATGGAATTGTATCACAGCACCGTTAAGAGAAGTATAAACAGTTTTGCTGTTTTGTATGGCACCCTCTTTAAATGAAATTTCAATGTTTAAACGCAAACATTAAAATTACTAACTTTGAACTTTGTCATTATCTGCAAAATGTCCCACACAAATCTTCACGCTATCGCGTTTGTAATCTTCTATGATAAAAAAACGTCTATGGTGTCCAGAATTACTCTTTACAGCTTGTCTGCCATTTCAGCTTTCCAAGTGAGCAAAACTTCTCAGATATAGAGATTATTTTCTTTTGTTACAGGCGCAAAAAGGCAGGTACTACACGCAAAGAAGACGCCGAGTAGAAAAAGCGAGCGGAAAACGGTCGCGAAAGGCGACGAGAAATATGTGCATTGGAGCGTATCATGAAATACAATCTTTCGCATGTAGTCTTATGGAGTGACGTCAGAGTTGCCTATCATGTTGTTTAATGTCATTGCTATGACGTACAGTTTCGATATTTATTATTTCTTGCCAGACCGTCTCGTTGTTCAGACGAGTTTCGACGCCGGAAGTTTACGTGTCCAGTTGTATTTCGCGAGATTTTTATATTGTACCAGCGTTCAGACAGCTATTACAATGTATTTTTCTTCGCAGAACAGCATGTAGTTGATAATAAAAAGATATATAAACATAGCTAATTGTTATAAATTTAGGAGCACGGAATATCTTTCGTTTTATATTACTGTGTCACTTCTTCACTCGTCATGTTCGAAATATATTTTGCCGTTGGAGTTCTTCTTACCTCGTGTTGTACAAATGTAATTTTTCTTGAACACCTGATAAAGTAAGTGTAGAACTTTTTTTAACTAGAGTTATTGAATTTTGATATTGTGTATGGTGAATTTTATGCTTGGATGAATCTGTATTTATGACTGTAGTACCGTATTCCACTATTCTGTTTGTACTTACTGTTTGAAGTTTTATAGTTTGGTCTAATCTTTCTTTTCTGTAACATTGCCTATGGCATACTTTTATATATATCACATCTTTCTGTGCTAAAGCAGTCAGAGCTTTGATTTCCCTTTGTGTTATCTGGCTGGAGTTACACAGCTTTTAACTCAAACTTTGTATTTTATTTAAAAAGGAATTCACATGAAATTTAACTTTCATTTTTCAGAGCTTCACCTGATAGTGGAAATATCCTCCTTTTTCTTCAATTTTCCTTTATTGCTATAGAAGGTTTTATTGCTAATCGGAAGTTCGGATGGGAAACTAGACATGTTCCTTTAAAGTATGTGGCTTTCTTGCTTTTCCTCTTGTGCAAGTAAAGAATAACAGAATTAAATAGGCCTATCAATAAAAAAAAAGTTATAGCTAAACTCTACTTTGTCGTCATGATTTTACTTATATGGTGTATATCCTCAAAAAAAGAAAAAAGTCTCAAGTAATTGCCTCCCATATAAAAATTTTTATATAAAAGCATTTTTTTAAACTTTAATGGCTTCATACTACTTAATCACAGTCTTATTCAGAGACATATATAGAAGCACCCCAAAAAAGAAATCAAATTTTCATTGTAACAAAAAATAATTCAATTTTTCTATTTTTAGAAACTATGTTGTCATGGTTCTACTGTTCTTCACAGCCAGTGCTACTAATAATATGGCATTAGGTTTCAATATACCAATGCCTCTTCATATGATTTTTAAATCTGTAAGTTTATTAATTATGATAAATATTACTCCTTCTACTGTTATCAAGCGAGTAGTGTGCATCATACTTACATTTCCGCCCATAAAGTTTCTGAGTTGCTAAAAGATATGTTTCTGATTCTTAGGCACTAACATATACATACATAGATTTATGAAGTTCCTTCCATTAAAAAGCAATTATTGAAACGTCTGGTCAGTTATGGCTCCATCCACTATATTATGGACAGTCTATACAATTTTTTATATTTATTTTCTCTCAGGGTTCTCTTGTAGCGAACATGTTTCTTGGTGCTTTCTTATTGAAGAGGTCGTACTCATCTCAAAAATACCTTTCAGTTGCATTTGTGTCACTGGGCATATTGATTTGCACTTATGTTACAGTAAGTCATGTTTATTAAGATTGAATTCTTGAATAATATTGCTCGACTATAATTAGCATTGATAGCAGTTACCAACTGCAGCTCTTTATTTAGATTATTGGACTTGAACATGTACAAAGCCCGGCCTGTAAATTGTTTTACTCAATGTAGTTGTTTGTCTCTGATTCTAGCAGACCAATCGCTATTTTTAATTTTCAACACTTTAAGATGGCTATCACCATACTTTTTATGAATCCTACTCAGACCTCAATACTGTCCCAAATATTGAGTATTTCTCTCTTTTTTTTGCTTCGAATATAGCCTACCTATTTTTATGTAGCGTGTATCATTCTTGTAATGACGTTATGTGTACGCTATGATTTTATTTTGTTTTTTCGATTTCTTCGTTACCATAATTTGAGATACGTAGGCTATTGGCTATTTTCAAGTTTAATGGAAATTCAAATTTTAAAATAAAGTTTTCTATAACTGAATGAAGTGTGTAGCCGACAAAATGATTGACAATCATTGGATTACATCAATTTGAATTTTTTATATACTAAACATAAATTTCATATCTTTATAAGTATTGCTAATGTTGACATTATATCTAAGAGTGTTTCAAAGGCCACCACAATGTCTAGTCATTCAACTGATGCTTCTACATTAATTGGAGTCATATTTTTGACAATTTCACTCATTGTATCTGCTGGAATGGGAATTTATCAAGAAAGTATCGCAATCAAATATGGGAAACATCCAAGAGAAACTTTGTTTTACAATGTAAGTGATACGATTACTGAGTTATTGATTAATAGTTGTTGGACATAATCTTAATTAATAATGAGGTCGGTCAAATAATGAACGAAGGTGCCAATATCTGATTGATATTTTTTATCATAATTCCTAAGAAACAAACATGCCTAGTTTGAGTTCAACAACTTTTTTGATCTTTGACAATATATGGAACACCACTGTTCGTTATTCTCAGAAGTCTACATATGGATTGTTTGCTAAATTATTGTTGTTGCTTGGGACAAAAAATGCCTTTACCACATTTTCAATAATGATGAGAAAAATTCATTTTATTTTGCTGTTTTATTCTGCTTTGTTCGACTTCCTCCATAAGTTTGACCACGGATCTTTTCAGCAAACTCTGTGATTTTAGACATTATAAATAATACCCATACTGATGTGCAACAATGGGTATATATACGATTATTGATCTCTTTCACATATTGCGGTTCATTTTGAAATGAGGCTCGTATTTTTCCAATGATAAATATTAGAGAGATCATGGGTGTATATTGTATTGCTGCTATTTCTATTATGTTTCATTAACAGAAAATAATTTATTTTTACAGCATGCTCTACCTTTACCGTTTTTCCTGTTACTCGTACCAAGCATTGCGCGGAATTTAGAAATATTCAATCAATCACCTCTGGAGCCGGTGCCATTTTTTACAAACTTTCTGAACACTGTTTCAGAGTCAGTTTTATCATTTCAAATGAATTTAGAAATTCCAATTTTGTGGCAATACGTCATCATCAATGTTGTGACGCAATACTTTTGCATTCGTTCCGTATTTTATCTCGTTACTGAATGCACTTCGCTAACTGTTACGCTGCTGATAACCTTACGTAAGTTCATATCGTTGCTGTTTTCAGTGCTGTATTTTCAGAATGATTTTACTTTTTATCATTGGATAGGGACATCGTTCGTTTTCGCTGGCAGTTTAATGTATTCAGATATTTTTAGAATAAAATCTTCTACTGTAACCATGTTTAATAACAGCAAAACATCGAAAAATGGTATAAGTAATGGGTATCACAAAAACGGTCATACAAAGGTGGATTGAATCTTGTATTAAACCAATGCCAATGATGCCTTATCTGTTCATTATGCTTATCAACACAGTTATATTTGTGTTAGAAAATTTCTACTTATGTGATTACCTAGAAATTATTATTATTTTTACTTTCTGCTCTTAACTATAATACGAAGATACCCTAATGTGGAAATAATTCTAACGAAGCAAAGCTGAAGCCATTTTATTATTTGTACATATTTTTGTTTTTAATATTATTATCATGTCATAAAGCACTGTGCTTATGCTAGTCTGCCAATGTAATTGTCTCTTTGAATTAAAAGGATTGTATATACAGTCAATTGAATTAATCAATGTATTATATGGTATATTTTATGTGATATATATTTATTGTATCATGCCTGGTTTGATAATGGCTTCCCACTAGGATGAGAAATTTATTATTATTAGCCTATGTATTCACATGGAGATAATTTAATATGTATAGTTTTCCATCTACATTTTCTTAATTTCTTTGTTAGTTAGTAACATTCTTTAAAATAATATTGCACAAGAGATATCCCCACTTTTCTGTCCACTATATAACAGGAATATCTTACCAAGGTCGGCCCTCTAGGCAAATTTAACTGACCCGCCTTGGTGGAATGTTTTATACCAGGGTATGCAACAGGTGTCCCATTTAGCCAAGCCATTTAGTGTGGCACTTCATTAAACATAAAATCCTAATCAGACGGTTTGTTTAAAAATTTGATCACATGGGTAAAAATACATGTTTTTTGTTGCTGCGTTAAATCTTGTGTTGTAGAATTTGTGTTTGGGCCAGCTGGATGTCTGATGTTGGTTATATGGCCCACTGAAAAAATGTTGCACACCCCTGTATTATACTGTCTAAGTTGTGATAATTGTTTACCACTGATTGTCAACTCCATGCTTAACTGAATGTCACCATTATTTTAGGATCATACTATATTTATAATTAATAATAATATAACTAATGCTACTTTCATAATCATATTCCAATAAAATTTGGCTAAAGCAAATTCTGTGTTTTAATCCAAATAGTCTTCAACATTTTTGTATACCTGTTACCATTGTACTGGAGACTATGCAGTGATATTTATTATGCTTTTTCCCTAATGGTATTGTACGTTGGCTAGTCCTAGCGATAAGCATAACATCTGTTAGAATTACACTCTGAATAGGCCTACTAAGTGGAGTGGATTGACAGGTTAGTATCATGAGAGTTGGTCAGCTAATAATACTTCATACTCTACCATGCAGAAGGAACAATTAACAACTGCTTAGCTATCATCTCTATTAACAGGTATAGCCAGATATTTTTAGAAGGGGTGGTTTCAGAATTTCCAATTGTCCAGGTAGCGGGTCCTCGCGTCAAATGTGGGTTTTTCTGACCCCATACATTATCCGAACAGCCTTTCTTCTCCCTAAAGATTAATATATTGCATTCTCATAAGAGGTAGCTGAAATCTGTGTCACTTTCCTATCAATTCAAGCAGACTCTTGGTAGAAGCTATGTGTATAGAGATGGATATTATTCATGTTTATGCCTTGTCTTAAGCTACCGGAGGTACTATACATCCCAGTAAAGATGTAACACCATATCAAATTAGCCATGTTTATTCATTGCATTGATAAGTGATGCACCAAGGTAGAAAAGAGCAAATTTGCACTTAGTAAACAAAGACAAAGCCATTAGCACTTGAGTGAAAATAGTACAACTTGGTTAATCAACTCATTGAGTAATCATGATCAACTAAAGCCATTCTCCTTTGGAAAACTGTTCATAACTTTTGATTTGACTTGTTGAAGAATTTTTTGCTGAGAAATTTCACCATCTAATTCATTAAAATTGACTTTGATTTTTCGAAGTTCTGCAAGATACTGGATATACATTGGCCATACATGATATTCAAATATGTTAGGAGTATCCGATGGCTCATATTCTCTCGTCCTGAAATGATAAGATAACCCTATAATTTAGAGAAAGGATGTGCAACCTGTAATAATACAGGAAGGCCAGATACAAATGACTAAGTGAAACCGCAGGCCACACCTTCGAACTTTTGGTTATTGATCTTAAAGGAATTGGAATTACTCGCACATACTATATTATCCTAAATTAAAAACTCGTTGTTTACTAGAGATGCTTACTAGAAAGGGAAGAATAAAAAGTTTCCAAGTAGGCATAATTAGCGGGAAATATATTGAAAAAGCTCAGGAACCAATGGGTTATTCTAATCTATTCCATGACGTCTCCTATGACGGAAAACAATATTTAATTAAATATTGTTTGGTTGGAATCGAATCAAGTACAACTTATACTTACAATCTACGTTTTTTCGCTTCCTCCTTTGTTAGTGTGAAAACAAATCTCATATTGAATAATGAATTCAATTCCCTGAAATATAACAAATTAGTTATTTAGTAGAAGCTATTCATTGATAGATAATCGGAACTTTATGCAGGAATTCGACCATAGCTGTATTGCTTGAGAGACCAATTTAAAAAATTATCGAAAATTTTTTATGTTGCGAAATAGCAGAAAACTCAGGCCCATAAAATATAAGGCTCTTGCATGGGTGAATTTCGGCCACCTGTTAAAATTGCTTAATCAACTTACTCGATTAGTTTCTGTTAGAAATTTGGACTTTAATATTGCTATTGAACGTGTCAAATTCGAGCCAATACCAACTTTATCTTCTGTAATCATATGGGTGAGCAGGTGACGTTAAAGAGTTCTATATTTTTCAAATAATTGAAATGACCATTACCTGTGATTGAATATCAATATTCCTTCAATAATTAGAACAGATGATTTTTCAGTGTTTTTCATTTTTTCAATAATATTTTTGACATCTTTGACCATTGTGTCCATGTCAAACGCAATCATTTCTACGAAGAAATTGGACAATCGTATATGAATGGTAAATTTAAAACTGCTAATTACTGTTTGTATAGCAAAATAAAAACATCAAATTTTCCAACGGATAACAGTCGTCGCATATATTGTTTCGAAGCAAAATAGACATATTATTCTGAATATTTAAAAGCGTAATATTTCACAAAATAGTATTCTAGGATAAAGCGTTTGGTTATGAATATTTAATAGCTTGTAAAACTAGTGTTTTTCGCAGAAAAATTATTTGTATATTCTTTTGTCTACTAACCATCCCATCTTCCAAATTCGCCTGATTCATGCAACGGCACATCTTTCTCTTCCTAAAAAATAAAATCGTCGGCAAGTCTGATCAATATGCTAAATTATGTGTGGCTCTTACTGTATCTGTGTGTGATAGGTGAGGGCGTACGCCATCAATTTATCAGATATTAGATTACTTCCTGGTTTGAAAAGTAATGTATATTATTTTTCATAGGTGAAACTACAGGAAACTAGGTTCAGCATTTCAATACTAAAGGATTTACATATTTATCCAGAGGGAGAGGAAAGTCGATAAGACGACTTAACTATATGGGAACCACGGCCTCTCGTCCGGTTACCATTCCATGTCGGGTATGGGATTACATGATTACGGTATTTGTTTTCGGAAGCATTGACTTGATGGTGGAGGAAGCTGTAACAGACCAGCGGTTACGTGAACCACCCCACGGTGGCGAGGAGTCCAGCAATCCTAACGCTTAGCACGATGAGCCACACCGCCGCGCACATTTTTTCCGACACGCTTGAAGGCAGACATGTCTATTTTCCATGTACTGTATTAAACTGGTACAATTTTTGAATCTGTTTGCATTTGCATTTTATATCCACTCCGAGAAATTGTGATAGTGATCAAATGTGCTTCCTCCCAAATGCATTTGAAAACCAAATTGCATCTTCGGCCACAACATTTTTTTTTATTATGAAATGTATATTGTTGAAATATGCACAAAATAGAATACCTTAAAATATATGTCTTGATGTATTACAGTGACATTGAATTCTTCATTTTCTAAACAGCGACCGAGACCTTCTGCTAATGTTGTTTTACCTCCATTAGACACACTGTAAAACAAATAAAAAAATTCACACACACACACCATCTAAAAAAAGGCATGCCCCATGAGAGTGGACTATGCATAGAGGTATTATGTCCATATATATAAATTCATTTCTTGAAAAAATACTTGTAAAGGTCTGTGTTATTAATAAGAACCTAACATAAAATGATCAAATAAAGCATAACCGGTGTTAGCAAAACGATGTAATTTCTATATTTCAACCACCACATGCTGGCAAATTACATCGTTTTGCTAACACTGATTGTGCTTTATTTATTATCGTCGACTTGCTAGGATTTAATTGTGTTATGATAGTTTATGCGCACAAAATAAGTTCGCATTTAAATTGATTAAAAATGCACATAATATATTAAAACTTTTTCTTATCGTAAATCAATGTTCATGATTTGTTTTATAACTTTAAAAGCTTTGAGAACCTCTGCCAAAATGTAACACCAATGAGTATTAAAAATTTTGAAAGGTAGTAAATTAGTAATGATCTAATGGTATGCATATACACACAATGGCCATGGCAAATTGACCTTCAAAAACGTTTATTAAAAACCGAATATCATATAAAACTAATAACATCTATTTATTTAATATTTGAAACACTATAAACCCTTAAAATGCAATAAACTAGCATCACAAATCACAATGAATCTAAGTAAAACACCAATTAAAAATATTGATCACACAAAATATAAATGGAAATAAAAAAGCACTCAGAAAGTTGAGATTAGGTGTGATAATGTGTGTTATATAACCATAAAAAACACCTTAAAACACAATAAACTAGCATCACAATAAATCTAAGTAAAACACCAAAGCAATTTAAAATATTGATCATACAAACTATGAATTAAAATAAAATAGCACTCATAAAGTTATGATTGGGTATGATAATGTGTTTTTTTGAAAAGGCTATCTAGATTTCTCATAGTAATCCAGAATGTTTCTCAATTTTAAAATAGTCACAGCGTATAATTTTAGTAAAATAATAGAAAATTTGATTAGGGTTATAACTATTCAAATTCACATTGATTATTATACAAAACATTTTCAAAAAAGAATTTGAGCTGAATTTTATATTGGTCCAAACATGCCCCGCATAAGTTATTTTCAATAATATGATATTTCATTTGCAAATATATCATAGCAATTTTGAATCATCGAAATTACTCTTTGACCTCCACACACACACAAGAAAAGTCTCTGCCACAAAATTATCTCAATTACGAATTCTATCAAAAAATTTTGTTTTTGAATTCTCTCTCAAGTTGGAATTACAGAGTTTTAATAATAATGGAAGAAGGTATCACTAAGTTTATTACCAAGCCTTCTTTTGATTATCAAAATTAGATTTTCTGAAGTAGAATGTAACTATTATCCACCCCCACATTGCTCGTTAAAATTGACCCCTATATTTGATTACCCATTGCAAATTCGTAATCAAAATTGTTTAAGTTTAAAACAAAGTGCTCTGTGTTCAATTGAAACCCTGATGAAAGTATACAGGCTGTGAAACAATGAACCAATCACAGCATATCCTTATGCACAAAGTTAAAAATTGTTTAAATTTCATTAATTAAAAGTGCTGCTAAAAATATTAGCAGTCAATATATACATGATAAAAATTTACAACAAGCATTACGTGATTTTGACAGTGGAAAAATGAATGATTACCAGTGATTGTAAAATCAAAAAAGCAGTAAAATTTATGAGCACAAACGATTTAAAAAATTGATCAATTCATTTAAATCTTCTCTTATGTTGGTCAAGCCACATAGGCAAATTTTGTGGAAATAATTTAACAACAACCATAAGTGCAATTGTATCTCCTTCAGCTGAGTGTGGTAAAAGTTGACTGTGATGAACGCCTACTTCTTTCATCAAATATTGTAATCCATTTGGTCTTCTTTCACAAGGTTGTCTTAGTTCTCTCACACCAGTCAAGCTATCCGCACAGTAAATTTCTTTCCATATTGTTTGATCTGCCTTAACCCTATCTAAATGATTATTCAGTATTATATAGTCAAAGGCATTTCCATTATGAGCCACAAGACAAATTGGATGTGCTTGCCTATCCAAAAATGATCTGAGAATCATTGATGTTTCATATGAAAACGGCTTTTTATTACGAACTTCTAAATTCTCTTTGTCAATTTTTGTAATTCTGGAAACTTCATTCGGAATCATGGATAACGGATCAATGAGAATATTCAATTTGTCTTGAACTCGAGGCACTTTTGGAAATTCACCGTATTCATGTTCCACTACCTCATTACCCAGTTCGGTAATTTGCTCGCGATCGACCGCTATCAGACATAATTCTGTTATATTATCAGTGGTGGTGTCCAGTCCAGTTGTTTCCAAGTCCAAAAACACAAAGGTTTGAATATCATATTCATCGGCTTGTCGGTCAGGGTCTTCATTTTGGTCAACTGACTCTCCACCATTTTCCGTAGATTGAGTCGGAAACAGAGCTCTTGCAACTTTTTGGTCGCGAGGTAACACATCTGAAAATTTCATAATTGATACTACGTTAATGAATTGATCTGAAATACTATCCACAAGTTGCATTAAGCACGTCGCGTATTGCTCGGCTGTGTACGTCTCAATCGGCATGCGCTTTTTCAAGTAACGTAGATACAAGCTTTCCATTGAGTAGTCGATCGCATCTAATGTCGTTTCATGCATTTTATGTTGATCAGGTGCATCCAAATCTTGGCACGCAGTTGCAGTGTCTGCAATCCATAAATTTTCTTCTTCCGTTGCAAAAAGCGACATTTGTAACGCAGTGATTTCGCTTTTGAGAGCTGGGAAATCCATAAGAAACCCATGATGAGCTACAAAACAAATAGGCCGGTTTTGACGCTTTAAAAATTCATTCATAAGAAGCACTGAAGATCTGTCGAATGGTTTTTTATTAGAACCTCGAATCCTTTGCCAATCAAGGTTAGATTTTGCAGCCGAGTGAAGATTCAAAGGCTTTTGCGTGTCAAAGCACAAAACTAATTTGTCTATATATCTTTTCATTTTTCTGGTATTATTACTTGTATTATCACCATCGCCATGATCAGTCAAGTCTCTTTTGTGAACAGCAATCATAGCAACCTCAACAATCTGTGGGTTGTTCACATCATTCAAGTGTACTTTTGTAAAAATAAATGTTTTCATATCTTTTCCCTTGTCATAGCTAAGCTTCGCTTTGAGAAGGTGAAGTAACACATCTTTGTGCTGCCTGCTGGGACATTACGGTAACTACCTTTTAATTTAGATTACAAATCAACTTACAGTCACAACTTATAATCAACTGAAGTTTGGAAGTATACAGATATATTCAGTATTAGAAAACAATAGTCACAATCACAAATACTAGTGTTATTCAGCGGATTGAAAAAATGGAACATGAAATATATTGGATTATACTATATTATACAGTTTTGCACATATATACATTTAATGTCTATACACGACATCTTAATCGTTATCATACAATTTTTAGTCCGATAATACACAGCATTAATTTTATAAAATAGCACCGCACTAGGTGTTACAATCTACATAACAGTCCCGGTCATTTCGCAGCATTGCGACGTTACCAGCTAATAATAAATTAGCTGCTATGCGCTCAAACAGAGTGACATGGGAAAAATGGCAGTTATCAATCTGTTATCGCCTCCAGCCTATTCATAACACGACGAAAAGCAGAACTTGCACTCACCCGCCAATTCCAACCACAAAGACGTTCCCTTCTTTCTTTTCCATTGGGAAACGCCCGAATCAGCCACCCACACAAAACGAATCGATTTTGGATTGTGTAAATTGGGTAGCCTATAACTACCACTGTGAAGCTAGTAGCACGGTGACCTTTGTATGCGACCAGGCGAAAAGGTCAAATATGGAGGCAGAATTATGGGCGGAGCCAAATTCGCTACACCAAACAAATACGCAAATGGAATTAACAACAACATTACATGGGTATTTGAGAGTTGTTGTAAGCAAAAACTGGGAATTTCATTATTAATAATAATTTTATTATATTCAGTCTGCATCTCGCCAGCCAGAGTTACTGAAAACTAATTCGTCAAAATCGACATAAGGGAATAAACGTGAAATTTCACATTTTTCATAGTACAACAGCAAGTCTTTCCGATTAAAGGGGCGAGCTTTTATTATTGAAAATATATTAAGATATACACTCTTCATCCCACAAGTTGAGTGTTGGGAACAAAATTTTGCAATTATGTGCATTCCGTTACTGAAAATGCCCTATTCGTCGAAATTTGCATAGGCGAAATAACGTAAAATTTCACATTTTCAAATTACAACAGCAAGTCTTTCCGATTAAGAGGGGCGAGATTTTATTATTAAAAAATAATAAGTATACACTCATCCCACAAGTTGAGTTGTTGGAAAAAATTTTGCAATTATGTGCATTCCGTTACTGAAAATGCCCTATTCCGTCGAAATTTGCATAGGCGAAATAACGTAAAATTTCACATTTTTCAAATTACAACAGCAAGTCTTTCCGATTAAGAGGGGCGAGATTTTATTATTGAAAAATATATAATACATCTCTTCATCCACAAGTTGAGTTGTTGGAACAAAATTTTGTAATCATGTGCATTCCGTTACTGAAAATGCCCTATTCCGTCGAAATTTGCATAGGCGAAATAACGTAAAATTTCACATTTTTCAAATTACAACAGCAAGTCTTTCCGATTAAGAGGGGCGAGATTTTATTGATAATTATAGTATATATACTCTTCATCCACAAGTTGAGTTGTTGGGAACAAAATTTTGTAATCATGTGCATTCCGTTACTGAAAATGCCCTATTCCGTCGAAATTTGCATAGGCGAAATAACGTAAAATTTCACATTTTTCAAATTACAACAGCAAGTCTTTCCGATTAAGAGGGGCGAGATTTTATTATTGAAAATATTAGTATATATACTCTTCATCCCACAAGTTGAGTTGTTGGGAAAAAATTTGTAATCATGTGCATTCCGTTACTGAAAATGCCCTATTCCGTCGAAATTTGCATAGGCGAAATAACGTAAAATTTCACATTTTTCAAATTACAACAGCAAGTCTTTCCGATTAAGAGGGGCGAGATTTTATTATTGATAATTAATTTTAGTATATATACTCTTCATCCCACAAGTTGAGTTGTTGGAACAAAATTTGTAATCATGTGCATTCCGTTACTGAAAATGCCCTATTCCGTCGAAATTTGCATAGGCGAAATAACGTAAAATTTCACATTTTTCAAATTACAACAGCAAGTCTTTCCGATTAAGAGGGGCGAGATTTTATTATTGAAAATATATAAGATATACACTCTTCATCCCACAAGTTGAGTTGTTGGGAACAAAATTTTGAAATCATGTGTATTCCGTTACTGAAAATGCCCTATTTCGTCGAAATTTGCATAGGCGAAATAACGTAAAATTTCACATTTTTCAAATTACAACAGCAAGTCTTTCCGATTAAGAGGGGCGAGATTTTATTATTGAAAAATAATTTTAAGATATACACTCTTCATCCCACAAGTTGAGTTGTTGGGAAAAAATTTTGTAATCATGTGCATTCCGTTACTGAAAATGCCCTATTCCGTCGAAATTTGCATAGGCGAAATAACGTAAAATTTCACATTTTTCAAATTACAACAGCAAGTCTTTCCGATTAAGAGGGGCGAGATTTTATTATTGATAATTATTTAGTATATATACTCTTCATCCCACAAGTTGAGTTGTTGGGAACAAAATTTTGTAATCATGTGCATTCCGTTACTGAAAATGCCCTATTCCGTCGAAATTTGCATAGGCGAAATAACGTAAAATTTCACATTTTTCAAATTACAACAGCAAGTCTTTCCGATTAAGAGGGGCGAGATTTTATTATTGAAATATATAAGATATACTCTTCATCCACAAGTTGAGTTGTTGGGAACAAAATTTGTTATGTGTCATTCCGTTACTGAAAATGCCCTATTCCGTCGAAATTTGCATAGGCGAAATAACGTAAAATTTCACATTTTTCAAATTACAACAGCAAGTCTTTCCGATTAAGAGGGGCGAGATTTTATTATTGAAAATATTAAGATATACACTTTCATCCCACAAGTTGAGTTGTTGGGAACAAAATTTGTAATCATGTGCATTCCGTTACTGAAAATGCCCTATTCCGTCGAAATTTGCATAGGCGAAATAACGTAAAATTTCACATTTTTCAAATTACAACAGCAGTCTTTCCGATTAAGAGGGGCGAGATTTTATTATTGAAAATATATAAGTATATACTCTTCATCCACAAGTTGAGTTGTTGGGAACAAAATTTTGTAATCATGTGCATTCCGTTACTGAAAATGCCCTATTCCGTCGAAATTTGCATAGGCGAAATAACGTAAAATTTCACATTTTTCAAATTACAACAGCAAGTCTTTCCGATTAAGAGGGGCGAGATTTTATTATTGAAAATATTTAGTATATAACTCTTCATCCCACAAGTTGAGTTGTTGGGAACAAAATTTTGTAATCATGTGCATTCCGTTACTGAAAATGCCCTATTCCGTCGAAATTTGCATAGGCGAAATAACGTAAAATTTCACATTTTTCAAATTACAACAGCAAGTCTTTCCGATTAAGAGGGGCGAGATTTTATTATTGAAAATATTTAGATATACACTCTTCATCCACAAGTTGAGTTGTTGGGAACAAAATTTGTAATCATGTGCATTCCGTTACTGAAAATGCCCTATTCCGTCGAAATTTGCATAGGCGAAATAACGTAAAATTTCACATTTTTCAAATTACAACAGCAAGTCTTTCCGATTAAGAGGGGCGAGATTTTATTATTGATAATATTTTAGATATATACTCTTCATCCCACAAGTTGAGTTGTTGGGAACAAAATTTTGTAATCATGTGCATTCCGTTACTGAAAATGCCCTATTCCGTCGAAATTTGCATAGGCGAAATAACGTAAAATTTCACATTTTTCAAATTACAACAGCAGTCTTTCCGATTAAGAGGGGCGAGATTTTATTATTGAAAATATTAGTATATATACTCTTCATCCCACAAGTTGAGTTGTTGGGAACAAAATTTTGTAATCATGTGCATTCCGTTACTGAAAATGCCCTATTCCGTCGAAATTTGCATAGGCGAAATAACGTAAAATTTCACATTTTTCAAATTACAACAGCAAGTCTTTCCGATTAAGAGGGGCGAGATTTTATTATTGAAAATATTTAGTATATACTCTTCATCCCACAAGTTGAGTTGTTGGGAACAAAATTTTGTAATCATGTGCATTCCGTTACTGAAAATGCCCTATTCCGTCGAAATTTGCATAGGCGAAATAACGTAAAATTTCACATTTTTCAAATTACAACAGCAAGTCTTTCCGATTAAGAGGGGCGAGATTTTATTATTGAAAAATATAATAAGATATACACTCTCATCCCACAAGTTGAGTTGTTGGGAACAAAATTTTGTAATCATGTGCATTCCGTTACTGAAAATGCCCTATTCCGTCGAAATTTGCATAGGCGAAATAACGTAAAATTTCACATTTTTCAAATTACAACAGCAGTCTTTCCGATTAAGAGGGGCGAGATTTTATTATTGATAATATATTTAGTATATATACTCTTCATCCCACAAGTTGAGTTGTTGGGAACAAAATTTTGTAATCATGTGCATTCCGTTACTGAAAATGCCCTATTCCGTCGAAATTTGCATAGGCGAAATAACGTAAAATTTCACATTTTTCAAATTACAACAGCAAGTCTTTCCGATTAAGAGGGGCGAGATTTTATTATTGAAAATATTTTAGATATATACTCTTCATCCCACAAGTTGAGTTGTTGGGAACAAAATTTTGTAATCATGTGCATTCCGTTACTGAAAATGCCCTATTCCGTCGAAATTTGCATAGGCGAAATAACGTAAAATTTCACATTTTTCAAATTACAACAGCAAGTCTTTCCGATTAAGAGGGGCGAGATTTTATTATTGAAAATATATAAGATATACACTCTTCATCCCACAAGTTGAGTTGTTGGGAACAAAATTTTGTAATCATGTGCATTCCGTTACTGAAAATGCCCTATTCCGTCGAAATTTGCATAGGCGAAATAACGTAAAATTTCACATTTTTCAAATTACAACAGCAAGTCTTTCCGATTAAGAGGGGCGAGATTTTATTATTGATAATATTTTAGTATATATACTCTTCATCCCACAAGTTGAGTTGTTGGGAACAAAGATTTGTAATCATGTGCATTCCGTTACTGAAAATGCCCTATTCCGTCGAAATTTGCATAGGCGAAATAACGTAAAATTTCACATTTTTCAAATTACAACAGCAAGTCTTTCCGATTAAGAGGGGCGAGATTTTATTATTGAAAATATTTAGTATATATACTCTTCATCCACAAGTTGAGTTGTTGGGAACAAAATTTTGAATATGTGCATTCCGTTACTGAAAATGCCCTATTCCGTCGAAATTTGCATAGGCGAAATAACGTAAAATTTCACATTTTTCAAATTACAACAGCAAGTCTTTCCGATTAAGAGGGGCGAGATTTTATTATTGAAAAATATTTTAGTATATATACTCTTCATCCCACAAGTTGAGTTGTTGGGAACAAAATTTGTAATCATGTGCATTCCGTTACTGAAAATGCCCTATTCCGTCGAAATTTGCATAGGCGAAATAACGTAAAATTTCACATTTTTCAAAGTACAACAGCAAGTCTTTCCGATTAAGAGGGGCGAGATTTTATTATTGAAATATATAATATATATACTCTTCATCCCAC